GGAATATTAGATAATTCATTTTTAAAATCATGCACTGATTGAATAAACTTCAAATCATTTTATTTACTCTATTTACCAGTGATGAGAAATGATATTTAACTTTGCATCAACTTACAAGTGGTATAATCTTGCAATTAGTGTCAATCAATGAGGAATATGAGGAAACATCTTCTTAATATTTTTTTCACATTCGGTTATGACATGTAATAGCCTACTACAGGTATAATGAAATATGAAAGCTTAGCTCGTAATCTGTTTGCGTACCAACATCTTTGCCTACATAATTTTATGGATATTTACCTATCTTAAATAGCAAATTCATATATCATATCATCATCTAAATATTTTAAAGTGAAAATGTATGACAAGCTAGACGACGATCGATAAAAGACAAAAAAACGTGCCTTTGCATCGTATAAATTATGAATGTTAACGAATGTGCAAAGTTAAACCAGGGACTTGGGATACAATGCCCGAAGGAAATTGAGAAGTTGTTAATACTGGCAATAAAAGTAAAGAAAATCTCAATTCACATTTTAGCGAAAAGATACTTAGAGAGTACGTAGTTGTTTATATTTTAGTGGTTGGATATTGAGCGAAATTAACATCATAAATGCACTTGTATGAAAAGTTGGTTTGGCGGCTTGAAAAAAGCCTTGAATGAGGTATTTAGTAAACTTGTTTATGACTGAATCTACTTATAATGTATAAATTCCAACCAAACCAGGGGCGGATTCAGAATTTTGTGAGAGGGGAGGGGGCACATTGCCGAAAGATTACACAACGAAGGGGCATGCTGTTGTTGTATACCTAAGGTATACCAAATCGGCTTTAAAGGGGGGCATGGGCAGGTTTGTGAAATCCCTCTCCGCCATTTGATAAAACTGTACCATTGCGTATGTTGAGGCAGTTAAATTTGATAAAACTAATGTGGGAAGGCAACCGATAACCTCTGAGAAAATGGAGGTAAAGTGGGTAGAGCATACAGGCTGCTGTACAGGGTTAATGTTAATATCTAGAATGACAGATTGAAGTCGGGTAAAGAAATCAAGCTGAGTGAACGGATTGGTTTATAAACCCGAGCGCATTCGTTTTTTGAAGCCACCGCTCGGTTGAGCAACTGACGATTCGCATATAGGCCTAAAGGCAGCAAAAGAGGCTGTAGAAGAAAAAGAGGGGGTGGGAAGGAGGGAGGGAGAGGGAGGGAGAGAGAGAGAGAGAGAGAGAGAGAGAGAGAGAGAGAGAGAGAGAGAGAGTCAAAGAGAGAGAGAATAAGAGAGAGAGAGAGAGAGAGAGAGAATAAGAGACAGATAGATAGAGATGGAAGAGTGAGACAGAGAGAGGGAGACGGAGAGAGAAAGACAGAGTTACAGACAGAGTTACAGACAGAGTTACAGACAGAGTTACAGACAGAGTTACAGACAGAGTTACAGACAGAGACAATATTATTAACAAAAAGAGTATAAAGCAAAAATAAAGAAAGATATGCAATAGAAACAGGAAAGAATTTAAACAAAATTTGGAAAGAGGGGAAACAAGATCTGATTTGATCTGATCTCATGGTCTCGGAGTGGTTTAAGGCGCTTGGCTGGAGATGCGAAGGTCGAGGGTTCGAATCCCGACACGGCACTAATATCCTTTGGCAAGATATTTACCTACACTTGATTGATACTCTCCACCAAGGTGTTAAAGGTAAAGACCAGTTTTGGAAACGCCCCAATTTCAAAAAATGAAATGGAAGCTCTCATTACCAATCATGTGAAAGAATATGTTTTGACTAATACATGATGATAACAAATTTGCCGGGAAACCGCCTACTAATTCATATATTTGGTAAATTTGTTTCTCTCATGGTCTGTGAGAGATATAGGGTAGTCCCATATACATCTTTCTGTGTATAATGATTGTAACTTTACGAAGAATGGGCCAAATTTCTTATCATTTTGATGATTCCAGAACCTTGCAGATGCTAGATGCTAGATGATCAACCTTTTCTGATCGATTCCACGTTTCTTTCACAATGCAATCGCATGACCATAACTGGTCTTTACCTTTAAATGGGTACCTGGTAGGATGCAGACGTTCATGTGGTTAAACGAGCAAGTGTGCGCTTGTAAAATGGCGACTGGCTGGAATGCTCCCCAGGGAGTGGAAAATGTGCACACATTGTGTGTGGGTAAGCCTGAATCCGATGACCGGGGTAATAATATATCTGTAAAGCGCTTAGGCACATCGTCGGATCGATGTATCGAGCGCTATATAAACACTAAATATTATTATTATTATTATATCAACAAAAATCGGAAAAACAGAGGGAGATAGAAAACGAGAGAGGGGAGGGAGAGAAGGTTGGATGGGGGAGGGGGAACAGAAATACATTTCCTACACTATTTTTCCTCTAACCATTTCCAAACCCTCCCACTTCATGTTTGATTACGTAACTCTATCTTTTTATTCACTAAAAACTCAATTGTTTGGACAATTTTTCCCCAAATGGATTTGTCATTCTTATGTACAAAGCACAAAGTCTAATAAAAGACCCAAAAATTGTTCCTATGTCTAAGATTCACGAAAATGTCACCTGCAAACCATGAAGATCGGGGTAAGGGTCACGTCTCAATCTCGCATGACATCATATATTCCACATTTTCGCTGTCTATTCTCCTCTCATGCTCTATGCGTCTTCATAAATTAACCAAGAAAACAGCAAAAACATGACAAAAAATACAACGACTAAGGGCAATTTGATTGAGATATTTGTATTCACATCATTGTAACATTTTCTTGGCACAACTGGAGAAAAGAAAAAAACATAACAAAAACAATGACTAAGGGCAATTTGGTTGAGATATTTGTTTGTTAATGAAAAGAAACAAGTACAGACACTTATACTTTAAAAAAACATACACATGTTCACTTTCACTTAGCTTTAAAAAAACGTGTTGTAAAAATATGTCATTTTCTTTTTTGAAATGAATAATCAAGCAAAGTTAAGCACGAATTACTATGCAGCAATATATAAAGCAGGAATACAGGATGCATTTTAGTTTTAAATAATAATGTCTAATATATGTGGAGCAGACTAGAATATATGACTGATATGTTATACAATAAAATAAAAATATGATAAGGCATTTCAAGTATTAAATAAAACAAGGTACATATGATATTGCTATGAAATACTTTTGGTGTACATGTATGTATACAGGCATTAGACTTGAAGTAGATATACAGAAGCATCTAAATGGAATTGGAGATATATCACGCTATATCATCAATTTGATTTGTTTTGAAGCTACCATAAGCTGCCTCAAATGTCCAATCTACAAAAAGGTACCCATAATTGCACAGATACTTTCACTTCATCCTTTTGCCTTACAACCATAAATAGTCACAAAAATATTGGAGAAGGGTTTAAAATAAATGAATAAATTAGTAAGGAAATTAAAAGAGAAAAAAGGGGGGAAAAGCCAGGGAGAAGAAAGAGAACATGGAAAGAGGATTATATGAACTTTTAGGGTACATGTTAGAATAAACTCACTATGATAATAAGGATAACATATTTATGTATTTTCCATGAAATGAAATTACATAATAATAATAATTAATAATTACAGTGCTTATATAGCGCCTAACACTTACTTTGTCAGAAGTATCTAAGCACTCTACAATAATGCAGCATAATTACCCTGGCTTTAGCAGTGCAGCTGTTACGCGCATGTCTTAATATTGTCTTAATTAACATGCTTCTCTTTGCATATTTAAATTTGGAACAATACATGCTTTACTAAGTAGACGAGTCTTCAGATGTATGTAGAGCTACCTGAATGGTCTCATCAATAGGGTGGAGGGCATGGTTGTTTTGACAATGGGTTTTATTATAGGATCGGGGGGGGGGCAAGAGATACCCTTTCCTTTATCATTTATGCCAGTTCTCATAATTTATTTTTATGTTATTTATTTCCACTTGTGGGACGAAACACCCTGATCAACATGAATATCATTTTTCATAGAGCTTCACTGGTTTCACTGGATACACCTGTAATTTGTCTTGTAAAATTCGAATTATTATTAAAAATGGAGATTCACAAATGACACATGATTTATCACAAGTGGCAGCAGCTCTATACATAAAAAGAGCTACACAGAATGTTTCATTTCTTGACATGTTGATTGATATATATGGATCATAATTCAAGTTAATATTATTACACACAGTTATCATTCAAGCAAAATTTTAAAAAATAACATGAGTTTGACAAAAGGAGAGGAAAGATTATGTGATCCAGAAGATGCAATGGTACATTTCACAACTTTCACACAGGCCTGTGTATACAATGACAAAATGTTGACTACAACAATTTCATTAAAGAAGAAAAATCATTTCCAAATAAAAATAAATCATGTCATATTTCCAATAAGAATACTGTTTTATCACACTGTCATACTGTTGAGTCTTTTCTGTCTTTTATATCATTTTATCAAACATATGCTTTTTGATCTAGTTCATTAACACCACCTGAATCAAAATTATTTTCATGAGTTTCTTTAGAAGTAATCAAGCATTACTGTTGGAATGATTTAAAAGCAACAAATGAGGTAAATAAATGATTTGTGTACAGCTGGTTTAACATCAACTCTAACAATTTTCCTGTCATTAAATGGATTAAGGGTTAAAGAGAAGGTTGAGTTCTGGGAAGAGGTGAAAAATAATTTGTGAGCATTACTCATTCTTATTATGCAAGTGTGGAAGAACATCAGTTAAGACATGTTCCCTGAAAAGCATGGCTCTTCAAATGCCTTCATATTCTAAATATGCATGTAACATCGTAAAAATCGAGGGGGGGGGGGCGGCTTTTTACGCCACGTGTTCGTGTAGTCCCATATACATCTTTCTGTGCAAGTGTTTGTAACTTTACCAAGACTTGGCCACATTTCTTATCATTTTGATGATTCCAGAACCTTGCAATACACACAAATTCTTATATGCTAGATGATCAACCTTTTCTGGTCGGTTCCACACCGTTTCTTTCACAATGCAATCGCATGACCAGAACTCAACTTCATCTTTAAGGGTTAAGGAGAAAGGAGGATGACATAAAACCTAGCTTGCATGATCAGACCCTGTGCGGAAACCTAATTCTGATTTGGGTTACATGAGCATCCTTTCTTGAGCAAGTGCTTTCAATACTACCCCATCCTTCAATGGATATTCCTACAGACTTCTGCCGACTTCGCTGATTCCCAAGGCTCTAGACAAGAACCATCTGGTTCCTCTACACGATCTGGGGGTGTTTCACAAAGATCCCAATTTGAACTTATCTCTAAGTTGGACTTAACAATTATGGAAAGCTGTTAGCATCTATGAAAATATTTTGTACAAGTTATTTTAAAGGGCACAAAATGTTGATTCAAATCATTCATATTTTCTATTATCGAGGGCACTTCATGTTCTTGAATTGGAATTTATAAAAAGTCTAAAATACTTGAGTTTTCGCTTTTGAATATATTTCATTTTATCCCTACCATGTACATGGTGACCACACAACAAACAGTAATAATATATGTATACAGGCATGAGACTTGAAATAGATATACAGAAGCATCTAAAGGGAATTGGAGATATATCACGCTATATCATCAATTTGATTTGTTTTGAAGCTACCATAAGCTGCCTCGAATGTCCAATACAAAAAGGTACCCATAATTGCACAGATACTTTCACTCCATCCTGTTGCCCTACAACCATAAATAGTAAAGCACTAAAATAAAAAGCACTTAGTCACATTGTTGTATCAATGTATCGGGTGCTATATAAAAGTGGAATATTATTATTATTATTATCAATGCCCTTGTTAATTTCCACATCATCCATCGAGTAAGGCTGGAACCCCACCGACGGGGATGGTGCCTCCTCAACGTTTTGCCCCTCACTACGCCACTGCCTGTGAACATGAACCAGGAAGCTGCCTTCCACTGTGTGCATCACAAGCCTATGCACTCTTTTCGGCATAGAAGAGCCCCCATTTCTGGTTGCCGGCGTCGACGCGCTCGATCTTGCTCCTCCATCCGTCCTGCAGTGACCTGACGTCTTCCTCTGTGAAGTCCTGTTGATTAGAATGGATAGATAGATGATTAGATGTGGGTTAAATGCAGTGAAAAAACTCTAAAACACAGAAATATTTATTTAAAACAAATATTGTATGAAACATGGAAATATTGTTATGTGAAATATCTACCAAGTATATGACAATGCCTCTACCTAGAGAGAGAGAGAGAGACAGACAGATAGACTGAGAAAGAGGTATGTCTAGAGAGGAAGAGAGAAAGAGACAGAGAAAGAGAGAGAGAGAGAGAGAGAGACAGACAGACAGAGAGAGCCAGAGAGACTGACCGACAGACTGACTAAGAAAGGGGTATGTCTAGAGAGAAAGAGAGACACAGAGAGATAAAAGAGATATGAGAAAGGGAGTGGGAGAATGATACATGTTTTGAATGTTTATTGTTCCAGATAAAAGAAATTTCAGAGTAGCAACCATCAGTCTTTCTTTGCATACAGCTCTCTACCTTATATTTCATCACACATGTATGGAATACGAATAGATTATAAAAAAAGAACCCATATAGTAAGCACACAGAACAAGGAGAAGGGTATGCTATAAAAGAGCAATAAACAAACGCAAAACGAAAAGGATGAGAGCTTTTTAATCACCTTGAGGATATCTAGGCTGGGATCCACCATTCTGTTGAGTTCTTTCTGTAGCATGGCTTTGAACTGCCATGTTCTATCCTCAGCCTTTACACTCACAAACCCTGCTTCTTCCAAGAGCTGAGAAAAGGAAATGTCAAATAATGGAGTTTTTTTTTAAAATTGATATTATTTTGATTCAATTCTATTCACATTTATTGAAATGGAATCTACAATTTTGGATTATTTCAATACACAAGTAGTGGTACAAACAAAACCAAATACTTGTATATACACATATATTCATTGAAATAGGTTATAAAGTAATCATTGGAAATTTCATCAATCATACATATACCATTTCAAAATGAAAAAGCAAATACAAATGAATTGGTGAAAATTGCTCAAATATACAAATAATCAATATACAATTATAAAAGAAGAAGGAAATACACAGTTTGAGATTATCTAGTACTTACAAGTACTTAAAACAAAATAATAAAAACAGGTTAAAGTGAATCGTTGAATTCAAGATCATAAACTTTGAACAAAGAAATATTATGACAGTAAGTGTACAAGCATCACCGTCTCACTACCCCTATTCTCTGCTACCTCTTCATTCTCATTATTTCCCATTTTGTTTGTCTGTCATGTCTCTTGCATGTCTGCTTATCTGTTCTCATTTATACTTATTTCTATCATTACGTTTGTCTTACTGTTTGTCAGCCTGTCTCTCTCTATCTTGTTGTCTCTCTCTCTTTTTGTATACCCCCCCCCCCCTCCACCTTTATTGTTTGAATCACTCAAAATTTAATTCCCTTTCTTTCTTCATATCTCTTTCAGGAAGGGGGAAAAAACACCAAAAACAATGATCTCCATACCCCAGTCTCCTAATCTCTCTATCTTTCTTTCTTTCAATCTGTCTGTCTGTCTCTCTCCCCATCCCTTCCCATCTCTCCTCCTCTCCCAATACTCTCCTTCCCCTTCCCTCTTTCCTTCCTCATGGAGTCTCTCCCTCCTGCTCCTCTCTCTTCTTCATACTACAAAACTTGTTATGCCCTATCAGGTCTTTTTTTCTCCCATTCTCAAATACTAGCTCTTTTACTCTCTCCCTCTGTATCCTTTATACCCATCTCTTGTTCTATTTCATCCTTATCCTTGTAAAAAATGTTGGCTTGCACCCACTAGACTGGCTTATTTATATTAATGGTGGACTGATGAATATGAATAATTCAGAAGGACTCAAGAGAGCTGAGGTGTTGGTTTCTAGTTCATCATGACTGTGTCATTGACCAATGATGGCCTGGTGGTAGAGTCGCTGCCTGGCAAGCAGGAGATGGCAGGTTCAAATCCAGTTGTTCAAAGATTCTTCTGACTTGCTTTCAATTACAAGATCAAACACAAGATCTTTATTTTCTCAGTGCAAGCCAAGAATTTCTTTACAACAATAGAAACTTCTGCCAGGAAGCCTAACATTCACAACAGTTCATGTAGAGGTGTTGTGGGCTAGTGGATAAGTCACTCGACTGCAGATCACAAGGTACTGGATTCAAGTCCCACTGCATTACTAATGTCCTTTGGCAAGACTTTAATCTACATTTGCCACTCTCCACCTAGGTTTAAATGGGTACCTGATATGCTTGAGCGCTAGTTACTTTGGCAGCTTGGCTACAACCAGGATAATATGTGTAAAGCGCCATGAGCGTCAGAACCTGGCGGATACCGGCGCTATATGAATAACCATATTATTATTATTATTATTATTATTTCATACCTGTCCATATTTTGCCGGGGTGTAGAGGGTGTACCCTCTCTGGGCCACGTAGGCCTTGAAGACATCGCTGTGTGGGAGTTCACCGCAGCAGTAGTCAGATATCAGCAGCTTACCACCAGGCCTCAGCCACGTCTACACAAAGCAAATGAAGGAAACAAAAAGACAATAAGAATATAGATCGAGCACACTGGGTGCAAGCCATTTTTTTTTTTCCAATTGAATTTTTTTCCCAGGAAGCCTAACATTTGAGGAATATGTTTGTTTCACACCCCAAGTTTCATCTGATATCCATACAAATTAGTTAGTCCCAAATTTGGTGCTTCATAGGGTGTCCATAACTATATCACCTTCTCACTCACAAAAAAGGGGAGGATCATAAGACTTGGGTCAATACACTTCTCAATTGTGAAGTTAGTGTAATGACTGACTTATTTTAATAGCAGATAGATTGAAAAGGATATGTTTTATATTGAAAGAGTAGCAGTACAAGTAAACATTCATATTTGAAATAAATTAGGGGTCCTATGAGATGAATAGGCCATTTTCGTATTTGTAATCAAATTATGGCTTATACTAGCTCACAACGAGACATTTATGCATTTCGCATTCTGACTATTAAAATACAATTATTTGTAACAGGTGAATGAAAAGATTTGTAATGAGGCACTTAAAGATTTGTGCATTAAAATTCATGGCCTATTATGATAATAGTATCATCCCTGTTGAGTATCTATTTCAAACTTAAGCTTGATGAGCTCCTTGGTATGGCAAAATAAATTGTGGATGAAGAACCCTATGAACTATATACTCTTGTGGTATCAAGCATGAAGCATTTACGACCCAACACAAACTATTGATTCTGTGGGGTGTTTCACAAAGATCCTAAGTTGAACTTACCTCTAAGTTGGACTTAACAATTATGGAAAGCCGTTAGCATCTATGAAAATATTTTGTAAAAGTTATTTTAAAAGTCATAAAATGTTGATTCAAATCATTCATATTTTCTATAAATGAAGGAAATTTTATGTTCTTGATGTGGAATTTATACAAAGTCTAAAATACTGTAATTTAGCGTTTGAGTATATTTTATTTTAAGGCTACAAATGGCTCTCCATAATGTTTAAGTCCAACTTGAGAGTTAAGTTTGACTTAGGATCTTCGTGAAACACCCCCATGTTCTGATAATTGCTCCCCGCAATCTTACCAGGAACTTTCTGAAGATGGCTGGTTTATCACTGATGTGTAACAGTGTATCTCTGCTGTAGATGACATCAAACGACTCGGGACTGTACTCTCTCTTTGTGATGTCACCAATTTCAAAGATGACCTGTGGGGACATTACAGTAATACAGTGAAACATTTACATAACAACCGCTCAAGGGAAACATGAAAAGTGGTCTTTGTAGGCAGGTGATCTTTATGTACAGGTTCTTGAGTACAGGTTTCAATGAGAAACCATATTCAAGGAAAATGAAAAATGTGGTCTTTATGGACAGGTGGTCTTTCTATACATGTGGTCGCTAAAGTAAGTTTGACTGTAATTATATCTTCCATAATGAAATATCAAACCGCTTTAGAGAGAGGGTATGAAAGAAAAAGATGTAATTTGTTACATCACAGCAGTATTAAAGGTAAAGACCAGTATTGGAAACCCCCCAATTTCAAAAAGTGAAATGGAAGCTCTCATTACCAATCATGTGAAAGAATATGTTTTGACTAATACATGATGATAAAAAATTTGCCGGGAAACCGCCTACTAATTCATATATTTGGTAAATTTGTTTCTCTCATGGTCTGTGAGAGATATAGGGTAGTCCCATATACATCTTTCTGTGTATAGTGCTTGTAACTTTACGAAGAATGGGCCAAATTTCTTATCATTTTGATGATTCCAGAACCTTGCAGATGCTAGATGCTAGATGATCAACCTTTTCTGATCGATTCCACAACGTTTCTTTCACAATGCAATCGCATGACCATAACTGGTCTTTACCTTTAAAGCTCTTGTATAGTTTTGGTACCCCCACCCCCTACACCATCAGCAGACTTCTTACAAATAGCTAGATACTAGCAATACCAAGCTACTCTACTGTGAATTTTTTTCTGTCTCTCTTCCAGTGGATATATGGAACAAATAAGAAGTAATAGTTTGCGTGTCTCACCCTGCACATGAATCCCAATGAGACCGATGTGCTCAAAAATAAACTTCCCACTACGGTATAATTCCAAGAATATTCAAATTTCTAGCTTAAACAGTCAACTTAATACAACACAATTTCCCTAAAATTAACCTAGCCTTGTACAAAACTTTAGAAATGACTTTAGAAAATGTTTAAAAAAAAGAAAGATATATAAAGAGTAAAACCTGTCTATAGCGACTGCCCAAGGGAAACACAAAAAATGGTCTTTGTAGACAGGTTCCTTTAGTACATGTTTCAATGAGAAACCATTTTCAAGGGAAACAAAACATGTGCTTGTTGTAGACAGGTGGTCACTTAAGCAGGTTTGACTCTATTACCTTGGGTTGGTTTTGTCCTTGTGCTCTGTCCATTGCTACCTCTATCATGTTGCTTGATAGGTCAATGCCATCAACAATGACATTGTATTTCTGCAGAAAGAGAAAGGGAGTAAAGCATCCACAATTCATTATGGATCCAAAAACAGGGGGGGGCACTGTGGGTATTAGCCCCTATTTTGAAATGAAGTCCAACCCAATGTCAAGAAAAGGATCTTCACAATCACTGTTCAATGCTTTCCTATACATGCAAATACAGTTAACAATCAAATTATTCATACCCCTTGGAAATTTGATGTTTGTGTTTTGCATAACTTGAGAAAGAAAGGTGGACTGGTTGAATTAGGGCCATTGTTGAATACTTTTAGATGCAAGCTTTTATAATGTCACATTCTCAAGAAACAAAAATCAGGACACATCAATTTTTCACATTACAGTACCCCCTAAAACATCACAAAACCTGATAAGGGTATGAATAATTTAGTTGTTAACTCTATTTTTTTTAATATGTCAGCTCTTAATAAAAAAAATGTGTATCAATATATTTAAAAGATTTTGATGCGTGCAGCTCCCCTCCTGTCATCCCCACCTGCCGATCATTTAGTACACAAAAACACTGCCACAGTTTACCGCGACATATATATATATATATATATATATATATATATATAATATGTATTTTCCTTGATCGTACTCTGTCATAGAGACTCTCAATCAAACAAACATAAATATAAATGTTCCAGAATTAGGAACAAAAATAAAAAGTGTCATCTAAATTCTCTTACGTCTGCCATGTAGAAATCCCCTCCTCCAATTCCACACCCGACATCGAGGACCGTCTGATCTTCTTGAAGGCCAAGCAGCTCGACAAATTCCTGTGAGAGGTTGAATGAGGAACAAAGGAATTAAAGAGACATACAACAATGTTGTGATAAAGAGAGAGAGAGATTAAAGAAGAGATGGATGGATGAGGTGTCAAAAAGATGAATATCAGAGGGAAAGGCGGGGAGAAGTGGGAACAACGACAAGGAGACAAAGTAAGAAAGAGATAAAAGAAAGAAAGGAGAAAGAGAGAGAAAGATAGATGAGTGAGAGAAAGAGATAGAGAGAGAGAGAGAGAGAAGAGAGAGAGAGAGAGGTCACGTTAAGCCCCGCCCCTTATATACCGATCTAGTTCTACTAGTTATACTAGTTACGTCCACACACAACACATTCCGGGATTAGGCGTGATTTTTTATGAAGTTATAGTTCGAAACGATGCCCAAACCCGCGTTTCGTTATACAACGTTTCGTTATACGACGTATCGTTAGTAAGCGTCCACACACACAATTTCATCGTATAACTATCCCGAAACGGTATAACTAATCACCCCTAATCACGGAAAATGTTGTGTGTGGACACAGGGTCCATCACCGTCTTGTACCTACCTGCGTGGTCTCTGGTCCACCGGTGCTGACGTAGCCCTCCCCAAACACCTTCTCGTACCTGAGGATACTGTTGAGGGAGTATTGCCTGCTGTCCAGGAACTGCTGGAATGACTTGAAGCCATGGTTGGCCTCCACATCCTGCCTTGTCTTCTGCCACAGCCAGCAGTACTGATTGGGGTTGTTCTTCAGCTGTTAGACATCAAGATTCAGGACAGGATTTACTTTAAGGGCTAAATTGTTCACTTGTTTTTTTCTTCAAATTGGCAACAATAGTATATATCTTTTATTGCTATATTGTTCTAATAACGTGTAATGTCTACAAAAAACAATATCTATGTGTAGGAACTTTGTCAAAAGGTGAAAAAAATAATGATTTAGAACCTTTCAACATGTTACCAATTTAAGGAATTCAAAGCTTATTTTCCTTTATAAAATTCCTCACATCAAACGCAATATGGTCATGCAAGAAAACTTTATGCAATGTGTGCAGAAATTTTTGCTCTTTCTACTCATATTGCAGCTTGTGTATCATTATGGGCTCTGACTCAAAAGTTATTGAGCAAAAACACAAAATGTGGAATAATTGTCCAATTATACTAATTATTTTTTAATAATCATCATTCTATTTCCATGGATCATGAACTCATGACCGAGTATCACAAATATTATGCTATGAGAATCCTTTTGGAAGAAATAAATAATGATATTCTATTGAAGTGCCCCGGTACGATCAGCATGACCCAGTAGACAGCTTCTGCAATTAAGTACAAATGCTGTGTGCGACATGAGACAATACTTCCTGCATATATTTTTGTGTGTTGTCAAATTTGTGATCAATTTGCAATTAGCGAAATTCGTGAAATTAAAACCCCTGTGTATTACTAACTGCTTCTACAGTATCCACGACCTACCTTGATATAAGACTGGATACTTCTGCACATGATCAATTCAAAGCCGTCTGAAAGAACGCCCTCATTCTGGTTCACGCTGTTGCCGGTGCCCTGGAATATTGCGTTGTAGTCCCGGGGATTGCGGTACCGGGTCGGGTTGAAGTTACGAGTCTTGTCACCTAACGAAACAACAAAGATTGAAGAGCAGTTTGGTTAAGTTTCACTTGGGCCATCCATCTGAAAGGGAACCAATCACTAAAATATGTTTTGCGATTTGTATGTTTGGAGATACATACTGGTATCCTATGCTCACGATATCAAATTCAAATATTACTTCTGTAATCTGTAGGGATAGATTAAACAAAGTCATATCCTAAATAAGAGGTAGGAGCAACTTGAGAGAAGTAATGTCGACATACTAGCTTAAAATTTGGCATGCATGGGAATGAACTAGAATTAACTTGTGAAGGCCTGGAGCTATCCTTACTCTCTTTAACCATCAGCAATTCAGATGTCTTATAGGGGACATTATGTCTTGGGGATGTGTCTGTTATTTCATCTTAAAACATAAATGCAAATAAAGCTTTATAAAAAAAAAAAATTAAAAAATTATTAAAAACTGTATTTTATGAAGAAAAAACGTAGTACCGTAATTTGGAGGAAAAAACAGAGTAATTCCGGCAAAAACAGAATGGTTCGCAGCTCTGTGAATGCAACACTGTACATTTTCTATCCAATATTTTGTAAATTTGATCTATTCACGCTTTAGTCCAGTCTGATTGTATTCATGCATACCCGGTACTTGCCAACCTTTCACAGCAAGACATAAGAATCTCTCAAGACAAAGTTAGGAATACAGTCTATTTTGTATACTTTTCACACAGAATATTTCGGAAAAAGACAAGAATCTGGGGTTCAAAACAATAGCTTGAAGACCAAAACAAAAACAGGAACCATTCCTCTAAAATAGGATTATGGTTGGCAACTATTTTCATGTAGAGTATTCCATACAAAGAGATCAATGTACCTGACTGATGAAAGCATGACTCTCTGAAGAATAAGAACCCTCCATCTTTAAGCCAGCCCAGGAGACGACCAGCGAGTGTAAGCAGCTCCTCACTAGACAGATACATGAAGAGCCAGTTGGAAAAGATGATATCATAGCTGAAAGAAAAAAATAAGCATTGTACTCGATCATAATCTTCTTCCAAAATTACATATCAAGTTAGAATAAATAGTCAACTCTTCATAAACAGACTGATCAAGAAAAAAACTGTAAAATTCTGACAGGAAATGGAAGTAGAGGATTATTTTATATTGTAATTTTAATCAAGAGAAAATCATTCTATTTGTTTCATTCTATTTGTTTCATTTTAAAAGTCAACGTATAGCGGCCGACTGACACAAATAGACAGAAATCTTATTAGGAAGCAATTCTGTTTTTTTCTTTACATTACAGCCCTATGGAGAATTCTGTCAATGTGCTCAAAATTTTTAAAATTTACTACATAAAAATGCCTGAATGGGACTAAGACGGGTAAAGACACGACATGGCAGTCTACCTGTTGAGAGGAAGATCTAAGGCCATCACATCGGCCTGTTTGAAGTCGATGTTCCCCATGTGACCGTTGATCTCCCTGTTCTTCTCTACGAACGACGGCATGAAGTCGACAGCCGTCACATGACCACTGGCTTTGGCGAGAATTCCGGTGAAACGGCTAAATAAATATAGCAAAAGAATAATTTAAGTTTGAATAGAGCACTATGTTTTCCTATTGAATTTCCATGTGAGATGGCAAGAAAGATGCAAATCTTCAATTTGCCAAAGATTCAATGCAGTTTTATAGTTTAAGATTGTGACAGGTCTGGGGAAATATTCATGGGGAGGATTACTTGATCAGCCACTTTGGCACATAAAAAGGTGACATCTATGCATGTATTCATTAATTGGGATGCACAGGGCATCTTTACACGGGTCTTCTTGCACAAAGCTGACTGCTTTCCTTTCAAATTTATGTTAGACTATAAAAGCCTGCATTGTGGACTATTATAATATCTAAATTCGAATTATACAAAACAAATAAGTTTCAATATATATGTGCAAAAGAAGATATCACAATTTTTAAATCCATAATGCATATATTTTTTCTTTCATCCCAGGATTGCTAGTGCACTAATATCCTTTGCAAGACACTAATCTACATTTGGCTCTCTTGACCCAGGTGAGGTAAATGATTACGAAAAAGCAGGATGAAATTCTTTGCAGGATTAGTCTTGTAGCAGGTGCATTGCTATCTTTATAAGTTTGTACAGCACTCTAAAACAGTACTGCTCAGCACTACTTAATAAAACTACATTGTAAATGTTACTTTTATGAAATACTTGTACCATTTTACTTATACACATGTAAAATTTGTAATGCTGTTGATTTTATCAAAATGTACACTTACCCGATCCCTGAGCCAAGCTCCAGAATCCTCTTTCCCTTAACTTCTGGGAGGAAAGCCATCACCTCTGGTAGTTCATGCTTGGTCAAGATTGAAGCGTTGGAGTCCAGCATCATCTCCTCCAGGCTACCCTCTGCGGAATGCCCCTCCCAGAACTCCTTCATGTCGTTCCTTGTATTTGCATCTGAGTGATGAAGGGAGAGAGGAGAGGAAGGGAGAAGCAGATAAGGGAGGGAAGGGAGAGGGGAGGGAGGGAGGGGAGGGAGGGGAAGAGGGAGCGAGGGGAGATGGAGAGAGAGGAAAGGGAGGGGAGAGGAAAAGAGGGGAGGGAGGAGAGAGGGAGATGGAGAGAGGGGAGGGAGGAGAGAGGGAGATGGAGAGAGGGGAGGGAGGGAGGGGAGAGGAAGAGAGGGAGGGAGGGAGAGGGAGAGAGGGGAGGGAGGGGAGAGGGAGAGAGGGGAGAGAGGGAGAGGGAGGGGAGGGAGGGAGAGAGGAGAGGGAGAGAAAGGAGAGGGAGAGAGGGAGGAGGGGAGGGGGAAGATGGGGAGAGCAAACGAGAGATAGTAGGGAGGGTAGGAGATAGAATGGGAAGGGAAAAGGGAAATAGAGGGAAAACAGACACAAGGAAAAAGCAAGCAAGAGAGTAAAAGAAGGAGATAGAAATAGAGGGGATGAGAAATAATGAGGGCAAGAATGGATTGGGAAAGAGGAAACATAGGGAGAAAAAATGTTAAATTCAACAGATTATAAGCCAACATTCAAATTTCTGCTGTACCAAAAATTTAGCATGCATTATGCAATCAAATAACAGAAGAAACACATTTCAATTTCACTTCATTTAAAAAAAAATAAAGGAAAATATGCACAGAATAGTAAAAGTCACAACGCAGAATTATTACCCATATTTTTAATCAAAAGCTAGATCCTCAAAATCAATAACTAAGCTCAAGATTCTCCCAAAATTCTCAAAAGAATAATGTTTTGTAGGCTGTAGCAATCAAAGTAATGTGCAATACACATACACTTGTACATGTGGCAACACTATGAAATGAACTTTATATGTAAGCAATGTTTGCTTTACTACGTAGATACTCCTGATAGGTTCAAGTTATAATAAAACATCAGGGTGAAAGGTGAAAGGTAAAAGGACTATCGTAAAAGATCTTCATAAAAATGATAAAAACCTATCATGCAATTTTTATTTGGAAAATGATTACAGTTTATAAAAGTGGATAAATAGTTATGTATGTATTATGGCTTGAGTGGAGGTAAGCTCAGAGCTAACAGCTCATTTCTGTGCACCTTGAATTCCATCAAGAATTCACTGTCACTATTTACACTAATAAACTTGCAATATCTTTTTATGAAAGAAACATATTATGAAGCACAATTTATAGCACATATATTTCACATGAAGTCTAAGAATATCAGTATCAAACCCAAAATGTACAGAGGGGAAAAACAAACAAAAACAAAATATAAATTATCAAGAGGAAATAAATAATTACAAAATCGTAATTTGATCTCTATAATGCCAGAAACATCAATGACACATTGTAAGCAATTTTGCTAGGGATCCAAAACAACCAGAAGTGTTCCAATCACACCTTGAAATAGTAAATTTCAAGTGATTTCAAACAGGATAATAAGTGAACCATCAGATTGAATTGAGAGCCTCTGCATTTTATTTCTTTAATCATAATTTTAACATCGAGGTGCATCAGTGCATATTTCCAATATCAACAGAACAAATATTTGACTTAAGTTAATCATACTAAGTGCAGCTGTCATGCGACCTGGATTTGCATGGTTTGCAAAAATTGGCTTCACACATTACTTGTTTCATAACTTTTATGAAAATGACTTTCATAACTCATTATAATGCTCTTCGACGGGGACCCAATAAACATACATCATCAATTTCATCATCTATTTTGGCAAGAAGTTAGAATAGCTAATATTTACCTAAACTAATCAAACAAATTCCGATTAGTCTGATCTGTCATGAATACAAGGACAGGAGCAATGTCATTAACAGCATTGTAGGTCATTCCACTGTACATCTATCTTGTTTCTTGAAGGTGATTTTCACATATGATTTATAACAAACAGCCTGATAATGGCTGTTGATAACCCAGTGTATGTGTGTACTGTATGATCAGTTTCTTGAAGGTGATTTTCACATATGATTTATAACAGACAGCCTGATAATGGCTGTTGATAACCCAGTGTATGTGTGTACTGTATGATAGAAATCAGTACTCAGAAGTCTCAGAACAGCCTACCTCTCTGTAAGGAGGCTGCCACTTCTGTCATCTATTATGTCATTCGTGTTCATTTCCTTCTAAATAATGAGATATCCTATTGTTTTATACTTAATAGTCACTCACATATTAGGACATACCGAGGTGTGCCGCTCTAATGGGTCACTTTTTTCACAAAAAATCCCTAAACATGGGTCCCACTTTTAACAAAAATATATAAAAAATGGGTCTGTTTTTTCAAAATTTGCAAAATTTTTGGGTGCTTGCCATGCAAACACCAAAAATTTAGGAAAAATAGGTCTTTTTTGATCAAAATGCCCCCTAATAATGGATAGGGGTTTCGAGGCTTGAACAGCACACCCCCGTGGGCCCCGTCCAAACCAAATCTGAGTATCCCCAGGCTTTTTGGGCTGCTGCATTGTGTTAGATTTCTAGACTACCGGTAGCCAGACTCAGCCAGATGCACATGCAATGTGTATTTTTATTACATTTCAAGTTCATGTTCATGTTTTTTTGCACTGGTCAAATTCTAATCTTATAAATTGAGAAAAGGTGAAAGTGGTGCAACTTATTTCAATTCTACCATATCATCCATGTCTACGTACCATGGACACTAGTATTTGTCTGCCGACACTTCTGGGAAGTACGTTCTTTCCCTTCTGAATAGTGTCTGCACGTACGTGAGACTAGTCATGTTCGCTAGCACATTAGCGCTGCGAAGAAGTTTGAATATCCATCGCGAACTATGTGATTAGATAACATTCCTCCTCGTTTTATTTAAGTTTTATTGACTAATTATTGTGATGTTCTCCTTATTGACGTGCTGCCTCCTCTTCAGATTTCCAATTTCATTTTAATTGTTGATGTAATGATTTTCCATACGGTAGTGGATTACATGTAACACTATTAAAGGTAAAGACCAGTTATGGTCATGCGATTGCATTGTGAAAGAAACGTTGTGGAATCGATCAGAAAAGGTTGATCATCTAGCATCTGCAAGGTTCTGGATCATCAAAATGATAAGAAATTTGGCCCATTCTTTGTAAAGTTACAAGCACTATACACAGAAAGATGTATATGGGACTACCCTATATCTCTCACAGACCATGAGAGAAACAAATTTACCAAATATATGAATTAGTAGGCGGTTTCCCGGCAATTTTTTTATCATCATGTATTAGTCAAAACATATTATTTCACATGATTGGTAATGAGAGCTTCCATTTCATTTTTTGAAATTGGGACGTTTCCAATACTGGTCTTTACCTCTAAAAACAGACCTCTACTACTAGGGACTTTTAGATTTGCGTGGACTGATAAGTGTGACGTCCATTCAAGGCAGTGCTTTAAAAGGACGTCGACCATAGCAATCCAGATTGTCTTCGTGCATATCTAAAAGTTTCTATTTATACTGTCTAGTATGCACACGACTACTATTAGTCCGTTAATCAGGGGTCTATTCGCTATTCATAAGGACCGCTATTCATAAGGACCGTTATTCGTAACGTGTAAATTCCCGTACTTCCTGGTCCGCTATTCATAATGGCAAAAGAGGGTCACTATTCATAAAGAAATAAGGTTCGTTAATCATAAGGACCGCTATTCATAACTTGGAATAAGGGTCGCTATTCATAATTTATATTAAGGGTCATTAATCATAAGGACTGCTATTCATAATATGAAATCAGGGTCGCTATTCATAACACGGGAAGAGGGTCGCTATTCATAATACGAAATGAGGGTCGCTATTCATAATAGGAGAAGAGGTCGCTATTCATAATAGGAGAAGAGGGTCGCTATTCATAATTGGGTCGCTATTCATAATAGGAGAAGAGGGTCGGACTGATGGGGGGGGGCATGCCTTTTTCTTTTCTTTTGTTCAGAAATGTTTTCAATATGTTTTCAATAAATGTTTTCTACAAATATTCGGGGCCATATGGCCCCCTCCCGCCTACGCTACAGCCGTGGGGTATCCCCTATCCATTATTTCGCCTACAGATGTTTATTGCTTATTTAATTTACATTTTTTTATGAATAGCAACCCTTATACCGTATTATGAATAGCGATCCTCATTTCGTATTATGAATAGCGAACCTCATTTCGTAGTATGAATAGCGACCCTCTTCTCCTATTATGAATAGCGAACCTCATTTCGTATTATGAATAGCGACCTTCTTCTCCTATTATGAATAGCGACCCTCTTCTCCTATTATGAATAGCGACCCTCTTCTCATATTATGAATAGCGATCCTCATTTCGTATTATGAATAGCGACCCTCTTCTCCTATTATGAATAGCGACCCTCTTCTCATATTATGAATAACGAACCTCATTTCGTATTATGAATAGCGACCCTCTTCTCCTATTATGAATAGCGAACCTCATTTCATATTATGAATAGCGACCCTCTTCTCCTATTATGAATAGCGACCCTCTTCTCCTATTATGAATAGCGACCCTCATTTCGTATTATGAATAGCGACCCTCTTCTCCTATTATGAATAGCGACCCTCATTCTGTATTATGAATAGCGACCCTTATGAATAACGACCCCGATTTTGCATTATGAATAGCGACCCTCTTCTCGTATTATGAATACCGACCCTCTTATCTGATTATGAATAGCGGTCCTTATGAATAATGAACCTTATGAATAATGACCCTTTTCTCCAATTATGAAAAGCGGTCCTTATGAATAGCGGTCCTTATGAATAACGGACCTTATGAATAGCGGACCTTATGAATAGCGGACCTTATGAATAGCGACATTGACCCGTTAATCAAGACCCCTTTTTAAAAAAAGCCCCAATCTGTGCCGCAGAAAAATATAACGCCCCCCGCCTCCGACCCCAAGTTCATTAACTTAAAAAGTTATAAAACTTATATGACTATACTCACTACTTGAATCCATAATTCAACTGCTGCTTCAGCTAACTCGGCTCAGCTCAGGTTGGTTATAATAGCAGACGAAATGCACGTTGGTTGAATTGACTGGTATCAAATCGTGTGTATTGCGACTCTCGTACGGCTGAATGTTCTGCTTCGGCGGTTGATGTCCCGTCCACGTCGATACATATCCTCTCTACTTCTAAATGTGAGCCAAATTATTGTGAAATTTCACAGTTCTTTGCTACTGAGCTGGCTCTTTATCGCAGATCAGAACCCTCAAACTCCAGATAAAGAATTTAGTGCAACAACACAAATATATGGACTTAGACCTAGTACACCTTTATCTTAGTACACGTACACGCACACGATCTTCGCGATCAGCTGATGGCCTGATGGAAACGTGTTTACGGATATATGGCCTCATCGGGTCATATTAGAGTATAATTCACAGACTTTATTTTTCTAAAACTACAAAACTTACTTTCCTTCGAATATAATTATTGAGGTAAAAAGCATAAGTATCAACGATAAGAACAAAAAATATTTCATTTTGGTATATATTGCAATGTTTAATTGCATGCAAAGTCGAAAACTGTATATCAAATGTATTTGTCCACCACTCACGTAAACAGGGTCTAAAATAATTAGACTACAATGATGGCGCGAGGCACAGGAGGGGAAAACGAAGAATAAAACAAAGAAAATACGTCATTGGTGTTCCCTAGATTAAGTTTGCAAATCATAGACGGACTGGTCGATTTGAAAGACTAAAAAGAAAGGACATTGAGATTAATTTGGTGATACATGAGAGTAAATCTTTCAAATGAAAGCAAAAAATTAAATCAGCCCCAAACAAAGAGTTCGAGTCATGTTTCTCCTCAAGAAATAATGTGCAAGCTATCTTTTTCCAGAGACGTGTTATATTCCAAATGTCAATATAAAACTACAGGTAACCTTCGACCTACATCATTTTGAGATCACAAACTGACATTTCGGGCAGGCATTAAGGGATTACACATTGTGAACATTAACGTTTTTCTAGCCTTCTAGGTTGGGCAAAAAAAGCTGATTGGCTCATGTATTCTTGTAAAGTTTAATCATGGATAATCATGGACATATTCATGTTCCGTTCTGAATAATTATAGTAACTTGAAAATTAAAAGAGTCATAAATGTAAACAAACGAAACCATTATGACGTCACACAACGCACAATGCTGAAGATATTGTTTTGTGACGTCAGTTGTATAAACTAGGGCTGCCTTTGACCTCCTCGCTGATTGGCTCAAAGTTTCCATTGTTACGTCGCATGTTCTGTTGATACGGGATCCCGACCAACGACGAAAAATGTATTTATGATAAGATTGACAATGTTTAAACAGGGAGTTGAAACGAACTCCCTGGTTAAACAGGGCTTTTCCGCATTCTCCAGTTTTCACAAATTTCTTTGATATAAAGCATGTTAGGAGCAAATGATATGGATTTGGAAAGGGTAAGTCTAGAATCATGTAAAATGCATGATATTGTGGTAATGTATAAAATGAAATGTATGGCCTGCGTCCAGTGTTTGGACGGGGGGGGGGGGGGGCAAATCTCACTAGGTCGACTAAATCAATAAATCATTGTTGCATATTATTTTCTTGCCTCCCCTCTTTCTCTCTCTTTCTCTCTCTCTCTCTCTCTCTCTTCTCCCCCCATTTCCTCTATTTCTCTATTTTTATTGCTATTTTATGTAGATTATGATTATTACGTAGTTTGTATGTTACAGTATTATATATGTCTGTTTTATCATGGCGAACCCACCGGAATTTCGCCTCCTTCCTGGTGCTGATATAAGAACTTGACATTACATGCACCACACCATGATTATAAGCTCATGATCATCCTTGAAATAAATGTGTAAAATATGTCAGGACGCTGATTAGCCAAGGGGTAAAACCTATCATAACCGTAAAAATCAAATTAACTTGCTTCGCTTTCTCCCCAAGTACCGAATTAGCGAAAACTTACTGCATTTACTGCACATTTACATTGTCGAACTGTCACAATGAAAATTGGAATGGATCTAAATTAATCACTGACATATTGGACGAGCACAACGAACATTAAATATGAGGAATAAAAGAATTGTGTGCATTAAAATATACTGGGTACAACGTTCCAGCTCAGCTGCACTCTTTATCTGGATACATCTATTTTTCTTTCTTTTTTCTATGATTTTACCGTGAATATTGAAGAGTCATAAATGTCAACCAAAAAAGACATTATGACATCTACATCGGCTGCACGCGCGTGATGGCAAGGATATCGTATTATGACGTCAGCTACACTGAACATGCGAAATCATGGATGGCTGAAACTAGGGCTGCCTTTCACCCCGCCGCTGATTGGTGTAAAGTTCCTATTATGACGTCACATGTTTGTCGGGAAATACCACTGTCTATTCGCAAAAAAATTACCTTTATTCGTATAAAGGTAGATTGCAGACGTGGGGAATTTCTGACCAAGACTTCCACGTGTTGTTATTGTTTTCAGTTTCGCAACTTCATTGAGTGAGCAAAATGAATTTTGAAAGGGCCGGGTAAGTCCAGCGCAATTTGAAAATGAGAATAACAATATTATGTAATGACATGTCAAGTCAGTGACACAGATCCAGGATTACCGACAGATGAGGGGGTGGGGCAGGGGGCAACAGAAGGGGTCTCCAAGAAATGTTGGCAAGCAAATACAAATATGTATACACAAAAAGGATCAAAATCTAAGCGAGTGGAGGTATAAGTCAGAAAAAACAGAAAAAATAAACAAACAAACAAACAAAGGTTTAAATCTGGCATAGGATTACACCCCCCCCCCCTTTCCCCGAACCCGCAAAAAACTCTATCGTAGCGCGAGTTCGGTCCATGGTCCAGTCATGCTGGGATGAGGGAATAAATCTTATTCTTATCAGTTGAACAAAAAGAGGGTCTTGGGTCTGTCCACTCCCACATGAATGTGATTATTTTGTTTAATTCAGCAAATGAATTTCTTCAAAATCATTAGGCCTACAGTTGGTATTATTTTAACTATCCGTATACAATTCAGTCCAAACAACAAATGCAGGATAACACAATTTTTATCGTGATCATTATTTTTCATAGGATTACAATAAACAAGACGAGCAGCGTTTATAGGCACATCAATGTTGGGTTCCTTCTTTGAAAATTTCTCCAGTAGACGGATAATATGAAAATAGTTTTCTATTCGTAATCCTTTTTCTAATGTACAATAAATGAAATTAATATGTTTGGCAAATATTGTGAAATTAAAAGAATTACACAAACAAATGTAGATACATTAAAAATTATATTGTCCTCTCATCCAAAATTTAGATCGAACGGGACACTACTTCTAATCTAATCTGCAACCATCAGCAACTTGGTCTTGGACCAGTGCAAGAGCGCCACACTGAAACAACAAGGGCTACCAACGATGCCACAGCGCTTGCCCATTGTGAAGAGGTCACTGACCTGTCACCTCAGAGGAGACGACGAGCTGCGAGACAAGCCAAAAGACGCGACCGACTAGCCCTTGGACCAGCATCTGTGCATGCTACAGAGATCTCACTTGCCCTTCGACTTGTCCAAGCTAAAGGTGTTGTTACCGGACATGATTATCTTTCAGGAAGTAATCCTGGGCTTGTGTTTGGTTCAGCTAATGGAAATACGGTAAGTATCAGAGAGCATCATGTGTGGACTGGGCATTTGGAAGGGGGGGGGGGGTTAACATCCCCTCAGTTTTATCATCTTATTAATATCCTCTCTCTTTCCCTCCCTATCTTTTGCATAGTCTTGTCGTTATTTTTTTCTTCAAATTCTGAAAAATCCATCTTGCCTTGTTCTTTAAATTCTGCATGGAAAAATTAATACGGACTGCAAAGTTGGCTAGACGTTCCCCTCCTGGATCCTCAATCGAAATACTTTAGAAATTACCCTTTTCACCGCTTAATAATGTGTACAGAAAAGGGGGATTCATTTGGCCAGTTCACTGAGAAGACTGATTCCTTGCCAGCTCATCCCAAATAATTCTTGGTCTATGATAGAGGGATGATAGACCAGTTCACAGATTTATTAAAATATGCAATTTTCGTAATGTAACCAAATTTAAACTTTTGTGCCTCGATACGAATTATTTCATTCACCCCTTACGAATAATTGTATATCAATAGTCAGAATATTAATTTCCATATTGTCGGACAAGCCATAATGTCTGTCCTACCTAGCAATAGGCACTTTTAGATTCTGCATGACGAGAACGTGGACTGCCCTTTTAAGGCAATGTGACGTCACTGCCAGTCCCTTAAAAGGACGTCACATTGCCTTAAAAGGGCAGTCCACGTTCTCGTCGGGCAGAATCTAAAAGTCCCTAATAACAAATGCATGCAATTTGAATAGTCTGACAATTGAGATACATTTATTTGTAGTACCAGGTGAATGAAATAATTCATCTCAAGGCGCTTCACAAATACATTTGGTTACATTATGATAATGGCTCAATTACAATGGTCCTTTTCTAGGAGCCTAGTGATGAACTACTGCTTTCTCCTCAGAGCTCATTGAGCTGTTGCTATGTTGGGCAAACCCTTGAAAATGCTCGCAAGCATTTTCATTGTCATTATAGTAACAGTTGTTATAACCATAAGACCCGGGGAATAGTTGTATTTCAATAGTAGGAATGCAGTTTGCATACATAAGTTGTTGCTATGTCGGGCAGCCGCATATTGCCTTTCGAATTGTCAAGAGTGACCATTATTGTCGAGGCATGCAGGCATAGAATCTGAATACAATTGTGAAATGGTCTATTTCACCATCGTTCCAGCGTCATCAAAAATGTGTCCAATCATCACAACATCGTAAAAATGTGGAAAACATTTATTTGGTTGCGAAGTGACAATGGCTTTCCGCTCTTCTATATACCAATCAACCCATCACCATATCATTGTAATCCGTTTGGCTTTTATCGCATTACTAAGTGAATATGCTGCCAAAGTCGACATCACGGGGCTTCCGATTTGCAAACCACCGCCTTTCATTTTTGCCCGGAGAGCTGTTGCCACATGTTTTGGAAAGTGAATATTTGATTATTATTCTTTCCATTTGGGTGCACCGATGAAGCAATACTATATAAATAACACTCAACATCCCCGCTTAATTTTGTTTTGACAGTGCCTGAACTTAATAAATAAGGATTGCTTTCGTGGTTATTCTTCAAACACTTTAGAATTCAGTAGACATGGAAATAATGGAGGCATCCTCGTTGTCAAGCAGCTCATCAAGCCTTATGAGTGAAATCGCGGAGATATTCCCAGAACTGAGAACAACTTGTGATTCCATTGAAGTGCCCGGCTCATGCGGGATCGGCAATAGCAGTGGCATTAATCAGGTATGTGAATTATTGAGTTTGTATGAATTAATAATTGTATAATATCATTAATATTGACGTAAAAGAATACTTTAACAAAGGAGGATGGCAAAATCGCAAAATGTTTTCGGACGACATATGCTCCGGTGAAATTGCTCGTCGGTCAATTCCTTGCAACATGAATACGAGTCCAATTCTCAACTTTACGTTTGTTTCTGGTTCTAATATTAATATGAACATCGGTCGTGCTAATTCTAATACTAAACCTAAGTCAAACTCGACTGCAAACCTAACCATATAACCATAACCATAACTTGTATAACTTTGACGAAATTGTCATTACACTGCAAAAAAAATCATCTAATCAACAATACATGTATTATATTAAAAAATCATGCATACTTGTTTCAAAATAATTTGAAATTGTATTCAAATGAACAGCTTCAGTCTGTCAGTTGCAGTATAAGTAGTATTTATATTCCGTTTTAAAATAAAACATGAAACATATAACGCGAAATATATACATACTAATTCAAACGGATGGATATCCCTGCTTAGCAATAACATGGTATATCGCTGGTTTGCAGGTGGTTCAAGGTAACACATAGTGCACAATATACAAACACTAAAATACAATGCAACAAATTTAACGATACTAAAGAAGAACAAGAAAGGAGACAAGAAGCAATGAAGAAAACAGGAGAGAGGTGTGTGGTGGGGGTGGGGGGGGGGGGCGGATGGTTATATAATAATAACAAAATATACAGTTCAGGTAGACAAAGGAACATCCCTTCACTGCTATTATGTAAAAATGTGTAGAACGGGTGTCACATGCATATTCACCTGTTCTACACATTTTTACATAATAGAAGTGAAGGGATGTTCCTTTGTCTACCTGAGGAACTGTATATGTTGTCCTCTTTCTTCGTCCGTCATATTCATAGTGTAAGGAATGTGCATTATGAATCTGTTCAATCTCAGGGTTGTATTATTTCAGCTATGCTAATGCGTATGGTTGTATCGGGCAGACATTTTTGAATTAAAAATGTATTGACATTGGTAAAAGATTTAACATCAATAGGACGAGCAGTCGAGCATTAAACGCCTTAGCATATATGTATATATAATTGAATGACCTATTCAAGGATTCTGCGGCTTTGGTAACCGAAATTTATTTCCGAAACGGAAGGTTAAGGGTGAGTTACAGACTCAAGTTCATATTGTTAATATATAGGCGGTGGTTAACTCATTCAATATTTGTATATGTAAACACAAAGGAGTGTCCACGCCGTTTTTTTTCTTCTTCTAAGAATTGTCAGTCTAATGCGTTATGTAACTCAAAAACCAAAACAAGGGATTCAGGTTTTATTCTTAATTATAATACCATAATCAAATTGAGGAAGAATCAGTCATTTGTAAATTAATTTCAAAACAGACTCACTTATAGCGAACGTCTTAATCTTCCAAGGAAACCTACCATACTCTCAATCTTTTTAAAAAATAGTTTCAATACGCAACGTCCAATTTAAATGTTCATCGCATATCAGACCAAGGTACTTAACATTCCGTAATATCGATTTAAAGGAGTATTATGTAACAAAACTATTAATACATTTTGCTTTAAAATCATACATACAGATTTCTGACAATTATCACTTAGCTCAAAGTTGACACGACGAGTTATAAACTATTTCAAGTCTCGATTAAGTGCAAGTTCAATCTTATGTATTGAAAGGTGAGAAAAATACAGGACCGTGTCATCGGCATGTGGGACTCCACAATATGTTTAACAGATTCGAATGAAAGCTCGAAATTTACAAGAGTCCGACATACTCTCTGATCTCTGTCATATAACTTTTCAACCATGCGTAAGGAATACCCGTAATTCCTATATTTATTAAGTTTCGTAATAAAAAATATCGCAATTTACCGTGCCGAAAGCCTTTTTTCAATGTCAACGAATATTGTACCCATATATTCATTCTTTTCCATTGCCTGAAGCCAACCATTCTTCACCTTCAAGAGACAGTGTAGTGATGGTAGAATGGCGCGGCCTGAAACCAATTTGTGCAGACGCCCCCCAAAAAATTATGCAAGTATATGCTAAAGCCTGTCGTTGAACAACAAGCTGTAGAATTTTTCAACACACAAGAAAAGATCGAGAACGGACGATAATTTTATGAATGGGAATCATTGTTGCCCTTTTCCACTCTTTGCAAGATAATGCAATACTAGATGAAAATTTCAAGAGCACATTATTTCAAAATAAAGACAAACTCGCTAGTACATGTCTGTAGATGTCTGTACCGTTTTTATTTGCGGATGTGCCATAGGACCTTTCGTCATTACATGAATCCGCTTCAAGGATAAATTAAAATTCTATTAAAGTATTAAACATTTTTTTGTGGAAACAAATTAAAAGAAAATGCATCCCATTTTGGCATAATATTTTTTTCTTCATGGCCTTGCAAAAAGAAGATAATTGCGCCGGTTCCGTCTTGGGGGGATACACCAATGCCATGTAAAATAAATGCTTGCAAACGATGGATTTTGTGTTTAGTTTGGTATGATTTCAGACTTATAGATGAATGATATATAATTTTACGATCATTATGCAATTATATTTTTGTAGCTTTTACTACACAGCCAGGATAGTGATGCTCCTATGTGTGATTGTAGAATGGCTAGGCCTGAAACCAAATTGTACAAACGCCAACATTTGTAGAATCTTAAGATCTAGAACGGACGATTCTTTTATAAATAGACATTATTTTTGCGCCGATTCCGTCTTAGGTGGGATACACCGATGCCATGTAAAATGAATGCTTGCAAACGATGGATTTTGTGTTTAGTTTGGTATGATTTCGAACTTATAGATGAATGATATGTAATTATACGATCATTATGCAATTTTATTTTTGTAGACCTTGCTTGAAATAGTTTTTTTAAATGACATTATTTGTTTAGCGTTGCGAATCAATTAACAGAAAGAAAAAAAGGATGTGGTATAGACCTGTCATAAAAACATCCGGTAAAAATCCCATTAACAGAAATACAAAACGAAAGTACACGGGGTTGCGATAAACATATATAATGTTAAAGGAAAAGTATAAGGGAGAGAAAGAGAGAGAGAGAGAGAGAGAGAGTGAGTAAGAAGGAAATAGAGAGAGGTTTATATCATAATGACTTGATTTTTGTATTTACAAAAATGAAATCGTGATGCTTTTACCTATAGGGTCTATACTAATCTATCATTGTGTTTTTATTATTGTTACGAGCAGACGCTATTGTTACTGATTTCGCCAATGAATAGATACTGTAAAATATCATAGGCATGGTCGAGGATGGGGTTTAGACTTGGTAAAAGAAAACATCCTGCCACAACCATATAATTGTTTTGGTTTTCGCTTTATGTCTTCATTGTTTCTTAAATTAAATATCTTGCTTTTTTTTTTGGGGGGGGGGGGGAGAGGGGCTATAATAAGCCTAAATATCGATGGCATATCTCTACGTTTCCAGTCTATATACATGTATAGCCTAATGCAGCATGGTTCATTCTACCAGTCTTTATATATGAATTACTGGAAAGCCTCTACTACTAATAATCACAATGGGGATATCCTTCATGGCTTGTTCGAATTGAATCATATCATTTACTGTGGCAGGAATGATATTTTGACACAGCTCGGTCTCTGAGCGAACAATGCTTGCATGATTATGGATAAACGTACAGGATATACAGACAGAGTTGATAAAGAAACTTAAGAAAGATAGAAAAAAAGATTTACTAAAATGAAATACAATGAAATTATAATTCACTAAGTTTATCCTTCGATGCTGTGTTATAAATATTGGAAAAGTGAAAAAAAGTTATTAAAGAATTATAACGTGCGATGTCGATTATCAATCGTTTTTCTATATTTTCTTTTTTGGACACAGGATGACTGTAATGGCGAAAATGATGTGTTCGAGCCAGACTCGTAAGTATTACTCTCTTATATTCGATTCAAATACCAATGATGGACCTACAGGGGCATGATGTGGGGGGGGGGGGGAGGAGGGAGTGTTTAGATGGCTCGTACCCCTTTATTTTTGGAATACTATTTTTGGAATAGAGTGGTGAAGTGTGACGTCATAAAAAAAATTACGAACCAGAGCAAATAACACTGAGTTCCTATAGGAAATATATTTATTCAGATGGTCATATCTCAGCGAATACTGAACATATTCAATTGGTTTTCGACATTTCGACATCATTTTTGATGCTCTTTCGGAAAATGAAGAAAAAAAATTGAGATTTTTGATGACGTCACACTTCACCACTCTATTACTCTCTTATATACTCGATGCAAATACCAATAATGGACCAACAGGGGCATGATGTGTGGGGGGGGGGGGAGGAGGGGGTGTTTAGATGGCTTGTACCCCTCTATTTTGGAATACCCCTATAGAGCAATATACATGTATAGGCGCCTACCTCAATATCCAAATACTGAAACCGCCTCAGGTTATAATTCAAGATTAATTTTAGGGCAATGGAAAATGCCTCGTCAAACCACATCCTTAAGTTGTGAAAGGTATTTCCATAAACCGTGACGTAATGGGAAGACAAGAGTTGGGCAACAAAGGAAAGAGCAACGCTTCAAAATATGGTAAATCATTGTCTTTAATTTAGTCACAAAATAAAAAATAACGCTGACTCAGAGATGGATAAATTAATCATTTTTTTTATAAAGCACTCAGTTCGTCGGTTAATGCGTGGTCATTACATTCGTATTAAACTATGATTTTTAACAATTTGCACCGGAGAACTATGTCAAAAGTTCTGTTGTTTTTCTTTTCTTACAGCTGTTACTCAAACAGACAACACTTGCTCGATAAAACGGTGATCGAGATGCTGTCATCAAAGGTCGAATGTCAAAATCTAACGATGAAAGATGTTAGAACCTTTGTCAAATGCAAACGCGTAAAGGTAGGTTTAATATCAATTTTTTGATAAAATCATGTATTAGCAACATTACATCAAAACCTCGCCCCTTTTCCAAGACGTGTTCTTTATACCCGTTAATTTGTTGCGTAGCCAACTGAAGTGAGGGGGGGGGGGCGATATTTCGGTTTGGTTCGGTCGCAGGAAAACAATGCCAGTGGTAGAAATTGCAGAGGTAAAAATGGCAGAGGTAAAAAGGGCAGAGGTGAACATGGCAGAGGTAAACATGGCAGAGGTAAAAAAAAGCAGAGGTAACAATGGCAGAGGTAACAATGGCAGAGGTAAAAATGGCAGAGGTAAACATGTCAGAGGTAAAAAAGCAGAGGTAGAAATGCCAGTGGTAAACGTGCCAGAGGTAAAAAAGCAGAGGTAAAGAATGCAAGATGTAAAGTTCTGATGGTTTGTGCTGGAGATAAAACAGAGAAGTGGGAACATAATAAAATATATCATCAGTGTATAAACATATCCAAAAATACCGCTATTAAACACTTGCATCATACAAAGAATAGTAATCATCTATATATCTTTTTTGTTCTTTTGTTTAGAACATCAACGATCTACAGGAAATTGGTCGGGGTACCTATGGACGGGTTCTCCTGGCCCGACACGTTCAGTCAAAGACACCCTTGGCTATCAAACAATCCTGCAGATCAGACAATCATCAGTCGTCGAACGAAATGGTCGATAAAGCCCACGACGCGACCAGAGCCAGGGTAAAGAAAGAGGCACTCGTTCACCAACTGCTTTCCGACAGCCCTTTCTTTCCAAGGTTTTTAGGCACGCTCGATATCGACAAGGATCTCTGCTTAGCGCAGGAATTCGTTGGCAATCGCAAGTCGGGAATCGCCTTCCCTCTTCTCGAGCCTCCGCCGTTGTCGGTGGCAAACGGACTCGACATTGCAGAGGACGTCGTTAGAGGGCTGATGGAGATCCACGACCACGGGCTCCTGCACAATGATCTCAAGACTGATAATGTACTTCTCGAGAAAAGAGGTCACCGATACCACGCCGTCATCATCGACTTCGGCATGGTCAGCACAATCTCGTCACCGTTGCGGATGACGGAGCTTCCAGAGGCATTGAAAGTAGCGTACATCCACGGAGAGGAGGGCGATTACGTCGCTCCCGAGGTCATACTGCATGGACAGTCGACGTCGATTTCATCGGATGTTTTCTCAGTTGGCAAAATCCTCGAAGACATCACACAAGTTGTGGAAGGTAAAGTTTGTAATCGCTCTGCTTTTTGACTGCGCTTTGCTACATAATTATTATTCCATACGGCTAAGTTTCAAGTTATAATCCTTTCCCTCTTTGATGTGTATTCGAAATTCACCTCAGTGGCGAATTCAGGGGGAATAGGGGGCACGTGCCCTCCTTATCCTCCTGGTTAACACCCAATGTAGCAAACTTTATATATCTATCTGACCCTCTTTCTATAGGTTTATATCTCTCTTTATGTCACTCTATCTATCTATCTATCTAATATCTATATCTATCTATCTTTCAATATATCAATCAAACTATGTATCTATATATCTATTTATTTATCTATCTGTCCCTCAATTTACTATTCATATGTAAATATATATAAATATATATAAATATATATATAAATATATATATATTTCTATCTATCTATTTCTCTTTTCATATCCTTATTCCCCCTTCTTTATATCAAATAAATGTATGCGTCTTTCTTTCTCGTTTTCTGTCGCCTCATAACAGAAGGATCTCCACTCCTAAAAGACCTAACATCACTGGCCATCAAATGTATGAAGAGGAATCCGGAGTCAAGACCCGATCTCCCCTCCGTCCTCAGTCACCTCGTCACCATCAAGACACAATTAGTAGACCGACCAGTTCCACTTTGGAAACGACTGGTCAAAAAGCATCGATAGATAGTGCAGGCGGATCCAGTGATATGCTTGGAAATGGATGCGACCCCTCTTTGGAGAGAGAGAGAGAGAGAGAGAGAGAGAGAAGGAGAGAGAGAGAGAGAGAGAGAGGGGGGAGATAGTGAGAGAAAGAGGGAGAGAAAAACAAAAAGATAAGTGATAATATTTTGGGAAATAAGTGCTTTTACATAATTATTGTAAACATTTCCCTGTTGCATTAGTCAGCAGGCGGGATCATACAATTTTGAATCCACTTAATGAAAACAAAAATGAAAAAAATATGGCCTATCGGGGTGACTTTCTGGGATCTACCACCCCGGCCTGAAATTTGTCACCTATATTATTATGCAGTTATGAGATTTTTAACTCCTCACCTTGAAATGAACATAAAATTGAATGCAGAGTGAAAACAGGGGGTGTTTCACGAAACTAGTCATCAGTGACAAATGCCAGTTGTTGTTATAAGCTACTGAAACCCATGCTTCTGATTGGTTATCAGCAGATTTTATCCCTGATATTTGTCATTTGTCATTGAAAAAAGACTTTGTGAAACGGGTCCCTGGTTCTCTTATTTTAAACATTTTGAACGGGGAGAGCGAGAGATGTGTATGAAAATAAACCTATTAAGTTATAGAATTCAAGGGTTTTTCATGTGTTTCGTAGTATCTAATTTGATCACATGCTATGGATGATTTATTCATTACTATGTTTTGCGCGGGCGCATTACTATTTCGTCGTTGAAGCATGATTACTTATTCACTCTTTTGGGATAGAGTGACATTTACATCACATCGAGCCGATCGAGTGTGTTACCCAGGATGGGGGGGGGGGGGGACGCACTGCTTAAGGGCAAACGCAGAATGCAAAATTCATTCCAAAAGTATTGGGGCAACTGCCATAAACACCGCAGAATTGAAGAGAGAAAAAAACATCTGGGTGTTTTTTATATTTACGTTTTAAAACTATTGTATTCCTTTGGAACTTGGACTCACTGATCACTGCCAACTTAAATATAATTATGTAGCGATATTAATCAGCTCTCGCCCGTTTTGACGGTATGTTTCTTTTTAAGGACATACAAAAACAGATCTGCCACCCTTATTATCTGGTTCTACGTGTATTTTCAATATTGCATGCTATTTATATATTTAGATCCATTTTGATGGGTTGGTATGCTTGTATAACTTATGACGCCATTGTGTTGCAAAAACAAAGGCTTTCTGTGTAATCATTGTATATTCATTATTTAATAAATTTGAGTCCAGCTGCCGACGCAATTGGTGTGCCTTGTCTTTTTTCCGAGTCAGTTGATACGAAACCCTTGACCCAGTCACAGGCATGGGCGTCAATCAAAGGGAGGCAGGGGGCATCCCCCCCCCCGGAATTTTTTAAGGATGGAGGACACAATATCAAAGCCCCCCCCTCAATATTTTTGACTTCCTTTATCATGAAGCTCAAGTATTACACTGTGTAAGACCAAACTCTGTGTCCCGTTGCCCGTGGTAGGCTTTTTTTCTTGCAAAACTTATGATTTTCAAAGGACTCAATAACTCCAAGATATCTTCCACCCTTACCCCTAAATGCATGCATATGCTGCATTAATACATCACTTTCTTCAAAATCAAGAACTTCTTTGCATTGTAATCACCTCCCGGGAGGAGGTCACATCCCCTCAGACACCCCGCTGAAGCGTCGCTTCTATCCGTCTTTCATTGTGCCCCGATCCCGACCCCCCCCCCCCCCCCCCCCCCACTTTCTGAAATTCCTAAATCCACGCCTGACTGAGACCCCTGGGACCTTCAATAATATGTTAATTAAAATCGCTCCCTGTATAGTGTATCTGAGTTTCTGTTTATACGATTTTGATTGTTTGTATATCAGATAAATTTCTATTGAATATGATGCTCATACACGATTAGATTTGCGAATTGAATTGATAATAAAACATATGAAATATATTCATAACAAATAGATTTATAGGCCTACTATACAGTGACATTGAAATTGTGGGGGGTAAATCGGGCACAAAATCGGGCACAAAATCAAGGACAGCCTAAGTCTTCTTCTCATTCTTCTCCTCATCTTCCTCCCCCTCCTTCTTCTTCTCCTCCTTCTTCTTCGCCATTCTTCTCCTTCTCCTCCTCCTCCTCGCTCCTCCTCCTCCTCCTCCTCCTCCTCCTCCTCCTCCTCCTCCTCCTCCTTCTTCTTCGCCATTCTTCTCCTTCTCCTCCTCTTCCTCCTCCTCCTCCTTCTCATCTCCTCCTTCTTCATCCCAGGCCTCCTCCGAGTCCTCACTTACTTGGATTTCGATGGTCCCCCCTCTTATTCGTCAGTCCGAATATAGCCTCAATCAAGTCTAAATATGTTTACGCTACTCTTTTGTTTAATTCAAATAATCACATTAATTCAAAAATCAGAATAAACATTCATTATAAATATTATTTGAATAATTTTCCGACATAGTTTATTCAAAATGAATTTATTAGTGCAAAAAATATATTTTAAGATAAATTATTGAACATCCTCGCCTCACACGAGGCTACATCGCAGAGCTCGGCGCGGCCGATAGAATCAGACACGCCAATAAAACCAAAACAGCAACAACATTTAAAGGAACTGGAATACAATTGTGTGTAAAATGGCTACACCTCGAATTCGCAACCCATTACTTCGTGCAGTGCATGAGCATAATACGGATGAAAGATTCAAGAGATACAATTTGAGAAAATATTACGACGTTGAGAAGGTAAGAATTCAAAAACTGTCTAGACTAGATCTAACCTTGGCTTTTTCATCATGTTAGACCGCCGTTTTCTGTTTTAGGTCCCACATATTGAATTATGAGTAAGGTGCACGTTATCACACATAGGCATAGCTGCATAACTGGCTGTGTATTAAAAGCTGTGCCATTGTCTATTGATTCTCAATATTTCAAACACCACTGTACAAAACTCAACTGATTTCACTAAAAATCAGTACTTAAGTGACGATTGATGACACCTATCTAGACTAAATAGCAGTAAAATAAAAAAAAAATCAACTTTCCGATGTAACTTAGAGACCTCCGGGCTCTAGACTACAAAGAATAATTAAAAAATTGAAGTTGTGACGTGAGTCTACTGTCAAACTTGCCGATCAGCCGCATCGGCATGATTGTGTGTGTTATGAGTGTATTGACTATTCATGTATTCAATGCACATGTAGTGAAGTGCTAAAGGTCAATATGCATTAAGATTGACTCTCTCTATGCTTTGCTGGAGTGCACGCTATCTTCTTCCATGATTTTATGATACTGAAAGATTGGAGTTGAATGATTTGGGGCACGGCGTACTTGGGGGGGGGGGGGGGGGGGCTTGGGGGCGCTAGATGCTTGTGAAAAATAACCAAAATTAGTCAAACTAAAAGCAAACGGTGAAAAACAAAAAGTATTAGACCCTATGTTTAAAACTTTATTACAAATTTCTTGCTGAAAATAAAGATTTCTTCCTAGTTTGCATGATTTTTAAAGGAATATGACAATATTGGATATTATTTTTGACAATGTAGATTTCTTTTTTAAAGATTCAAGACTAAAGGAAAATCAAAATCAAAATTATGTCTCTGATTTTTTTTTCTCCATGGGATCTACAACAAATAAGGAAATGAACATATAATAATTGAGATTTACAATCTTGGGCAAATAGGGTCTAGATTAATGTATGTACGATCATGCTCATCATTTTCAGTATCACTGTTTTCATCTTTGTCCTTCCTTTGTAGTGGTACAGATGTGATGTTACCAAGCTCCCTGAATGGCTTTCTTCCAAGTTTGTACAGAGCAGTATAGACCGGAGAACAGAGCTTTTTTTGGATGGTTGTTATGAGAAGTCTGGTTGGTTGATGACCCAGATGTGGCATTCCTTAGCCAAGGCTGCTCTTGCTTTCTTCATGTCAACTACCTCAGTTAATGGGTAAGAGAGAGAGAGAGAGAGAGAGGCAAAAAGTACACAGAGATTGGAGAGATAACGAAATGAGAAAGGAAAAGAGGGAGAGAGAGCTCGGAGAGGGAGAAAAGGTGAGAGGGAGATAGAGAGGGGAGAGAGGGAGAGAGAGAGAGAGAGAGAGAGAGAGAGAGTGTGTGTGTGTGTGTATGTGTGTTTGTGTGTGTGAGAAAGAGAGAGAGAGAGAAAAAGAGGAGAGAGAGAGAGAAAGAGAGAGAGAGAGAAAGAGGGAGAGAGAGACAGAGGGGAGGAGAGACAGAGACAGAGGGGGAGGAGTAGAACTAGAGAGAGAGAGAGCAATGTTTGGACAATTGCTATGGGGAGTCTGGATGATATGGTTGCTGACTCTGATGTGACACAACTTTAATAGCCAAAGCTGTTTTTTCTATTTTCATGTCAACTACCTCAGTTAATGGGTGGGAGAGAAATAGAGATATATATATATATACAGAGATAGAGAAAAGGAAAAGAGAGACAAACACACAGACAGAGAGAGAGAGAGAGAGCAAGATAGAGAGACAGAGAGAGAGGGGGAGACTAGCAGAAGAAGAAGGAGAGATACATCCAGACAAAAAACGTCGAGTGAAATAGATTTGTGGACTAAAAAACCATGAATCATGAAAAGCTACCCTTAGTTTCCGAGTTAAGGATAAAGTAGTGAATCAAATGTCAATCATTGAGATGATTGCATACTTGCAACGCAACGTTTCTCATTTTTCATTAACGTCGCCTGGCTGGCAGAAGGGCGTTAGCTCTAATTTTAGGTAAAAAATGAAGCGCTAAGCAGAAGGGAGTTAGCACTAAATTGCCTCAAACTTTTATAAAACTGACTTATTTCCGAAAAAAAATTGTGGCTGTGTTCTACTATAACATTTCTATTAGTCTTTTAAGTTGTAAACCATTTTTTGGGATGGAAAGCAGTTTAAATATAAAACAATTCTTTAAATGATAATAATGCGAAAAGTAGTGTTCGAGTCACTCGTGCGCTAACGCCCTTCTGCCAGCTGGTCGACGTGATTATGATCCTGCCCAGCACCATTTTTTTATGCCTCCGTTACGAAGTAGCCGGAGGCATTATGTTTTCGGGTTGTCCGTCCGTCCGTCCGTCCGTCCGTACGTCTGTACGTACGTCTGTACGTACGTCCCGTTCTCGTGATCACGTTATCTGAAGAACGGATCAATGGATTCCTACCAAACTTTGGTCATTTATGTATCTAGCAAAGTCGATGAACTGATTAGATTTTGGGGTCACGAGGTCAAAGGTCAAAGGTCACAGGGCTCATTATGTATGCAAAAACAGCTCGTGATCGCGTTATCTGAAGAACCGATTGATGGATTCCTGCCAAACTTTGGTCATGTATGTATCTTGTAGAGTCGATGAACTGATTAGATTTTGGCGTCACGAGGTCAAAGGTCAAAGGTCACAGGGCTCATTATGTATGCAAAACGGCTCGTGATCGCGTTATCTGAAGAACCGATAGATGGATTCCTGCCAAACTTTGGTCATGTATGTATCTTGCAGAACCAATGAACTGATTAGATTTTGGGGTCACGAGGTCAAAAGTCAAAGGTCACAGGGCTCATTATGTATGCAAAAACAGCTTGTGATCGCGTTATCTCAAGAACCGATTGATGGATTCCTGCCAAACTTAGGTCATGTATGTTACTTGCAGAGCCGATGAACTTATTAGATTTTGGGTAACGAGGTCAAAGGTCAAAGGTCACAGCGCCCATTATGTATGCAAAAACAGCTTGTGATCGCGTTATTATTAGAACAGATTGATGGATTCCTGCCAAACTTAGATCATTTATGTATCTTGCAGAGCCAATGAACTGTGTAGATTCTTGGTTCATAAGGTCCAAGGTCATGGGCTCATTATGTATGCAAAAATAGCTTGTGAACGCATTCTCATTAGAACTGACAGATGGATTACTATTTAACTCTGGATATCTTGCAGAGCCAATGAGCTGAGTAGATATTAGGATCATGAGGTCAAAGTTCAAAGGGTCATATATGTATATGAGAAATTGTTTGTAATCACGATATTCTGAGAACCTGTTAATGGATTACAATTGAACTTGAATTTGAAAAATTTCTTCCGTTTTGGTTTGTAAAATTGCTCTATGACGGAGGCATCATTTTCGACTGCGCGCAGTCGAATTCCATCTAGTTTTTTTTTAATCTGATTTAAATCTTAGTTTTTATGTCACATTGATTTAGATTCCTGAAGAGGGGGTCCATGTTTGTCTTCTCAAGAGACCAAATCCAACGCCTCCTGGGAGTGACAGCTGACTGGAAGGCTGAAAGGGTCATTGACCTCGGAGCGGGTGATGGGGAGGTAACTAAAGAGGTAGACTTTATGTTTCAGGAGGTTTATACCACCGAAGCTTCATGGACTATGCAATGGAGGCTGTCCCAACGAGGCTATAAGTAAGTGTGACTGTTAATTCAGTCTAATGCGCTGCCAATTTGCGTTTCAGTTAGATTATTTTCAGAATACCATGAGCTACCGTTTCTAGAATAAACTTATTGTGTAAGTAAGGATTCTGTACACGCTGTTTGAGAATGTTACATGAACATGAACTTGACTAGATTCCTTATGTATGGTGTGTATATTTTAGCTTGCCAGACTATCAAAATTTAATATAGTCTCATGTACAAATTGGGCTAAGGGTATTATGTCTGTATGTCCCGTGATCGTGATCGCGTTATCTCGAGAACCGATCGATGGATTCCCGCCAAAACTTGGGTCATGTATCTATCTTGCAGAGCCAATAAACTGATTAGATTTTCCCGGTCATGAGGTCAAAGATCAAAGGTTCATACATGTATATGACAAATAGCTTGTAATCTCAGAACCTGTTAATGGATTACAATCAGACTTGAATTTTAAAAATTGCTTATGTTTTGATTTGTAAAATCGCTCTACAGCGGAGACATCATTTTCGACTGGGCTCAGTCGAAGATCCATCTAATTTAGTATCAATTTGAATCAGGGCAAAACATGTATCCAAAGAGTTTAGGATGAGTCTTTGTCTTTCTCAGTAAGTCTCATGATCTTTGACCTCGGTTCAAATCATTCATTGGGCTAAAATATGACATTTTTGTTTTCCTCCAAAATATGTGGGCAAAGTAACAACAAAACATTTGTAGCTTCACAGGGCCCTGTTTCACAAGAATTGTTATCGATAACAAGTGCAACAGATCTATGAAAAATCTGCTCTTGGCCAATAAAATGCAGGGATTTCAGTAGATTTCAACAGTTAGTGATAACAAGATTCATGAAACAGGGCCCAAGGGGAGTGTTTCACAAAGACTAAGATCGACTTTAAGTTGGACTTAACTATGGCAGGCCGTTCGTGCCACTGTTTTCTCTCACCATTTACTGGCATTGGTCTCTCAAGAGATGTACAAATCATGGTCACAAATCTACAGAATTTAAATTTGTTGATAGTTCATTACTGAAGGAAAAAATCTACAGATCATAATGGTGAGAGTAACCAGAAGCATAAACAGCATGCCATAGTTAAGTCCAACTTAAAGTCGATCTTAGTCTTTGTGAAACACTCCCCAGGTTGCTTATGAAATGTCACATACTGGTACATGTCATAGCTTTTTCTTCGTCTGTTTTACCATTCAGAATACTTCCCATTGATGGGTGGAGTCAGGAGAAAACTGGACATGCCTATGACATGGTTTGTTGTCTGAACCTACTAGACCGATGTGACCAGCCCCTGGTACTCCTCCGGGATATCAGAGAGTCCCTATCGCCATCGGGTGTGGTCGTCATGGCAGTGGTATTACCCTTTAAGCAGTTTGTAGAGTATGGTAAGTATTCTTGGTAGTGCAATCATTGACGGGCCTTTTGTTCATATACTAACAAAAGATTAAAATCAAAGTTGGTATGCTTTAAAGGTACTATGTCCCATTTGCAGGCCAAAAAAATGATAAGGTTAAATTCCGACAGCATTTAAAGGATAATACTAATTTAGAACATCCCTAAAAAGAAGGGGGGCTTGAAAATGTCTTTAAGTGGGAAAATAACAACTATTAGTTTTCGAATCGACTTAAGAGCTATAGAGCCTAAAAGTAATAGTCTGCATTTCAGACCATTGTACCGAATGGTTGTACGTTTTATGCTGGGCAAAGAATCGATTAGTTTAATTTTGGCCATTACAAGAAGTGGGTTACTGATGTAGACAAATGCTCATGTACCCTTTACAGCTCATTGTATGTATGTTATTTCCAACAAAGAAAGAAAGTCAGTCAGTCACTCAATAGTGTCTGATAGTGAAGTCTAGCAAGTAAACAGGTTTCCTTGCATAATTTGAATACTAGGACACTGTTAACATTTAAATTTCACAGATAGGACATACGTGACATATTCGTTATTCCTGCAAAGTTCTACAGAATTTGATGTTGGCTGCAAAAGGGACATAGTATCTTTAACAATCAGAATGTTGGAGAAAAAACAAACATGTGAAGTATGAGCAGTTTTTCTGTCATAAGTTAAACAGTTGTAGCAACAATTAGTTTTATGACACATCTCAGAGAATCATGGCCCAAAGTAGATTAAAGTTGAATAATCTTGATACGTTTTACCTTTATCTTTTTCTGTAAACTGCAAACTCTCGGGTCAAACAAAGATGCATTAATTTTTCATTTCAAGGTAGGATTCTTGTTTCTTTTGATTTACAATGTGTGAATGTGTCTCCAGTCAAAGAATGTTTGGACTTTTACATAAGGAGTAGTAATAAAGGCTGCCATATGAGAGATATTAGAGTATCTGGTCTCGCCAAGATGGATGCTGAAGATCGGAAGGCACAGAGAAGGGCCATGAAGGAAATAAAACCCACAAACCTAGAGTGTGGGAAAAACAAATACTAAATGATGATTATGATGAAGACGATGATATATCTATGTTTGTCACACCACGGAGCCATCCGTTAAAGGCTGGCTGCACTAGTTTGGCCAGAAGGGTTAGACCACACAGCGTGGTCAATGACAGGTGGCTATCTTATCAACTGAGCTCTCAATTAACATAAGAAAAAGAGGATCATGGGGGACCAATGGTCACCGATTAGGCATTGTTTTCTATATAGAGGGAGCAAGGAGCTACAAGTAGGACAGTGGGGCTTTAAACTATCTAGTCACGGTAAGCTGCGGAGAATTCCAACACCGCTTTATCGGCTCTCTATGCCATCTCTTTCATTTTGTAGGCTCAGGCCAGAATCGGCCCTCCGAAGTGATCGAGGTCCAAGGAGAGACTTGGGAGGAACAGGTCCATCATCTAGTCCAGGGGGTGTTCCAGCCCGCAGGGTTCCAAGTCCGTAGCTTCTCCAGGGTGCCTTACCTCTGCGAGGGGGATGCCACACAACCCTTCTACCATCTGGATGATGCGCTCTTTGTACTGGAGAAAAGCGAAGATGCTCGGAGCAATGAAAAGGAGAGAAGTGAAGGTGCTCCGAGCAGTAGCTTCAGCATGGTAGAGGAACGATGACGAATTCCACGTTCCAAAAGATGACAGTACTAGTGATACAGAATGATTTTGTTCCTTTTGGACAGTGACTCGATTTTTGATGGGAGACTTCTACCAGTGCCTGTGCAGAGATGCAATCACTTCTTGCTTTCATTACAGATGATATTTATTACACTGCCTTATGATGTTACCAATGGAAGATAGAGAAAACTCATTAGTCATTCCACAATGGAATCCTCATGGTTTTGAGAGAGTAGCTTGTGAAATGACTCGTGTTCACTGTAGCTGCCAGAACATTTTGCCCAACTTGCCAAATGCCAGTATATCAAATTAATATGGTATTTACTATCATTGTTCATGGGGACTACGAAAATGGTCATAAAAATAGAAACTGAAGAAACTCAGAAGAGATGTAAATGGAGTTTCCATAATGCAGGTCCCCACAAAAACATTTTGTTTGTCGAATTATGCAATTTCATTCTTTCCTACTATGCAGTTCATATCTTTGCATATGTATGTATATTTGATAAAAAAAACAATTCTAATGATATCTAATGGAAATGGAGTATATTGCTTTTGACACAATCATTTATTGGCTACTCTTAGTTGTTTGGTTAAATGTATATCATTCATAGATTTTAGAAAGCATGCAACCAATCTAAATGAGGAACCTTGCTTTCTGTTTGTCAAATTGCTTTCATGATTATGCCTCTTTGGACAATTTAATGATTTATTCTTTTTAGTCGAGTTGGTTATTGTTTTATTTACTGTCATGTGGCTGATATTATGACATCCAATGTCTATTCTTGTACATGTTGTTTACAATTAATTAATTTTTAGATATTTTTGATATCAAACTCCCCCCCCCCCCCCCCCCCCGAAAATCATCCTGCATCTGTAACTACATTTTGAGCACACATGGCCTTGTGTTGTCTACAACCAACATTGTAATCAATTTTTATTTTGATTGTTAAATGCACTTATATTAAGTGTTCAATTATTCTGCTCACTGTTCCACGTACATGTGCACATATTACTGTTTCTAACTTCCTATATTTTTTCTTCTGTCAACTGTGCAATAAATGAGCTTCCATATATTCAGTGTGAATATTTTGTCATTCTGTTTCATTTCTAGTCTTTTGTTTTCACTTTAGATGACAGGAGAGAGGGGGGGGGGGGGGCAGAGGGTGGAGAGATGGAGAGGGCAGAAAGAGAGATAGAGAGAGAAAAAGAAAGGGGGGTGGAAAGAGTTCAATTAAAGTTTTCAATAAAGCCGTTTTCTTACTGCCTTGATAGTTTATGTTAATATGGTCTTGTGGTAGATCCATGCCTTTCTAGGTAACCCACTATATAAGTAACATTTATCATATATTGCAATTGTTTGTTACATGTATATAAGAAATGCATTTTCGCAGGTGATAATGCAATTTGACCGTTCTGTTGACCGAGTTGTCGGCTTGTTAATATTTTTTCAACTAGCAAAGAAAAAGTGGCATCTTTAGGTCACAATAAACACCAACTATCACAAAGATGCCAATGGTTTTGTTTCAGTCTTTCTGAGAAAAGCCGATGGCTCCTTAATCAAAATTCTGAGTTTGAATACCTGCAAGAGGTGCACCATTTTTACTCAACATCCCTTGTATGAATCAAATAGTCATTTTTGCACACCTACACACATTGTTCAATCAACCATTTATCTGCGAGGAAAAGCGAAATGTTGAGAGACGCTACCCTCGCATCTGTCCAACTTAAATGTCCACAATTTTATGTGATATTTTTTTTGTGAATTTTATTTTTCCATAAGGAATTTGTGATTTCTGTATCGCGTTTTTGTCTTGTGAAGGTCAATTTCAAGCGTTATGTAATTTCCAGATAATTTTCTATTTTCATTATCATAGACATTACCCAAAAAATCAAGTTAATGATATATCATCACGTATGAGGTATTAAAAGATACTATGTCCCTTTTGCAGCCAACATCAAATTCTGTAGAACTTTGCAGGAATTATGAATATGTCATGTATGTCCTATCTGTGAAATCTAAATGTTAGCAGTGTATTAATATTCAAATTATGCAAGGAAACACGTTTACTTGCTAGACTTCACTGTCAGACACTATTGAGTGACTGACTGGTTTTTTTTCTTCTTTAGTAATACATGTACATACATAAATTGAGTTGTAAAGGGTACATGGGCATTTGTCTACATCAATAACCCACTTCTTGTATGGCCAAAATTAAACTGATTCAATCTTTGCGCAGCATAAAACGTACAGCCATTCAGTACAATAGTCTGAAGAAACAGACTATTACTTACTGGCTCTATAGATCTCAAGTCTATTCGACAACTGATAGTCATTATTTTCCCACTTAAAGACATTTTCAAGTCCCCTTATTTTTAGGAAGGTTTTAAATTAGTATTATCTATCAAATGCCATTGGAATTTAACCTTTTCATTTTTTGGGGTTGCAAATGGAACATAGTACCTCTAATACAAGGTATTTTACAACAATTAAGTTTCCTATCAACCATTCATCAAATTTGTGAAATATTACATTTATATGCTTTGTTACAGAACGACACAGAGGGGTAAATTTTTTATTCAGCAAAGCTGTTTAAAATACAATATTTTATCAATTCGAAGAATGGTCGATAGGAAGCTTAATTGTTCTAAGTACCTTGTTATTTTTGTATTAATAAATATATAATATAATTTGTACACGTTTAAAAAAATGTATTATATTCTTTTTTTGAAAATTAAAAATGCTCTAAAATTGTCAATCTGTAAGACTTGGAATTGATCTGAAATAGTAAATAGTTTTACTTGTTTTGAGATGTGTACATGAGGGATCAAAATTGTGAAATATTGGCTTTTAATCTAATGCTGTTTTCATTGCTTCAAATGCATGACTTTTATGGGGCATTGCAAGAAAGTTGCGATTGATTGAAAGTTGCAAAATTTGCAAATCGATTGCAACTCAACTTTCTTGCAACACCCCACTAGTCTCCTAAATTTCCTAGGATTTTTTAACAATTAAATTAAGTTAACTAGATCTAGCTTTTATTCTCTGCCTCTCTTTATCTATGGGGCGTTGCAAGAAAGTTGAGTTGCGACCATAATCACAAGACTTAAGCTTGATTTGGGGGATTTGAAACTTTCTTGCAATGCCCCATTACTCTTCTGTTCTTTTATGCAATCTCTAACCTTCCTTTTCTAGTCCCAATAGTTTGCTTTCGTCCTATTCTTCATCTTCTATGGTATCTCCATGTCTTCTTTTATTTCCCCTCTATACACAAGAAGTTAACTCTCTTAAAGGTAAAGACCAGTTATGGTCATGCGATTGCATTGTGAAAGAAACGTTGTGGATTCGATCAGAAAAGGTTGATCATCTAGCATCTAGCACCTGCAAGGTTCTGGAATCATCAAAATGATAAGAAATTTGGCCAATTCTTTTTAAAGTTACAAGCACTATACACAGAAAGATGTATATGGGACTACCCTATATCTCTCACAGACCATGAGAGAAACAAATTTACCAAATATATGAATTAGTAGGCGGTTTCCCAGCAAATTTTTTATCATCATGTATTAGTCAAAACATATTCTTTCACATGATTGGTAATGAGAGCTTCCATTTCATTTTTTGAAATTGGGGCGTTTCCAATACTGGTCTTTACCTTTAAAAAAGCAGGCAAGACATGGTCACAATCAACATTTCAGCATCAACCAAGTAAGAACAGATGCACATGCACTCTCATTCTTCCCATGCATCGCAGAAGACTGGAACAGACTGCTTTTGTTTTAAAAGTCAAACAAACATATTCCCCCCCCCCCCTTTCTCTCTTTCTCTCGAAAAGATACTCTTATAGAATACACATGACACTTAGCATTGCATTCAGCAGATACTTTATTCCCTGACTGCACTATTCACAAAGGGTTTATCGCAAGATGTTGAATGCGACGTGGAACCATGACGGTAGATTTACTTGGCGGATGATTCGGCTTTCTTCAGCTTGGCCATCTCTCTCGTCAGGATTACGTTCCTCTGTAAACAGAAAATAAGAAGAAAAAAAAATGTTGGAAATGCTCAATTTTATTTCGCATGTATTACAACTATTGCAACTCTTGCATTTCTTTTTTGCACAGGGTTGCTGCAAATATAGTTGTCCTCAAAAATGAATTTCTCCATTGCCTGTCATTTTATATCAGAGAAATATGTGCCAGAATTTCTGCTTACAAAAACACTGAGAATTAACTATGTCAAACATGATCAATGTGCCAATTTGAGATTGTTATATACTAGAACTATAATCAAGACTTTAAAATACAAAATATTAAATTATTGTGTAATAATTATTTTTAAAAAATTGAAGTAGATAATTCCATCTAGTTTTTATTATAACAACCTCACTGTAAACTGTAATACACAGAGATTAATGTTGTCCAAGCCGCCAAGGTATCACAACCACCTCTTAAATTACCTCTTGCAAACTTTGAAGGATCACAATCACATTATTTCCCACAAAATACAAAGTTTCCCCCATGGATATAGGTTAGAAAGACTGACTAGCAAGGAATCCCTGGTCATCATTTGAGCTAAGCATTTGGGTTTATTTAAAAATTTTGTTACGGTTTTATGAATGGTTTCACATTTCATTCCATCTTCTCACCTTTTGCTTGGCACGCATGAGCTTGTAGCGGTCAAAGTCGGTCATCTGCTTTCTCTTCTGCTTGGCAGCGAGCTTCTTGGCCCAGATGGTGGCGTCCCACTTGCTGGTGATCTCGTCCTTTTCCCACGCCTTCCTTACGGTGCTGTTACGCGCAGAATGAGGAATGCGGATAACAAAGTCTGTCAAGTGAAGCTGCTTGAAGCGCATTCCCTGGCGCTTCACGCCGGAGAGTGGTCCATCAATAAGGGCCTAGGATGGAAACACAAAGGTGAAAAGTGGGGTAAGTTACAATACATGTCATATGTTATAAAAATATTCTGTTTTTTAAGATGAGACAGAGACTTATTCAAGACCAAATAAACGATAATTAAGAAGTCAGTCTGACAAAGTTGCCTGAAACAAACTGAAGCAATTAATTATGTAACCCTAAAAAGGCTGGGTCATACAGGGCAAAGCCTCAGCTGTTCCCCCCCCCCCCCCCCAACCTCGTCCATGGACAAACAAAACATCTTGATATTTAGCATGTACATATAATAACTCGATATGAATATATAAAGGAAAGTTAGTTTTTATAACAGGAAGTATTTTTTTAATAACCATCTAATTAATTAGCTTTGTGTGTATTAGTATAGGGAAATATAGATATAGTGATTTTGAAGCGCGAAGCAAATTGTTTGGATGCTGTGCACTAACCCATTGTCCGACTTGGTGTCAACAGACTTGAGGCTTAAATCACAGGGTTAAAAGAAAAAATCTGCTGAGTTATTTTGGAAAAACTACAGGGCAGTGGAATCCAACCCCAAGCCATTTTAGGGTCAGGAGTGTTAATTGGGCAATCACTCAATACCCCTATACATGCTCACAAGCATGTGCATCAGTTTGCAAAAACCAGCAACAAAATGAATATTAATTGCAGAGGTACTCACCCTCCTCTGGTCAATGACATCAACGATGACACATAGCTTGCCCTTGTTTTGTCCGCTGGCGATGTAGGCCACACGGCCGACCTCGACGAACCTCCTGAACACCTATCAAACCGAAAGAGAAAATGCAATATTAGTTTCAACCAGGTTACATGCTCGTACTCCCTGGCTCATTATTATTATCAAATGCGTGTATTAACTTTAACGTGTATTAACTTTAACATGCATTTCAGTGGGATGACAACGAAATAGTTTTTATGATGGTTTCTTTGAAACGTTGCCTAGTTTTATAGTGTGGCAGAATTTTATACCAGAGATTTCTTGGGATTAAACCCATAGAGCATCTGATGTCATACCCTAAAATTCAAAGGATGCAAGCTTGGAACTATAGTAAAAGACATCGATTTTAGAAATGTAATTTCAATACAGTGAATTCAAAATTCCTCTTCTATACTAGGGTAGGATATCCCAATTTGATCATTTTGTTAAAATCTTGAATAAACCCAATATCTCATGAAATGATTTTGTTTTGTTTCTTCCCCCAAGGTCTATATAAAAGAAAGAATTTGTTTTCCCTCAAGTACGATTTAAAGGATAGGGAAGAAGGAGTGAATTCCAAGTCATCATTTAAAGATACATGTAGTTTATAGTCATTAAACTGTTATCAAGTGATTAAATCATTCTTAATCACAAAAGTATGGGTGATACAATTTGGATATTCATATGTATAATGCAAAACTGATGTATGTTCAATGACACCCCAAAAATGAAAAGACACTGTCATATGGGCAGAAGTAAAAATTGAGAAATTTGTTTCATGATGCATTGAAAAGGGAACAAATGAAATTGAACGACAATGAGTACATAGTTCCATCTTTTTCAATTCAATTCAATTCAATTTTCATGAAATAAAATTTTAAGACAGGTACCCTATGAGTCGAAATATAAAAAACCCTCCTGATTCATTTAAGCTCCCAAGTAGAAAGGTTTTATGAAAATTCAATTCATGTAGCTATGATATTTTTTTCAGAATGAAAATTGGATGAATGCAGACAACACTTTGAATGAAGAAGAACACTTTAATGTTGAAGCAACTATCAATACGGCGGTGAAAATTTTCTTTTATATATGTATGGTGGTTGGATGAAAAATGAGTGTGCTTTTAGTGGAAACTTTTGTTTCTAAAATTCTGCAAATATTTTTTGAGGAATATGAATCTGAAAGTTGAATTAAGAATATCATGGAAAATCTTTGTGAGAAAAAATTCTGCAAATACAAATGAAGAATAAAATGTAATTTACAGAATTTTTAGCATCAACAAATTTTTCAAGAAACCAATTACGGTACATAATTTTGGTTTTCACTGTGATTTTTTTTTTTTAATGAGAGCTGAATAAATGACTTGACCCTCAACAGTGGTGGTGGAAAATCAGACAGAATCTGAACATAAAATGGATTGCAACTAGTCTGAATTCATGTAAGTGACAAGTCCTTACATCAATCACGTTGCAATATTAGGAGTTGCAATTAATATGGAGATCAATTTTCATACTTTCAATTTACTATGATCACTTCAAATTAAGTGTATAATAAAAAGTAAAAATCCACTTTCCTAATCTGAAAAAATGTAGATATTTATTTACATTGGGAACTGCCCTGAAGTACATGGAAAAGGCAACATGTGAGGAAGCATAATGGAATAGACAAGAAGGTATAATTATGGTGAAAATATTATGTACAAGTATAGTATAACAATTTATCCATATCAGGAAATTTGACACTGGTTACAAAGTACTTAATACAATACAAATATATAAATTGAAATATTACAGAACAGTGATAAACATTATGAACGAGGTAATAAATGGACAGGAATTTTAGAAACAGAAGTTTTTTTGACGAGACAATACTTTTTTGTATTTAAGCAGAAATCCACCCTGATATTAAGTTAATTTAAATAGAAGCAGGAGAAATGAGAGGAACAGGTCAGTGAAATTATGAGCAATTTCAGATTTACAATAAGAAATTTATGAATTTTTAAGTTGCGATCAATCAAATAGAAAATGGTAACTCTGTAAATCTTGTGAGCTCCCCTGCCATTAGCTCTGTACAGAAAAGTTAAGAAACTCTCATCTTTTTAGTTATTGATTGATGGTTTTGATTTGTTTCATACAGATTTTACAGGGGTTGAATAAAAACAGTCAGGAAATTTGTTAAAGAGCAAAAATAATTTGTATTGATTTTTTTAGTATCAGAGCAAAAGGGAGGGGAGATTTCCAGATACGTCACGGAGCTAGTTGTCAATTTGTGTTTGATTGATCGTAACTTCAGGAATCATAACTTACTTATTTTTAATCGGATATTGGTTACTGATCAACTTTCATTTATTTGTTTCTCTCATTTTTCTGCTTCTATTGAAACCTAGATCTACTCAATATAAGAGTGGACTTCCCTTTGACGATGTAGCAATTAAACTAAGGCATGATGGTGATGAATTTCATTTTATAACCAGACCATCTCCGCCTGCGCCTGAATACATACCTGTCCTCCCGCGGTTACACGCTAGAACGCATATTAAGATTGAACAAAAGAAATCTTATTAAACCTCTCATTAAATTTATTACCACTAAGTTCATTTTCATTGAGTGTTTTAGACTCCCCCTCATCTCTCTCTCTCTCTCGCACTACCTCTCTCATGCGGAGTCTAGACCCAGCTCATTCCACCTGTATTGTGCCATTTGTGGCACCGTACCCACAGCGAGTGTTGCTCTCAATTGTGTAGTGTGCATTCTTTCTTTCCCTCACACGTACACATGCATAGCGTTCAACTCGTGTGTTGCGATGTGCACTCATCGGACATTACAATCACGCATTTCAACACTTCGCAGTGACATTATTATTGTGAAATACACTTGTCTTCAAAACTATTTAGATTATGAAATATATATAGTCCAAATATTATAATCAAACATATCACAGAATAATAATAATACACTCATTTAGGAGGCATATTATGGGACAAAATTATGACCGTACCCTATCAGTCATGCTGGAAACTGTGAAAAAGAAAGATGCTAACGAAAGAGGGCGTAAACTCAAATTAATATTCTTACATCAAGCTTGGATAAAATAATTAAAGAAATATATTTCGATTTTCAACAGTAGTATTCGCTATTAAGAACATTTTTTGGAGGTACAGGAATAGAACGCAAATGTTAGTATAAATAATATTTCTTAATGGACTACCAGTGTCTAAAATATAAATTTTCTATCCAGCTTTATTTCCCTAATCAGCTATTAAAGTAATTAGCTTTATGTATGGAACGCCAAATTGGGGAATATAATTATGTCATTAAATTTCTCCTTCTTCTGTATAATTATAATACTTTTAGAACTATCAAAATATTGAATATTCACACACAAAATAAATGCAAAGGATAAGGACACATTTTAATCTTTGACTCGAAATTCTTATCCAGAAAGTTTCTCCTTTTGGCTGATGTCTATTCCCATCAGCAAATCTCTCTCTCTCTCTCTCTCTCTCTCTCTCTCTCTTTGATGATGACTTATTATGCGCGATATATTAAATCTCGAGGTATTAAATACAGCCTTGTTCAAATATATGCAATACCAGGCCCGTAGCCAGAGTTTTGTTTTTTTTTTTTTTTTTTGGGGGGGGGGGGGCACATACATACAATAAATAATCGACGTCCGGAGTTGTTTGGGGGGGGGGTGCAATACTGGTTTTATATGAATTGTACAAGGTCGAGGAATGATACAGGTCGGAGGCCCTATTTCATTTAGGGCTGGAACGACTACCTTCTTCGGTAATTTCTGCCAAAACTACCTCTGCCCCGGCCCCCCCCCCCCCCACTCAGTGTTATTTAGGGTCCGCATATGCGTGTTCCAACCGACCCCCCCCCCCCCTTTTCAGCAAAAGTCCGGTGTGTAAAGTCAACACGGCTCGACCTTTTTCTTTTGTATACGAGCCTTTTTCAGCACCCCCCCCCCCTTTCAGCAAAAGTCCGGTGTGTAAAGTCAATACGGGTCGACCTTTTTCTTTTGTTACGAAAAGGACATTTTGGCAACACGCATGGGGTCCGTCCGTTCTCGGAGTGGGGGGGGGGGGGGGGGGGGGGCCGGGACCTCTGCATTCAAAGCAGAGCTGTTCACTTTCCCCACAAGCCAAAAGTAACTGACCACTCAAAGCCACACCTCCAGTTAAAACTCCCTAGTGGGGGCTCTTAATTAATTGTACTAGAGTGCGACCTAACTATTCAGTTTCATCATAAGTTAGGAAGCACAATAATTAAATACGACAAGCCTGTAGTCGGAAAAAACAAAATCCGCCTGCATGTATTGGGATTATTCAGGCGAATGCATCAAATTTAGTTTAACAAAAAGAAAGTTACAACGATTTTTTTTTGTCCAGTTGTCCAGCCTCCATGTAGTTAATGGTAAGATTTGATTTATTCACATATCAGACTACAGACAAACAAGTAAGTGAAGTAACAATGAATAATGAACCTCCGTATACACAAGGTACATGGTACAAGAAGAAAATATTTCACAAATGTATCGCCCACCGGATCGCCCGCATGGTTTCTCTTTGTATTTTCAAACTCTGAGCTATTATAGACCTCTTACATAAATATATATATAGGAGGATCGTCCCATGCCAAAGTTTACCGAACTTTTCTGATGGTTGACTTAATCAGTGGCAGACTCGACCAGGCGCGGATCCAGGATTTCTTAGGGGGGGGGGGGGGGCCCAAATTTGAAATTATGCGAGCCAAATATTGGTACGTAATGGCGACCAACAGTGACGTAATGCGGGGGGGGGGGGGGGGTCGGTGCAAGGGGGGGGGGCGAGTTTCCCCCTCCCAGGTTTTGAAGTTTCATTATATTATTAGAGAAAGAAGACGATTCGTTGTACCGTTCTCGAAAATAATTCTCGTCTGAATTTAGTTTTTTTCCCTCCCGCGAAAATTTTACGATTTGTTAAATTATTAGAGAAAGAAGACGATTCGTTGTAGAGTTCTCGACTCTTAATCCTTGTCTAAAGTCAGTACCCCCCCCTCCCCCTCCTGCACGAAGCGCGGAAGCTTTGACGTTTAATTAAACTTTTAAAGAAAGAAGACGATTCGTTGTACCGTTCTCGACCCTTTATCCTCGTCTGATTTCAGTTCCCCCCCCCTCCCGCGCCAAGGGCGGAAGCTTTTACGTTTCATTAAATCATTAGAGAAAAATGACGATTCGTTGTACAGTTATTGACTCTTAATCCTCGTCTGAATTCAGGTTCCCCCCTCCCGCGCAAAGCGCGGAAGCTTTTAATCTTCATTTAATCGTTAGAGAAGAAGACGATTCATTGTACCGTTCTCGAAAATAAACCTCATCGGAATTTAGTTCCCCCCTCCATCCCGCGCGAAGCGCAGAAGCTATTACGTTTCATTAAATCATTAAAGATTCTTATTACCGTTCTCGCCTCTGAATCTTCGTCTGAATTCAGTCCCCCCCCCCCCCTCCCCTCCTGCGCGAGGCTTTGACGTTTTATTATTAGAGAAAGAAAACGATGCGTTGTACCGTTCTCTATACTCTTAATCCTTGTCTGAATTTCAAAGATGTTCTTTGTCTGCTCCTTTTTCTTCCTACGTCCTCTTCCGATTGGAGGGGGGAGGGACCGCCCCCCCCCCCCCCCTGGCTACGCGCCTGTGGTCAGATAAACACATCTTGATACCTTGTCCGACCCCGCAAGCTCAGGGGTTTAAGGCAATAAATTACGATCAGATAAGCATTCAGGGGCCCGCCTTAGGGCCCCTGGTGGGGTCGAGGCGGCGGAGCCGGCCCCGGAAGCTCAGGGGTTTTAGGCGTTTAATAAAGGTCATATGAGCACATTTTTGTGTATACCCAGGAAGCTGTAATTAATGGAGATCCCGTCCAAGAGGCCCCTTTGAAGTCATCCGTGGCACCGCGCGTCTTTTGTTTCCCATACCGTAATCCCCTTAACCCCCTCCGAAACCGTACAGCTCCCTAGTAGCACTAAGTCTTCCCTTTTCACACACAGCCCAGCCCAGCGAGCACGGCGGCTTTTGCTTTGCCGGCCCGTACTGGGGTGAATAGTGGTGATAACTTGACAACTTCTAGCTTTAAATCAATAAATGCGCAAACATATAACACAATTTCTTTTAGTTCTTTAGGAAGATAAACCGTTGGACTACCTTCCTAGCTATGTACACATTTCGGAAATTTTCGGAAAATGTAAATAATTAGATGAGAAATCATGATGATGAAAACCTTTTATTTGCTCTAACTCATGATTTCCTCGGTCGATTTCGCTGGCTGAAATGGCAATGTCTTTAGTAGAGCTATCCGAGAACGGAAAAAGCATTTGATGACTAATAGAAAGTTGCATTGGTCATATGTTGTGAATTCTGTATTTTATATGTTATAGCTAAATACATCTTCACTGAACATGACTTTATTTTTCGGTGCGACGCATGGCTTCAAAGCCCGATGCTTGCATATTTTTGCAAAAGAGTGAATAGAAAACTTAGGGAAGCAGATGGCGTTGCGTAACATTTCGTACTATTTGGAATTGCAGAGAGGGACTGTGTATTGATATGGACAGCTGTTGATGGAAATGATGCCTGGAGAGGGTTACATTTCTTTTTGTTAAGCCAGGTTAATCTTGAATATTTTTCCCTCGGAAAATTCTTTCGAGACGATATCTCCATTCATTACAGCTTCCTGGTATACCTTATTATTTTGAGACACTGGCAAGTCACTATTTGGCGTGGGGTCCAGGGGGCGGAGCCCCAAATATCAGGGGTTTTAGGCATTAAATTACCGTCAGATGATCATCTAAGGGCCCGCCGTAGGGCCCTAGATGGAATCCAGGGGGCAAAGCCCCCGGAAGCTTAAGGGTTTTAGGCATTTAATCACAGTCAGATGAGCATTTTGATGCCTCATTATTTTGTTAATACTCGCAGTTAACTATTCTCACTTTCTTGCTCTCATTCTATTTTATTTCTCTTTAATATACTTTTTCAAGAAAGTGGGGGGGGGGGGGGGGGGAGCTCGAGGCTCTCGATCCCCGCCGTACCTCGGGCCCTGACATGTACGAATCTCAAGAATCATATTTTTTGCCTGGTTGTAAATTTAGGAATTTGTCATTTTTCAACAAACACATACAAACGTATAATTTACCAAAAAGTGAGGAAAAATTTCGGAAATTATGCCATTTCAGCATTATTTGTAATCCACCGTTGTGGAATTAGAAATAAACCACGTTTGAATTTGATTTCCCCCAAGCCCCCCCCCTCTATCAGTACGCCAGTATCTCCTCTTTTCCTTTTTTCTTTCCCTTTCCTTCCTTCTCTCTTATTTTTTTTTTGATGGGGGGGGGGGGGGGGGAACAGCCTGGGAGGCAAGGCCCTTTCGGCCTTCGATCTCCTTCTTCCCTTTTTTCGTTTCTTCTTCCTCTTCTTTCTTTCCCCTTTTCTCCTTTTTCCCTTTCCCTTCTTTTCCTTTCTTCTCTCTTTTTTTTTTTTTTTTTTTTTTTTGCGGGGGGGGGGGGGGGCCAAGGCCCGCTCGGCCCCCCCCCCCCCCCCCTGGATCCGCGCCTGGACTCGACTGACAGTGAATATTATGAATGGTGCGTGTTAATAACAGTTTATTTAAGAAGAATGAGCTGATTAAAAATTCCTGGAATCTCGGGTCAAGTTCAAGAACTTGATACTGCCGTTGAGAATAGTTCTCTATATATGGCATATGCAGGGGAGGCCGAGCGACTTCTAAAGTAGGGGGGGGGGGCAGGGACCCAAAAAGGGCACCTATAAAGAGAAATCTCATAGCGAAAACATACAATTTTTTTTTAGACATTGGCATAGTGCAATGTGTTACATAGTACTAGTGTTTCACTTTGCCCCGGATGTCCGGGGCAAAATGAACTTTTAATATTTTGTTCAAGTTCATAGCATATAATAAAACTGATTACTTTGAGAAACATTGTTAGTGTCATTTGTTAGTGATAGTCCTAAGGTAAAAGTATAAACCAAGTGTTTTGCTTTACTTTGCTTTGTAATCCTGTTCTGGTTGTTCTAATGTTTGGTCCACTTTGCCCCGGGTTCCCTACCCGGCTATATTGTGATTACATTATAAGGGATGATTTCAATATTTGTTTCACTTTATACACCATACAAGATATTGCTTAAGCATGATACTTTGCAGTTGTGTGTGACAGTCTGAAAATTAATTTGCGAGCGAGCGAGCGAGGGCAAATTTTCAGATTTAAGAGGTCGCAGTGCGAAAAATTACATCTTATAAAGAGGAAAGAATCCAATCCTGATGTGGTTATAAGCACATTCCCACAACGGAAGACTGAGAAGACATTTGATAACTTAAATATATCATCTATAAATGCGAGCGAGTGTAGCGAGTGAGATTTTGGGGGAAATTGCTCTTAGTCACTTGAAATTAGGGGCGCGTTTAATGATGAGAGGAAAAGGAGCACGTACGAAGAGTAATTATCAGAGGTGAAAATGGGGCACTTCTTACACCTTCAAAAAGAGGCACTCAAAAGATGAAAAATAGGCACTTATGAGAATAGGTAATGGGCATTTGTCGACGGAAAGAAGCCCCCATCAGATTTTGATAGGGGCATTTATAAGAGGTGAAAAGGGGGGCAATTATGAAAAGGAGATAGGTCCCTTATTAGAAAGGAAAATGGGCACGTATCATTATGAAATGGCAAATTATCAGAGGTGAAAAGGGGCACTTATCGCACCTGAAAAGGGCCAATGACCAGATATGAAAAGGGGCACTTATAAGAATGAAAAGGGTATAAGGAAAATGTGCGTAGTTGAAAGAAAAGGGGCACCGAACAGCTTATAATAGGGGCATTTATCGGAGGTGAAGGGGGCACTCATCTGTAGTAAAAAGGAGTAACTTCTCGTACCTGGAAGGGTCATTTACCAGAGATGAAAAGGGGCATCTATGAGAAGGGGAAGGGGCTCCTTTTTAAATGGGGGCACTTATTATTAGGAAAAGGAGCACTTATTTGAAAGGAAAGGGAGCACTTGTCAAATTAAAAGAGGCGCCTCTCAGATTTGAATAGGCCAATTATCAAGGGTGAGGGGGCAATTATCAAAACTGAAAAGGGACACTTCTCGTACCCTCGAAAAAAAGTACTTATGAGAATGGAAAACGGAAACTCTTTGCGAAGGAAAATGGGAACTTGTCGGAGGAAAGAGGCACATGTCAGAATAAAAGGGGCACTTATTAGAAGTGAAAAGGGGAATTAAGGGGCACTGTTAAAATTTATAGGGGCACTTGTCTAAATAAAAGAGGCACTTTTCCCATGTAAAAAGGGGTACTTGAAAAAATGGAGGGGGCATGCACTGTGCCCCCTACCCCCCCCCCCCGGAGGGCCCCTTCTGGGCATATATAATGTAATATGACCTGAACATCACTGTGTTTTTTTCCTCTTAACCCGTTGACTACTGAATTAATTCATTTTCATAGAATACGGGGACCACCACAGGCAATGGGTTAATGAGTCCCCGACGTACCCCTTCAGGTGGTCTGAAGTGAAATAACTGTAAAATAATACTTCGGGTGAAATGGTTTGTTCCTATTAACCCCTTCCATGCATTCCATCTTGGACTTAGAAAGCAGCTGAAATTGGAGTTTTTTTGTGTGAGTGTGCTCTTGCATGGAAGATATTTCCCTAACTGGACTTGCCAGTGATCGAAAAAAAAAAATTAAAACAATATGGTATATTTTTATGATCACGATCCTTTTAAAAGTGCAATTTTGACTGAATTGCCTTAAAACCCAATCAAACACCCCCTCAGGTCACTCATGCCACCCTTACGGTCAGAAGTTGAGATATATATTTAACAAAAAGAAATAAGAATGCATTTATCAATTTTGAGCCTTGAGGAACTTTTTAAATTTTTAACAGAGCTAAAAAACATAGTCTCGCGTTAATTCGCTTAGAATATTATGAGAAACGCGTTCCATACTTTTCATTCATTCATCACAATGGCGGCTCAGCAGCATGTGTCTTGCGGGCGATGCCTCAGCTGTGTTCCCGACATCTCAAACTCGATGCAGCTAGCATCATATGCAGGGTATATCTTGAAACCTTATTTATATGTTTGCAATGTAATTAATCTTTTATTGAACATGGAAACCTAGAATTTAAGTACCTGTATATGTAAGGCAAGACCATGACGACCGCTAGTCATTTTTGCGTGTGTCACAGTCGGTAGACACAGACTATACTAGACAGACACTGAGACAGTCCAGTCTCAATAATGTGTGTGTGTATGTGTGCGTGGTGCAGGTGTGAGATGACTGAGTGATAACTCGTCGGCCTTCATCTAGCCTTCTACAACTAGTACTAGGCCAGGTCTACTGAGTAATGTGTTTTTAGCCTAGATCCTAGGCGGCTATGCCTAAATAAAGCCTGGGGCATGCCACTTGTTGTTAATGTTAGATTTAGCTTAGCCTGAAATGGACCAGGGGACAACTCGGCCCAGCTGCAAAAACGGTCATTTTTTGTCATTTTACCCTAACTCTAACCCTAACTTTAACCCTAAACCTAACCCTAAACATGCAAAAAATTACCGTTTTTGTACCTGGGCCCGAGTTGTCCCCTGGTCCGAGTTAGCCCGACTCCCTTGAAATTACTGTAATAAAATCTCACTAGGGGTCTAATCCATTTGTTATTGTTCAACAAAATTTCTTTAGGAGAAACACAGAAAAGAACCTTGATTTTCACACTATTCACTGCCGTAAGAGCATTTTCTTCCGTAGGTTTTCATTAGTTTGTACTCTTGTATTGTAGACCGGCCACACTAGAATATAGAGTCTAGCACACATAGGAGCATCACTATCCTGGCTGTGTAGTAAAAGCTGTGCTTTTGATTCTCAACATTTCAACTAACGTACTGATGTTAAAAAGAATAATTTAAAAATTCAAATTGTAAGTCTAGTGTCAAACTTTTCTTACAGCTGCATCGACATGATTGTGTAGAGTCTATGCGATATTGTGTGGTGTGTGTATTTGTGTATGGGTATAATAATACCTGCCTCACAGCATGTATGCAGTGCTAGAGGTAAGTTCGCATTAGCATTGGCTCTCTATGCTTTGCTGGAGTGGAATATAGTTGTGTACCTTTCCAGTTTTCAGGGAAATCAAGGCAAAGGGTGATTTTTAATTGTTTTCTTTCTTTGTTTTTGCTTTTGTTTTTTAATAGTCTAGATTTCTAAAATGGAATTTCATGCTACTCCATCTTTACTTTAATTTGGTCCAAGGTTACTTTTGTTTGTTTCCTTTTTTTTCTTAAAAATCACAATTTAATAATATCTTGACTAAGTTTGTACCTTTTCGCCATAATTCACATTGATAATTTCAAAAGTGGTGTTGCATCCATAAATATCTTTTGTCATGTTTTTCTCCCTTTTTGCTCAGCTTCGACTTTGTGGCAATGCCCATCGTGCACCCGAGATTCCAAAGAGAGTTTGTAGAAGGAAAAGCCAAAGACAGAGTGGCAGCATTTGCACGATCAGACTTACTATTACCAAGCCAAGGTAAGTGTATTCAGCTAGTTTTCTCTGTTGAGAGTCAGGTGGTCATTAACTACAGTCAAAGGTCATTACCTACAGTCAAACCTGTCTATAGCAACCACCCAAGGGAAACACAAAAAGTGGCCTTTATAGACAGGTGGTCTTTGTAGACAGGTTCCTTTAGTACATGATTCAATGAGAAACCATTTTCAAGGAAAACAACAAATGTGGCCTTTGTAGAAAGGTGGTCACTAAAGCAGGTTTGACTGTATTTGCTATTAAAAGATGTGAGTGAACACCCTTCTGGCATAAAAGGTTAGGTTAGAACAAGTATTGCTCGGTGGAAAGACCGGCAGTTTTCAACAGGGTCACCTCAATTACATCCGTATGCTAATGCTGATGATGAGGATTTGTAGATATAAAGGACTATTTAAAGCTTATCTGTACTAGTTTATAGGAGGGATTAGACCAACCTGCAAGGTCACTGCACAGGTGGTTATCTCATCAAATCAGCTCTTAATTAACATAAGAAAAAAAGGATCATGGGGAACCAATGGTCACCGATTAGGCACTGTTTTCTATATAGAGGGAGCAAGTAGCTACAAGTAGTAGTACCGGTACAGTGTAGCTTTAATAGGTTACAGATAATAAGGTAAAATGTGAGAAATATTTTGACAGTGAAACCGATCCTTTAGACCTTCTTTCTAATAAGTAACTGAATTAAATTTGTGATCAGAGTTCTGTCTTCTACCGATTGATCAATTTTGCTGACTTACAGATTGTGAGTTTTGTAAAAAACCTATTCAGAGAAAGCACAGATTTTCGGCTAATTTTATGATCCACATCCTAGAACAGCCTGGACACTGCAAAACTGCTCCTAGAGACCAAATAACACTTGTTTCCAACTCTTCTTAGGAGCACTTTTTATGAATGATATTAATTTATGAATGATATTTATTAGTCTGCTGGCGCAAATTATTAGGTGTCTCTTGGAGGGACAGAGTTTCGAATGAAGAGGTGTTGCATCAAGCTCAAGAAAAGCGGGTTCTGATTCAAACGATTAGAGAGAGACGGACGAAATGGCTTGGACATGTAATACGGCATGATGAGGGCTTGATGCTCAGAGTCATAGAAGGTCGTATTCATGAAAAGAAGACCTTGTAAAGGCTTTCTAGACGATGTAATCACGAAATGTGGAGCAACAGGGTATGAAACGCTGAAACATATGGCTCAAGACCGAGGAACTTGGAGAGACACTTGATATAAAATTTTGATTGGGTCACTGAACCTGTCATAAACTGACAGATCACTATTGATGAGCCTTTAGAAACAGATTTGACTTCTTTTTTTTCCTTTTTTTTTAAATTTGCAGATTGGAGTGCCTTGGTTGTTGGCAAGCTGTCAGAATGGCTGCAGGTAGATGCGGAGAACACTGTAGTACGTCAGAACTCGCAGGTTGCTCTGATGCAGGAGCTGAACTATGCGGCCCATCTGAGTCTGCCAGCTGTCCTGGTGCCCTTGAATAATATCAACTGTGTTAATCTGGCGAGGTGCCTCTACAGTCACATGCAGGGTCACAGTAACCACCAGGTAAGGATGGATGGTAGGGTTCGATTGCAAAATGGGGCAAGGGGTGGATTAAAAGGAGGAGGAAGATTGGAGAGGGGGGATTAGATTATATAAGTGTGGAAGGAGGGGGTTGGTGTATCTTGAGTCTCCTAACTGTCTTTGAACCCTTTAAAGCTTATCAGTACTAGTTTACAGGAGGGATTAAGCTGCTCTGCAAGGTCACTGGACAGGTGGTTATCTCATCAACTCAGCTCTCAGTTAACATAAGAAAAAGAGGATCATGGGGGACCAATGGTCACCGATTAGGCATTGTTTAATATAGAGAGGGCGCAAGTAGCTACAAGAAGTGCAGTGGGCCTTTAATAGCATTCACTGCGTAAACCTTGCACAACACTTCGGGGCCATATCAGTCACAAGAATAGGAAGTTGCATTAGGGGAGGGGGTGGTTTGAAGTGTTTTATCTGTGACTGCCTTTGGTCAGGTAACCTTGGGCAATTCATTGTGTTACCTAAACAAGATGTCTGTACAGCGGGTACAGCCACCTGTAGTGCCATAGCAATCACCAGGTGGAAAAGAACACAAGAGCAGGAGATTTGGAAAGCTTAAGAAGGGGGGGGGGAATATGTTTATCCTGCTTTGTTGGCCCACCTGAACAGTATTCACTTCATCAATATGTATATGGTCAGCAATTAAGAGATGGGGTAGAGGTCTGGGTGGGGCAAGAGTATGGCAGTGCTGGGTGGGGGGGGGGGGGGGGGGGGGGTGGTTGATTGACGTCCCCTCAACCTGCCAAGATATCTGCACAGCCATAGGCAACATAAATATAGGGCACAATGATGTGAAATTTTCTTGACCCATTTCGTCTTGGTTCTTTTTCAGGTATGGATCCATGTACCTATTCAAGCTCCAGGCACAATGGTCGATGATGTGGTGGAAAACCCTGTATCCTTCGATGAAACCAGCAAAGACAACGAGCCCTGGCACTGGTGGAACACACTACGACGGGCCTGCAACCATCACAAGCGTCTTGGTATAGGTATGTGATGAACACCAAGTAGACTGACTACATGAATGTAAATTTATACTATTTGAAGAAATAGAATCCATGTTTTGATGCGATAAAAGAGAGATTAGTATTTTTATTGAGGTTGATAGGTCGTCATATGACTAGTAGAAACCAAGTTCTGAGTTGGACAGTTCTTTACTCAAAGTAAAGATTCAACTAATTTTAAATTTGAATAGTGTGTTTTGATTTGTAAAAGATTCTGTTCTTTTCTTTTCATGATTTAACAGTGTCTGTTACATTGTTATCATCACATTTTTAATGTTGTCGGGATGATGATGTGAAGGATTTTCCAATACTTGTCTCATGTAACTTATTCCAGCGGTCACACGTTCTTGATGAGGAAATTATAAAATGTCTAAAATACTTCAATTTTCGCTTTTGAATATATTTTATTTCAAGACTACAAATAGCTCTCCATAATTTTTAAGTCCAACTTAGAGTTAAAGATAAACTCCAGTTCTGGTAAAAAAAAAAAGAAAATTAATTCTCACAGAATCAAATGAAACTCTACACTGAATGTTCAAGATTACAAATAAATGACATGTGCCAAACAATTTTTAAGGAAAATGTATACTGGCTGAGTAATGAGCATAGAAAGACAAGGAAATCAAGGTAGTACTAGCTCCGACACCATGTGTGTTGTCCCATATATAGCTTTCTGTGTACAGTGCTTGTTACTTTACCAAGACTCGGTCAAATTTATTATGATTTTAATGACTCTAGAACCTTGCAGCGCACACCAATACTTACGTGCTACATGATCAACTGTTTCTGATCCATTCCACACCTTTTCTTTCACAATGCAATCGCATTACCAGAACTCACCTTTATCTTTAAGTTCAACTTAGGATCTTTGTGAAACACCCCCTGACTATCAAAAGATGCTTTACTTTTTTCAGCTCTTGAAGCAACACTAGACCTGCCATCACAAGATGTGATTGACAGATGGATGGGTGAACCGGTCAAGTGTGCAATCTTCTCTACTTCTCTCTTCCTTACCAACAAGAAAGGATTCCCAGTACTCTCGAAAGCTCATCAGTCATTGGTCGTGCAGCTCTTTAGGGTGAGTCTGAATGTGAAATCCTCGGGGGTATTTCACAAAAACTTGTCATCAGTGACAAACGACAGTTTTTGTTATAAGCTTCTGAAATCCTTGCCTCTGATTTGTTAACAGCAGATTTGTCTCTGATTGTTGTAACTTGTCCCTGACAAAATGCTTTGTGAAACACCCTCCTGTTGGTTATGCCCTGTGTAGGGTTGATTGGTGTCTGGCTAGTGCGTTGTCTCTTCATAGGGTTAATTGGCCAGTGAGTGGGTTCCATGAGTGGGTCATCATCATCATTTTCTCATCCTCATTAGCATCATTATCATCATCATCATCATCAACATTATCATCATCATCAATACAATTTTTTGTCAATTTTTCCCACATTGTAGGGTTGGTTCCTTACTGGCCTTCGAAGCCTTGTGCTGGTCTTCAGGAACCATCTGGGTTAGACCAGATACTCGCATATCTTCATCTCTAAACCCATTCATTCACTCCACATGCAAATTAAGATGGAAATATCAACTTAGGGTTGGATCAGGTGATAAGGAGCATTTTCAGACAGATAAAGTTCAACCTCATAGTGAATATCACCTAGAACAATTGATACACCAGTCCTGTAATAAAAGGTTTATGACCCAATTATCATTCAGTATTATACAAATAAGTCATGTTTGTGAGTGCATTTGTGAATATGCACTGAATGCAGGTAAAGCAGCAACGGAATAATGAGTGAAGGAGTGACCTCCACACTAGTTCTTTTGAGAAAAAAATAGCTGTTATTCATATTCTTTTATATAGGTATAACTATACTAGTCTTGCTATTTGGAGCTGTTTGTCTCTCAAATGGGCAATTAAATATCATGAAAACCCAAACCCATTGGCACTACGCTCAAAGATCTCCACTCTAAACTCGGAAACTTAAAAACAACCCTTCCCCCTTCTGTCTGTATTCTCTAAATCAACAGCTAGACGTGCAGATGATGATCAAAGGTACCAACAGGCATCCGGACAAAGGTATCAAGGCGTACCAGCAGTACATGGAGCATCTCTACCAGTCCCAGCCCCCTCTAGGAGGGGTCGATGCATTCGCCAAGGGCTACGAGGACTACCTACAGTGCCCTCTACAGGTGAGATTGAGAAAGGACATTTATTGTGTGTTAAATTGTATGAACTTGTGCCCTTCTGCCACTCTGCAGTTAAACTCCAAATGCTTAGGCCACCTAGCATATCGATATGATTTTTGAGAATTTGTAAAACTGTTGATGAATTGCTCTTTGGTTGATGCATTCGCCAAGGGCTACGAGGACTACCTACAGTGCCCTCTACAGGTGAGATTGAGAAATCCTGCGTTGAAAGCCCAAAAGGCATTTACTGTGTGTTAACCCTTTCAGGACGTGATTTACTTTCAGGGCTGAATTGATCACATGTTGTTCAAATTGGCAACAACAATATTTTTCTTATATTGCTTTATTGTCAAAATAAAACGTGATACCTCTAAAAACAATATACATGGGTCTGAATATTGTAGAAAAGTTGGAAAAATTTGCCAAGTTAGATTGAATTTGTCAAATTTCTAATCTCTCAACGTGTTGCGAATTTCAAGCTTATTTTCCTTTTCTAAATTCCTGACATCGAACGCGAGATGGTCATGAAACACAAAATGGATGCAGTGTGTGCAGACTAATTAACCTTTCTATTACTGCATCCGGCATATTTTTAGGGCTCTGAATGTGGAATGATTGTCATGTTATATAAGCTGGCGCCCTTCTGTTTCTCTGCAGATAAACTCCAAATGCTCAGGCCACCTAGCACATCGATATGATTTTGTGAATTTGTGAAGCTGTTGATGAATTGCTTCTTTTTTTTGTTGCTCATAAAGTAATATTTGTAAAGGCTTGAATGAGAATGCAGAATGAAAGCAATGAGGGATCAAATGTCTACAATACCTTTCTTCAATGCTTCATTTTCAATCTCATTTTACAATTTGTTTTACAATCTCATTTTCAGCCCTTGTCAGACAACTTAGAATCACAGACGTATGAGATATTTGAGAAGGATCCTGTGAAGTATACGCGCTATCAGGAAGCCGTCTACAAAGCTCTGATGGACAAGGTTCCAGAGGCACAGAAAGCATCTACTAAGACGTAAGTTATGGTAGCCACAAACCTGCAAAATTAAGAATGACCTTTCGTGCAAAGGTCACTCATACACACGCACACATATGGCGAAAGTATCTGTCACGCTGTGACACTCCTGGGGTCTTACAGTATTACTCCGGACATAAGCTGGTGGCCAAATTTTTAGCACTTTGGCATATCGGGTAGCCATTTACAGCTAGATGGGGAACTGAGATACCGTATTTGCCGGCGTAAAGGCTGCAGTATTTTCAGAAGAGAAAATATCAAATAGTCTGGGTGCGGCCAATACGCAACAACTAAGAATTCAGCGTTCAAAACAGCACGTCCATTCAAACATATGGGACTACAATGACTACACAATAGTACATGACATTTCTAGAATAACTATGTTGCTTTGTTGACATGAAGACGAAAATAAACTTTGTAAGTTATTTTTCTAACAAAATCTACTGGTAGATCTAGATCTAAGTTTGTGTCATTGCATCGCTAAAAAGTAAAAGGGACCGATACGGACCTAGCTGCCACGCAACGCATCTAGTCGCAATTTCGTATTACACCGCACATCGTGGTAGGGGTATATGTAGGATACCAAATCTGCCTGCGATACAGTACTAGCTTAAAATTGATGAAGATTTGCTAAATTGCGAGCATTTTTGAGGTAAATTTCCATTGTTGAGGTATATCTTAACTGATCTTTGATCATGTTCGTTAATCCACAATGTTCTTGTCAATATCACTTCTTGTAATACTTTGATAAAGTGTACTTCTAAATAAACCTTCTCTGTTGTAATTCCTCCAGAATAATAATGGTCCTAGGAGCAGGAAGAGGCCCTCTTGTGACAGCATCATTAAAGGCAGCCGAGCAAGCCGAGAGGAGTGTCCACGTGTATGCCGTAGAAAAGAACCCCAACGCAGCTGTAACGTAAGTAGATTTGGCATTGAATCTTCTTTTCCTGTATTATTTTTCTGACGCACGTTGATTTTGTACCTTTGTTAAAACCTCTTTAGTACCGGTATTTTCATATCTTTTATGATCACATCATGTATATTTGTCATTGTACACTTCTTTGTTATGTTTATTTCTGCTGTGACATGATCTTTGTTATTGTTTAACTAATTGAAAAAGAATCTCTGTTGAATGACAGATGAATTAATAAATTCAATTGTCAAAACTAATTCCTAAGGTTTGTGCCATGATGAGTTTTGTGTGAACTGTTTTTTTAACGAAATCACACAAAACATTTCATGAATCTGGTGCTTTGCAGGGAAGGCAATCTCATTCCTTTTTGCCTTATTAATGACATATATTTTTCAATGCGTCAAACTATGCTGATTCTTTCTCTTGTTCTTGGATTGAACCCACTGCCTGCCGGAACCAGGTGGCCCCTGTATTAAGCCTATGGCAATAAATGAATTCTGTAGGCAGCGGGTTTTTGCTGCTACTATCTACTGCACAGCTATCGAGAAGTAATGTAGAGTGCATTTGTAACGCTGACCCAAGGCAATCTTGCCCAGTCGGTAAAGATTGAAGCCTATTTTGTGTGCCCATTTTCGGGGTACTCGTTTTAAAAGCAAAATGAGCTGTATTTGGAACAGAGACCAATATTTGTGATGTTTCATAACCCCCCCCCCCCCCCTCTCCCCTCCTTAGCCGGCACAGGCAATTAGCAAATAAGAGTGATATTTTGATTAAATGTAGAGGTGTCGTGGTCTAGTGGAAATATCAATGGATTGTGCATCACATGGTTCGCGGTTTGAGTCCTGCAACGGCACTAATGTCTTTTGGCAAGATATTAATCTGCATTTGCCACTCTCCATCCAGGTGACGTAAATGGGTACCTGGTACGAAAAAAATTCCTTGAATGCTTGAGCGCCTTATCATGGCGGCTCAGCAAACCAGGGTATTAATATGATTCTAAGGCCCTCTGGGAGAACAATATTAAAACCTGTTTGTACTAGTTTGGCCAGGAGAGATTAGACCTCCCTGCATGGTCACTGACAGGTGGTTATCTCATCAAATCAGCTCTCAATTAACATAAGAAAAAGGGGATCATGGGGGACCAACGGATACTGCCTAGGCATTGTTTGCTATATAGAGGGCGCAAGTAGCTATAAGTAGACACTATGAACATGACGGACAAAGAAAGCGGACAAAATATAGAGTTCCTCATTCTACCCTCAACAATTGCTGTGATAGACAAAGGAACATCCCTTTATTGCTATTATGTAAAAATAAGTAGCACAGGTGTCACTCACCTGTGCTACTTATTTTTACATAATAGCAATGAAGGGATGTTCCTTTGTCTATCACAGCAATTGTGGAGGGTAGAATGAGGAACTGTATATTTTGTCCACTTTCTTTGTCCGTCATGTTCATAGTGAGTGCAGTCCAGCTTTAATACTGAGGAGGCTACCCTTGACAGACAAGACATATGATTATTATAAGTTTACTATTATTATTATTATCAAAATTGAACTCTTGAATTTGTAGGTTATTCACATTGAAGGAGGATAAGTGGGGTGACTTGGTCACTGTTGTCCTGACCGACATGAGAGAGTGGGAGGCTCCCGTGAAGGCTGACATCATCGTCAGCGAGCTCCTGGGGTCGTTTGGAGACAACGAACTCTCGCCCGAGTGTCTAGATGGAGCACAACCATTCCTCAAAGGTAAAATTCAAGCGCTACTGTTTGTAGAGAATTTTATAAAGTTTGATGTTTAGTGGTATCAAGGCACTATTTACAATTACAGTCAAACCTGCTTTAGTGACCACCTGTATAGAAAGACCACTTATCCACAAAGACCACATTTTTTGTTTCCCTTGAAAATGGTTTCTCATTGAAATATGTACTAAAGGAACCTGTTCATAAAGACCACCTGCCTAAAAAGACCACTTTTTTCTTGTCTCCCTTGGGTTGTTTTTATAGATAGGTTTCACTGTATTAAAAAAATGAACTTGATTTGAATTCAGCATGAATTCAGCTTCAGAAATATTTTTGTTTCTGGCAAAAAAAAGAGAAATGCGCACCGATTTACATTTCTTTGTATCTGGAGAGCATTCTGTAGATGCACCTGAGGAGGGTAACTTTTAAATCAAAAGTGGTTGCCATAACCTTGAAATTTCCCCCAAACCCATGGATAAGAAGTTGTTAAATGTTTGTCAACGAAACGGCAGCCATTTTGAATGTTCATGGTCAAGGTAAGCAATTTTACTTTTGAAAGTTGTATAGTTGAATCTGCCATGTCAGAAAACATATTATTAGACCCTAAAATCATTAGAATCGGACAATGTTAACTGTGTTGGTGAATTTGACCACCAGTCTAAAGTGCATTGACCTTTTTTAACAAAACGCCCTCATTTAAGGTCGGAGGTATAAAAAACTATACATTTTTGGAAACCTCACGATCAGACAATTAATTTTGTATGCAATTTGATAAGGTTTACTGTGTTGGTGAATTTGACCACTAGTCAAAAGTGTGTTGACCTTTCAACGTTTTTGACCATAGCGCCCTCATTTAAGGTCGGAGGTATAGCAAACTATACATTTTTGGAATCATCATGACCAGACGAGTAATTTCATATGCATATCGACACAATTTGAATATATTTGAATTTCTACCCTGTATGACCTCTGTTGACCCCTCACAAAAATGCCCGGGATTTTCAAGGGGGCAGCCCAAGTCAAAATTGTTCAGTATTCATCAGGGAACACAAAAACACTTTCAAATCTTTGTTCCCAGAGATTGGTCACGGGACCTACAGGCTGGTCTCCTACTATTTAAAATTTGATATCCATTTTGTCTTTGTTTGTACTTTCAGATGACTGTATCAGCATTCCATGTAAATACACCTCCTATCTTAGTCCTCTGATGTCTCACAAGCTCTACAATGAAGTCAAGTTATGTAAGGAGAAAGACAAGAATCCAGAAGTGAGTATATATGAACCAACCCTTCCTATGCCGCAGGTTGCATATCGAGCAGACCTGATAATTTCCTGACTTAAATGAGTTACCCAGCTTTTTAAAATAATTTTGTAATTGTATTTATTTAAAAAAAATCATGTTCCCCCCCCCAAAAAAAAAATTAAATAGTTCCAGAGATCGATGTGAATCTGGTTTAAAATTAGGGAGGGGGGGGGGGGTAAGGGGCCGTATTTTAGACCTCTTCTGCATGGTCACTAGCAGGTGGTTATCTCATCATATCAGCTCTCAAGTAACATAAGAAAAAGGGGACCATGGGGGACCAACGGTCACCACTTCGGCATTGTTGACCCATATAGAGGGTGCAAGTAGGTACATATAGCGCAGTCCCGCTTTAAAAGAAATCTTGATAGTAAGTTTTGTCCTCATTTTGATCTCTCCTGACTGAATTGCCTGATTGCCTTCCAGGCTCACTTTGAGACACCCTACGTAGTCCGTCTGCAGAACGTCTCGGTCCTCGACAAGCCCCAATCGGTGTTCACCTTCACTCACCCGGCTAAGCCACCGACGGACAACCAGAGGTACAAGCATTTGACCTTTGACATCAAGGAGGATGCAGAGCTTCATGGGTTTGCAGGGTACTTTGATACGGTGCTGTATGGTGACATCATGCTCAGTGAGTAGTCCAGTGGATTATTTCAGCAATACTTCTCTTCTCCCTCCTCCTTTAAAAGATATATTGGATCTAAGAGCAGTTTAGGCTTGAAAAGCCAAAAAGGAGGTTGTAGAAGAGAGATATTGAAACGTACCATCGAGAGAATATTTAGGGAAAGAAGAAAGATTGACTTTTGTAGGGAATTTCACAATAGAGTATAAGCCAGATGATTCAGTTTGTGTAAACTGTCCAACCTCTTTTATTAAATCAAAATTGGAATATGCTTTCTTGCATCCAATAGAATACTTAAAATCAACCTCGCACAAGTTGTCATTGCATGTGTCGAGTAACTTCTCTTAGTCAATGATAATAAAAAGTCGAAATTTTTCTTCATAGACTTATGTGTGTTAATCCTCTGTATTAGTAGATTTTTAAAAGTTGAATAATTGCCCAAATCTATCAAATTCCTTGAACAGTTCTAAAGAAAAATACACTGAATTCACATAACATAAGTTGAATGAGACCGCAATGTTTAATTAATCACTGTCAGAGCTCGCGCCACACACAAACTTTGTTTACACAATATACCCCTGTACTCCGGACTTGCTGCCGCTTGCTCTTCTGTCCTTTTCTCTCCCTTCCTCTTGTTACCACATCTCTCCATCTCTCATGTACCCACGCCTCTCTGCCTCTCTCTCTCTCTCGTACCTGTGTTCCTCCCTCTCTCTCTCATACCCGTGTCTCTCCATCTCTTTCCCTCTCTCCCTCTCTATCTCGTACCTGCCTCTCTCGCTCTCTTTCATACCTGTGTCTCTCCCTTTCTATCTCTTACCTGCCTCTCTTGCTCTCTCTCGTACCCGTTTCTCTCCCTCTTTCTCTCGTAACCGCGTCTCTCTCGTAACCGCGTTTCTCCATCTCTTTCTCGTACCTGCCTCTCTCGCTCTTTCCCTCTCTCCCTCTCTATCTTGTACCTCTCTCCCTCTCTATCTCGTACCTCTCTCCCTCTCTATCTCGTACCTGCCTCCCCCGCTCTCTCTCGTTACCGCGTTTCTCCATGTCTTTCTCGTACCTGCCTCTCTCGCTCTCTCCCTCTCTCCCTCTCTATCTCGTACCTGCCTCCCTCGCTCTCTCCTCTCTCTGGTAACCCCGTCTCTCCCTTTCTATCTCATACCTGCCTCCCTCGCTCTCTCTCGTAACCGCGTTTCCCCATCTCTTTCTCGTACTTGCCTCTCTCGCTCTCTCCCTCTCTCTCCAGTACCCGTGTTTCTCCCTCTCTCACTCGTATCCATGTTTCTCCCTCTCTCTCTCGTAACCGCGTTTCTCCATCTCTTTCTCGTACCTGCCTCCCCCGCTCTCTCTCATACCCGTGTCTCTCCCTCTCTATCTTGTACCTGCCTCCCCCACTCTCTCTCATAACCGCGTTTCTCCATCTCTTTCTCGTACCTGCCTCTCTCGCTCTCTCCCTCTCTATCTTGTACCTGCCTCCCCCGCTCTCTCTCGTAACCGCGTTTCTCCATCTCTTTCTCGTACCTGCCTCTCTCGCTCTCTCCCTCTCTCCCTCTCTCGCTCTCTCCCTCTCTCCCTCTCTATCTCGTACCTGCCTCCCCTGCTCTCTCTTGTTACCGCGTTTCTCCATCTCTTTCTCGTACCTGCCTCTCTTGCTCTCTCTTATAGCCGTGTCTCTCCCTTTCTATCTCGTACCTGCCTCTCTTGCTCTCTCTCGTACCCGTTTCTCTCCCTCTTTCTCTCGTAACCGCGTCTCTCTCTTTCTATCTTGTACCTGCCTCTCACCCTTTCTCACGTACCTGCTTCTCTCCCTCTCTCTCTCTTTTGTACCCCTACTCTCCCTCTCTCTTGTGTGAGCCCTAAAAACAAAAAGTACCTTCAGTGCTTACAAAATCTTCTTTATCTTGTTTTTTGTAGGTACTGAACCAAGCACATATTCCGAAGGCATGTTCAGCTGGTTCCCCATATTCTTTCCATTAAAAGTAAGTATCACAAAACATTATAACAGTTGTGTCATTCCCACCACTGACAGCTGGAGGGATTATTTTTATGTTGTCTTTTCATCACTTTGACCATCGGTCTGAATCGTTTGTACTGCAATTATTATTATTAGTAGTAATTTGGCATCACCTGTGCCTGGGAGGCGAAAAGCGAACTGAATCACTGTAACCCTTGGGTCTCTCATCCCGGTAAAACTGATTGGGGGTGTGCACATGGACCACTACACCGGGGTTTCCCCCTACTATTATGCAAATAGTGCAGTGGGTTCTTAACGTGCAAAGGTGGTGACTTGCCTCTACACAGGGCCTCCATGTAATGTCCTATCCGAGGGACCACAAGATCTTCATAATTGTAGAAGGAATTGTTACCTATACTTGCTTGATATCAAGTACATGTATGTTCTAACGTGGGAGGATTACATGTGAAATTTCTGTCAAAAAATGTTGACTGAATTATGAGAAGAACCAATTACCATCAACAATGGCTTTACTGAATTATTATTAACAGAGAGCTTAAACACATGCCATCGTGTCTCTAATAATGTCATAATTGCATTCATCTAGTAGCATAATAATATGTATTTTTTCAGGAAGATCATCAGGAAGGCTAGAATTAAATCTATTCATTTTGGATAGTTATCGTAAAATGTAAAATTATCGCGAAAGACCATGGGAGAGTTTCACAAAGACTAAGATCAACTTTAAGTGGGACTTAACTGGCCTTCATGCCACTGTTTGCTCTCACCATATACTGGCATTGGTCTCTTAAGGGACGTTCAAATCATGGTCACAAATCGACAGAATTTACATTTTCATATGATTCATTATTGAAGGAAAAAATATTGTCTAAAGATCATAATGGTGAGAGGAAACAGTGGCATGAATGGCCTGCCATAGTTAAGTCCAACTTAAAGTCGCTCGTAGTCTTTGTGACCCCCCCCCCCTGAAGCATACACAATGAACTGATAAATGATCGCGAATTGAATTGAAATGAATTGACCATCATTGATTCTCTCCACTCCCCCTCCCCCTTCCCTTTCACCCCTGCAGACTCCTATTCATCTAAATGCCAACTCCAAGGTGACCGTCCACTTCTGGAGGAACGTCAAAAGCCGCAACGTGTGGTACGAGTGGTCGCTGACCGAACCCGTGGCCACGCCCATCCACAACATCAACGGTCAATCGTACACCATCAGCTTGTGATGATTGATGCATTCAAAGCCCCACCTGTTGACATTTGACCCTTAAAGATAAAGTTGAGTTCTGGTCATGCGATTGCATTGTAAAAGAAAAGGTGCGGAATGGGTCAGAAAAAGTTGATCATGTAGCATGTAATGTTGGTGTGTACTGCAAGCTTCTGGAGTCATCAAAATCATAATCAATTTGGCCCAGCCTTGGTAAAGTAACGAGCACTGTACACAGAAAGATGTATATGGGAATACACAAATTGTGTCGGGGCTACTAACCTTGCCCTTCCTTGTCTTTCTGTGCTCATTACTCAGCCAGTATACATTTTCTACCAAAATTGTTTGGCACATGTCATTTATTTGTAAACTTGAACATTCAGTGTAAGTTTCGTTTGATTCTGTGAGAATTCATTTTCTTATTTTACCAGAACTCAAGTTTATCTTTAATAATCTGAGTGTTGTCCTGTCAAAAGTTGTGATTGATTCAAATTGATCGTTACTTGAAAGCAATCGCGAGTTTGGAGTTTGTAGGTTTGCGATTGATTGGAGGACTTGTGGTCTATCCAGATCGATAGCAGCTCTTTGTCAGACAGGGCCCAGAAGTCACAATTGTAAGGAACTTATCATGTGGTACATCTATTTATGGTCATGAAAGGGTTAATATATTAGGTTACTTGAGTGCTCACTAAAGCCACGTTCAGATATGACAGTAAAAATCGCAGCGTTTTTTTTTTGTGGTGATGACGTAAAGTATCATATGTATGCATCAGATTTGTGTATCTTGTAACACAGAGCTCATTGAGTGTACGTAGGACCATTGTTATGCACAGATGCCATTCATTTACACATTTTAAAAAAAGCTGCAGCTGTGGGTTTTTTTTTTTGCAGCGCTTTTACTAGCCATATCTAAACGAACCTTATGAAGTGTTCTGTTTAATACCACAATTGCTCTTCATTGTTAATAACATCAATAGAAATGATCAACTAGTGATGTTGCATCCTAAACCTTCGTTAGCCACGCTTAACCTTCTCATTGCCACTGAGTCGCAGCTGTCACTGACTTCATACATAGTCTTTATGTCAATATATATTGATATCTAGAACTGATCACTAGCAAATATTCTATTCAAAGAACTTCTTGTCTTCATTGTTACTAACAGTGCATCCAATGCCTTTCTTGACCCCCTTATAATTGACTTGATGTAGTACGTATATTTTACCTTAATAGTGATGATAAGATTATTCTACTTGTTGCCAAAGTCATAGATACTCTTTAAGTATGGTGGTCACCGTTTTATCAAAATCGTAAATTCCTGTGTAACCACAGCAACAAATATACATATGCATGGAAATTGAATTGATATTATGCAGTGACTTGATTCCATAACTTTCTCACTGTATTGCAATAATTTGTGTGCATATTGCTTCAAGTCTGAATAGAACAGGGCCCCATCTCACAAAACTTGTTATTGGCGACAAATGACGGTTTTTATTATGCTAGTGAAATCCTTGCTTCTGATTGGTTATCAGCAGATTTGTCACTGATTTTTGTCCTTTGTCATTGAAAAAAGGCTTTGTGAACTGAGTCCCAGGTATGATGCCATTTTGATGAATAGTTGTACCAAATTACCAACGTATTCATCAATCAATAAAAAAAGCTGCAGTTAAAACCAAATGTTCAACGTGAAATTTCTCCATGATGACAAATGTTGAGGTGTAATCAGTAGAACGATAATAATAATAATAATACTCAGTTCTTTTATAGCGCATAACACATTACAGGATAGCATGTCCCTATGCGCTTCAAATAGAAAGGAAAGAATTACAAGAAAAAGTCATACAAATTAGAATATCCACTTAGAAGCAAAAAAGTACATGCAGTGTTGGACACTGAGTTCATGGGTGTACACTTTTAACTTGTTTAAATCATGGTGATTTCTCATGGAATCTGGAAGTGAATTCCATAAAACTAAGGAGGCGTGGGTAAAAGAACATTTACCGTATGTTTTTGTTGAGGTGGGAGGGAGAATGAATAATGCTTTTGAGCTTGATCTTAGACAAATGACAAACGTATAATCAGCAGAACGTTTTGATGACCTTGTGTCTATTGTGAATGAAGAGCATGTCAGTATTATCAAGTTTTATACCACAACTTGATCGTTTCTTGCGTTACATTTAACTTCAGAAATACACATGCTCTGCACCTGACAAATGAATGGATGAAGTAAATATAAGATAATGTCTTATGGTTGGTAAATCACTTCAATTCTGTTTATGATAGCTTTAATTATTTAATCTAAGGCCTGTTTATTCACAAATACTTAATTGCAGCTTGATTCTAAATGTAATATTGTCATGTCAATGTTATCATTTGTCCTTGACCTTCCATTTTCTTGACAAATTGATTTAAAAAGCTGGTATGTCATCAAAACTTTTCGGGGTATCAGATAGCATTTTTTTGGTTACTGAATCTCTTTGAAAGAGATCATAACATGTATTTTATTCATGAACCGTTCATGCAAGCAAGAATAAAAGAAATTCGTCTCATTTTGATGGTCGAAGATGCTCATTCTGATCCTAATTACACCACAATCATCTATATTTATTTAGATTCAGTCAGTGATATGCTTGTAAGTTTAACTGTGACCGAAATTGCCATTTTAGTCGATGTGAACATGCCCAAAGAATAACTTGTACCCATTGTTATTGTAAGTAGGCAGGACTCCTTGTTACAAATGTGAGGCAATGTGGATATGCCTTCAGTACTGAGTAGTGGTATTCCTTTTTATTGCTATTAGGCAAGACTCTTCTCACTGGGAACTCGATGGTGAATTAATATAATATACATGTCACACATGTCACACATGTCATGCTACTTATATCTACCAATTTGCCATGTAAGTAATACTGTGTTTCATGTTAATACAATTTGTTTCTTCTATTTCAATCAAACTGCATTCCTGATCATGAATAATACTTCAGTCTTTTTGTATTCTTGCTAATTATGTCAAGTTATGTCGGAATGTTTTTCGCTAAATAGATGGAAAATATATCAGGTACTCTGCTCTGAGGTGAAGAAACGCTCAAAATATATTGTTCATCTACATGAATGTTCAGTCAATTTTCTAAAGGTGGCATATGTAACATATATTGTGAAATGAAAGGATATTGTATTTTGTATTTTGTACTGCTAGTGAAGTACAGTGACATTTAATGACTGGCGGTTGATTGTCCACTTTATCGTTTGGACAAATATTTATTTTGAAAAAGAGTCAGATTTGACCAATGGAGCAGATTATGAAATGTTCACTCGATGTATTCAAGACGTGGAGAGTAAAGTTTGCTAGAATCATAGCAAATGAAAATACAGTGAAACCTGTCTATAAAGACCACCCAAGGGAGACATGAAAAGTGGTCTTTATAGGCAGGTAGTCTTTATATACAGGTTCCTTTAAAACATGTTTCAATGAGAAACCATTTTCAAGGGAAACAAAAAATGTGGTCTCTGTAGACAGGTGGTCTTTCTATAGAGGTGGTCACTAAAGCAGGTTTGACTGTATTTTGGTAGTTGGGAGAAACTTATAAATAAACTAACTCTTATCAACTTTGCCATATTGTATGGATATTGGATTGATTAAATGAATGGGAAAATTGCAGAAGAAATCTTTCTTTTCATCAATAGTATACTTCAATGTTTCATATATTTTGTTGTATACATTCTACCGTAGAACACAATGCAAGACACTACTCAAATACTTAGCCTGTATATTAGGACAGGCAGATACATATTTCCTTGAATGTCATAAGCAAATTGGTAAGCCCTCAAATCATTGCTCAAGATTTAAAGTAATTATTGATCAAGTGTAATTTGTCAAAGTTGGTTTGTAAGACGCTTTGAAATAATTTGGCAGTTGTAAAATAATACATTATTACCTTTCTCGCATAGACAAATGTTTTGTGTGTGAAGTTTAAAATCCTGACACTCCTACTTCCCCTAAAGTAGTTTTTTTAAGCTTCAGTATAACCACAAAGCAGCATATTTTTTCCGAGCTAAATCAATTAAACATTTTTTGTATACCCTTTTTGTGTACATTTAATCAGTGGATAAATTGAGTATGATGGCCAAAAAGTATGTTACTTTGTGCTTTGAAAAATGAATAATATCACTCTGTTTCATGGTATATGTCTTTGGTATGGTCAAATTGTGGTATTGGTATACTGAAATGATCTTTCAGACTTTCATATAATAATAAATATAAATCAATTTTTGTTATAATAATAATTGTTATATCAAGTTGAAGACCAGTTTTCTAGTTGATATTCGAAAGTAACTTAGCAGTACACAATATCTTGCTTCTTGAATAATTCAACAATATCGTTTCTGTGAACATTTTCAAGTGCATCTATACATGTCAAAGCCTTCATATTTTGTATTCGTTTCTTTCTAGTGGAGTTTTGTTTATATTTTGTAGCTTTTTACAACAACAAAAAGTGCTTCTTTCCACATCAGTGAACTGTTTTATGTCTGCTGCAAAACGGCTTGATTTGATTTAGGTCAATAAAATAGCAACTAATATCATATCTGAATTGTGATTTATGGATATGAATTTGTTTGTGGTAAGTGAAGTGTAATGAGTGGAAAGCCAGGAGGAGGAGGAGAAGGAGGAGAAAGAAGAGGAGTGGGGTAGGAAAGAAAGTTGAAAGGAGGATGGTATGAATAAGAAGGGAGGAAGAGCAGGAGCAGGAGCAGGAGCAGGAGAGGGGGTGTATGGTCTATAGCTACTTGATTTCAAAGCTTGGGTTAAAACTTGCCGTAGAAGAAGGAGAATTATTTTTTCATCATTCCCCTCTCTTTGTTTGTTAATACCCCCCTCCCCCCCCCCCCCCCCCCCCCCCCCCTCCGGTCACTAAAATCATATATTAATTATGCATTATCAAAAATGATATTATAAACAAAGTAATCTAATAAAGTAAACAAATATTAAAGAGTAATAAAGACACAACAACAGCCCTAAGTAAGAAGAATTCGTTTAAAGAGAAGGGAGGGGTCATTTTGCACAAATTTCCATCATAGTTCGGCATGAGGGGCGTATCCTTTTTGCCGGTCGGCTCCAGGTCCCTCAGATCTACGCCTTATGGCTCAGCTGCCCAGCCCAGAGTTCGGGCACCCAACCAGCTCATGATCCGTTCGAATATAATGAACATCATGCGGGTGATGCTCCGATGTTATTGTTTTGATTAACCACCGCCGCAAAAGACAAGACAGATTATCGTCGGATATCACTAAACAGTTTTCTGGAGTTGCTGTTTCAAATGATCTCCTGATTAGGAAGACTTGTCCAGAATCATTTACAGGTAAGTAGTGACAAATATTATGATTGCAAAATGTGAAGATATGCGGTTGTTTTAGACCCTCCCAGGGCACTTTTTTGACCATTCAGTCCCACGTGCTGTAAAATGTGCTGTTCAATGTGAATTCAATTTAGTGATCACTGAAATAAAACTATTATTTTGACCAGTGATCGATGTCTGAAGACATTTGTGTATATGCATGGTGTGTAAGTTGTAAAACAATTGTGCGCAATGTTAACAGATGTACTGTTATTTGGAGAAGAAGAAGAAGGGCGGAGGATCGAGGATGAGGAGGAGGGGGGGGGAGGAGGAGGAGGAGGAGGAGGAGGAGGAGGAGGAGGGGGGGAGGAGGAGGAGGAGGAGAAGAAGAGAGGGGGGGGGGGGAGGAGGAGAAAAAAAGAAGAAGGAGGAGGAGGAAAAAAATAAAAAGAAGGAGGAGGAGGAGAAAAAAAAAGAAGAGGAGATGAAGGAGGAGGAGGAGTTAGAAAAGAAGAAGAAGAAGGAGGAGGAGAAAAGAAGAAGAATATGTAGAGGATTAGGGGGATTGACAGAAGAAAAGGAAAGAAGAAGCAAGACAGAAGAAGAAGTAGACTGAGGAGAAGAAGGAGGAGGAAAAAGGAAAGAAGATTGTCTCAATTACTTTGTCTTTCTGATGAAAGTGTCTTATAATGTGTTCAATTCTTGTGCTGCTTCCTCCTGGAATTTTTTTCTTCAATATTAGGCTCTATGTTTGTGACTAGTATCAGAATATTGAATGAATCTCTCTCTAGTTTTAGATTGAAATAGATCCTAAACCCTTTTTTTCTGAGGAAAGGAGGTAGTTTACATATGCATTTGACATCTATGTTTCATATATTATACAGAGATTATTTTTTTCTTTTCTTTTTTAAAATTGTTTCACTGCCAAAAAAGAAGTGAGAGATTGGAGGTACAGAAAATAATACAAAAGGCTGCATGTAGGGATGAGAAGAAGATGAGGAAGAAAATTTGCACATTAGAAAGGTGATATGGATGGGAGGGCACAATATAATCAAATTACATTTTGAGTAGAGATTGACCTTGTTTCTTTCAAGGTAACTTTGAAATGCACAGGCATTGGAAAAAGAACTTGAAGTTAATCAGTCTATTGACGTATTATACAGATTTTTCGTCAACCAGAATATATCGAAGCAGGGCTTAATGATCAGTAGGGTTATCTGTATAGATCACCACTATCAACTGGAACTAGTGCTTCTGTGTCAGTTTGAAGTCTTGTTTTAGCTTAGTGCTTGGTGAGAAATTGTACTTTGAACCGCTTTTGGAATGTGTCAATAAGGCTGATATGATAGGGAAACAGAACAGATTTGTGATTACTGCATTGTACCCCACTGTACTGGACTCTTAACATACTTCTGTTTTAGAGTAATGTCATCAAGCCTCCAGCTCCAGGAAGTTTGTAGATTAAATGTTCTCATCAAAATGTTCATCTTCCTAGTGAATGAGTTTAATCATAAAATTATGATTCATTCATTTTTATTTTTTATTTTTTATAATTATTATTTATTTATATATTTATCATTGTTTTTGTGATGATTCATTTTTTTTTCTTTCTTCAAATTATTATTATTATTATTTCATTTTATTTTGGTTGGGAGGAGGCAAAATTTTGTTGGTGTCAAAACCATGAACAAATTTGAAAAAGATGAGCACAGTTTGACTCTAATGGGAGTTTAAGACTCCTTAATTAGGATATTTAGTTCACAACAATAAGCCTTTTCTATTTCTTACTGATCATTTATTGATATTTACTAATCTTTACCAATGCTTTTTCTCCCTTGCCCCATGGTAATTGATAACTAAAAAATGTTCAAATTAAAACTGTTTTGATGGTTTCTTCTAACTCATGTGTGTCTGTGGGGCTTCTATTCATGTGGTAATAACCTGTCAATTTCTTCTTTTTGTCGTTTCAGAATACACCTGGAATCATGACATAATTGAAACAATTATTTGTCACTGTTTCAAATAAATATCAAAGCTTCTTCTGGAGGACTGGGTAGTTTCTGTAATTGCCCACTTATGCCAACCGAAGGTGAGATCAAATGTTCAATGATTTTTATTTTTAAAATTACACTTTTTGGTGTGTGTAATTTTGTTCCTTTTTTTATAATTCATTGAAGTAATTCATTTACAGTCTTAAAAAAAAAATATTTTGAGCTAAGTACAAATATGCATACTTAATACATAATATTACAAGTGCTCCATTTTTATACTCACAAGAAATGATAGAGTAATACTTATTTTTCATGACCACTAACATATAAAGATAGCATAATTCTATTCCAGTGAATTGCCTCTCTGTGCTGATTTGACAGCACTAGATTTTAAATTTTACAGCAGTATACACCGTAAATGTACATTTGGTGAATGATTTAAGTATACTTTGACAAGAAAGATAATGAAAAATACAGAAATAAGTACAGAATGATCCATCCATTTGCTCACTAAGGCAACCACATAAGAACAAGAACCCCCAGTAGTTGTCTACCAAATACAAACCCTTTGACGTGGTGAGAATTAACTGAGAATATAATCAAGCCTGATGAATTTTTGAAAGTTCTGTTTGCATGGTAATGAATGCAATTTAGAGAGAGAGAGCTAGAGAGAGAGATGGAGGCTCAATGTTCCAAAGAAGTTGTCCATTTGTCATCCGGAGTATTCAAGGCTGTTGTACTGTCAAATAAGGCTATATATCTATACTCAAAAAGTTATGTGAGATCTATTGCTTTTATGTAAAAAAAGAAAAGGTTATATAATTGTAACTTTCATTGTTTTCACAAGAGTTCAAGTTTTATCATATTCTTTTGAATTAATAATTCCTCTCCATTCAGCGACGAGGATGAAGATCAGGGGTTCTAGGGAGTCCAAGTACGGGGTCGGAGAAGACCACCACCCGACAGACGACAAAAACAGATTCTTTGCCAAGGGGCGGGACTACGAGAGTCGTTTTGTCAACCATCAGTACACGGCCCAGGAGCGGGAGATCCTATCGGCTTATGAGAGTCTGGACTACCTCCCTCCCCACAGTCATGTCTATAAGAACTGGCTCAAGCAACAACCGGCTAGGTATAGTATATATGATGAGGATGCAGTGTCCTGGAAGGGGTCAAGTCACTATTGTTTGGGTTGAGGAGGGGGAGGGGGGAGGGGGGCATTCCTCCCCAAATCAATTGTGATCTTAAGTTCATATTCATGATGATAATAATAATACAGCATTTGTTATGCGCCATGGATCTAGTAAACGATTCCGAGGCGCAGAGGGATCCCATTTATTACCCTTGCTTTAGCACGGCTGCCATCACGGCGCTCTAGCATTTCAAGGAATTAATTTCTGCCAGGTACCGACATCACCTGGGTGGAGTGCAGCAAACGTAGATCAATGTCTTGCCAAAGGACATTAGTTGCGGCAGACCTTGTGATGGACAGTCCGGTGACGTATCCACTCAATCATGACACCGTAGAGTGACTATGATAGACTATGAAAGACGGCATAGTCTTTAAAGAGAATTCCCTTTCCTCCTCTTACTGTCTTTACATCCTTTCCCCCTTCCAATTCTTTTTTTTCCTTGCCATTCCATTCAGGAGGAGGAGGGGCAGGAGGGGGGGGGGGGGTTGGTATGTGCACCCTGCTCCCCCTCTCTGTTTATATGTCTCACTCTCCCTGTTTCTCTTATACTGTTTTTTCTTCTCGTTCTCTCATCAGACTTGATTGGGATCGTTGGGTGATGATGGGTCTGATCGGTTTCTTCACAGGCATTGTGGGATTCCTGCTCCATCAGATGATAGATCTTATATCAGACTTCAAATGGGACAGGACAGAAAAATACCTCCAGGTAGGTCAAAACTTGTTGTAGTTTTTGCTACGTGGAAGAGCCAGATAGATGTTTATTCAGTGTTAATGTGCAGTCAAACCTGCCTTAACAGGGAGGCGCCATAGCTCAGTCGGTAGAGCAGTGGTCTCGTAATCCCGTGACCCGGGTTCGAAATCAAGTCGATGCGCTAGTGCCCTTTGGTAAGGCATTAATCCTCATTACCAGGTCCCTCAGAGAGGACCTAAAGCCCTCAGTCTTCTGGTTGGTTACTAACAAGCATTTATTGCTTTCTTAGTTGCCAGGTAAAATAACCATCACCACTATCTAACCACCTGTATAGAAAGAACACATTGTTTGTCACCCTTGAAAATAGTTCCTCCTTGAAACATGTTCTAAAGGAACCTGCACATGAAGACCACATTTCTATAAAGACCACTTTTCTATATGGTCTCTCTTTTAGTGGTCTTTATATACAGGTTTCACTGTATATGAGTTAATGCCCTTCTTATCCACAGCAGAAGATCGTTTCTCTTTTGCCAGGGTGCCACTGTAGAGTGATTCATCCACTTACATCAGACTAGAAATGGGGCAACTCAATTTATTTTAAGTTCTTTCATAAAAGTGACATGATTAATATCTCTACTACCAACAGCCTGTTGCAGACTAATTACTAATAAATTCAACTCCCAAATCAACTGCACGTCCTAAAAACATAAATTTTAATCTGTGGGAAATCAAGTTGCATACAGTTTCTTCAGTTGCATTCATCTCTGACCTTTTTTGTCTTTTTAATAATACAAAATTGATTGATTTCTTAAGTTTTGTGTGTGGTATTAGTTTGTCACTTAAAAGATTAGTTAAATTTGATAAATGTCAATGAAAGCTTGCAAATACTAACTAAAATACCTGTTAAAAAGTAGCCGTAAAATCACTTTTGGCTTGAATCCTATACACTTATTATCCATCAAGTCCCACTCATAAATTTCTATATGTGTATGATATTTTCATCTGTTTTTCTTTCAGGAGAGGAGTATGGGCATAGCTTGGCTCTTCTTAACTGGTGTCAGTTTGGCAGTTGTCTTAGCTGGCACAGCCATTGTAGTGGTAAGCATATATGTGTTGCAACATACACTAATTTGTTTAGTTTCTACACTTAGTTTTTGCATAAATGAAAATTTCCTGTGAAAATCGATAGACATTTGTTTGAAATTGTTCGACACTTGATTGCTTAATTGTGGAGGGAGGGAGTTACCCATATAAATGTAGTCAAATTTACTTTAGAAAAGTATAATTTACCAAACTAGCAATTTCAGCAAGTAGGATAGGAAGGAGTCACACTTCTGCAGTGATACAGTAAATGAGTAAGTTGCCCTAACATCAAACGGTCCCAACACACCCTTGCAGTGAGGAGCTAGGTGCTCACGGTTTCATTAGTTACAAAATCATACATCTATTATTGTTTTTTTTTTTTTTTCTTTGATTTTAATTCTACATTTTTCAACATAAAAGTAATATGCAAACCAGCTACATAGATATTATTGACAAAAGTAAAAAACCATATATAATCATTTCATAAACACATACTTGACAGATCATTTCAAAATTTAAAAATGCAGGAGAAAGATAATACCTTATAAAAGATAATACCTTTTGCTTTCATTTTCTTGATAAAACCTTGTGTTTCTAATCACAGTACCTGAGACCCTCTGCAGCTGGTTCTGGGATGCCTGAACTGATTGGGTTCTTGAACGGGGCCAAAGTGCGCCACATCTTCAACGTCAAGACTCTGGTGGTCAAGTTCTTCTCCTGCATCTGTGCGGTCAGTAGCGGACTACCGGTCGGGCCAGAGGGTCCCATGATCCATATGGGGTAAGTGATAGACTGTCTTAGGGGTATGCCATCACTTTATATTTATGGTGCTCATTTCATTATTTCCTGCAGCAGGCCAAGGCATACACTTTTTGGTCCAAATTGAAGGTATTTTTTTAGGACTGTAAATACATTTTTTAATTTGATTCCATTCAATTGAGTGAAATCATAGTTTATACTTTCCTAAGTGTAGTATATGTGTGTTCACATCCAATGAATGAGCAAAGTAGGCTTGTAAATGCTTCTTGTTGACTGTGATAGAGTTTTAGACCAGGGTTTGGATTTAAAGTTACTTTCTGTTGAGGTGAAGGTCCTAGGTTCGAGCCCTGGTGCAGCAGCAGTGTTGTTTGGCAGGAGATTAATCTACATTTTGACACTCTTCACCCAGGTGTTAAATGTGTAACTGTGGCAAGGAAGTCCTTAAATGCTGTGAACACCGAAATCAATAGCCCAGCTAGAGCCGGGGTAATATTGAATTGCCTTGAGCATCTTGCTTGGTGGACATGTGCACTATAAAAATATCAAAAATGATCATTGTTATTGTGTACCATTATGCTTTGGCCTCTTACTCTTTTACCATGAAATTCTCAGTTTATTGGTCTGTAGACTCCTTATGGTACATACAGTGAAAGAAACATGCAGACCAGCATTTTTAGGGAATATGCTTGAGATTTTGCTCATAAAACTCTTAAAGACAGCAACACCACACTAGGCCCCTACAATGCCAGACTGAGTATGGAGTACTCCTCTGGCAGAGCCACCCAATTGTGCTCTGACAGTTTGGTCATCTTTAGCAGAGGATATAGTCTGCCTGAAGCTCAGTGGGGATGTAATGTGGTTCTCAATTCTCTTGTGGGCTTGTGAGGCCTATTTAAGATGCATCAGGTTTTTATCATTTCATGGGAGGGGGGAATCTATGCATTTTTTGTTTAATTTTTGTAATTTTTCTGCCCTTTTCACCATCGATATCAATCCAAACATTGTTGACGTTCTCTAAAGACCCTGTGGATGATTATGACTGTATGATGATTCCTGGATGCGCTTTCATCAATGTGTTCTTTTCCATTTCTCTTATGTATAGATCTTTGATAGGCGCAGGAATCAGCCAGTTCAAATCAGAGACAATGAAATTTGCTCTGCCGTTCTTTGAGAGATTCAGAAACCCGGAAGACAGGTAAGTTCTGTATCAAATCTCCTTTTACCCTTTCCCATCTCCCAGTCTCAACAAATTGAAAAAATGTTATGACCTGCTTATTATAATAAAGAAATAAACAGGGTTTATCTTTTAATTTATGTAGCAAAAGCAATAATATATAGCCAGAAATATGGTACTCTTTTGATCAGAATGAAACAAAAATCATTGTATCCCCAACTTTTCCTTTGTTATTGCTCCTTGATCCATAAGATTTCAATGATTTGAATTTTGTGAAACTATATTTGGGATTTTAATCACTTGAAAACATTTTGCATGAACGAATCTATGGCATTTACATGTCTTGACATCTTTGATATGTGTTGTGATATGTATAATAATAATAATAATAATAATAGATTTATATAGCGCAGCTTTTATACAAAATATATTCAGCTGCGCTAAGATAAGATGGGGTGCGTGTGGGAGCAAACGATGCTCCCATACCCACACAAAGTCCCGGTGGAAGGAACCATCCGACATAAGTCGGTTGAATTCCTCCACACAGGAGTTGAATTCCCTTAGAGACAGAGTCGAACCGGCCCATCTCCGAGTCCGTGGGAGCACAGGGAGGAGAAAGATTGCCGTGGGGAACAACCCCCGACGACCCAACTCATCCACGAACTCCCACAGACGCCGAGCCACGGTCACGGGCTCCGCATGACTCAAGTCGTTGGTACCCAAATCGATGACCAACACAGAGTGCGTGGAGCTGGCCTCCTCCAGAATAAGAAAATACCTTCTCGGGTTAGCCCGCATCCTGGAGAAGCTCAGCCCCCCCCCTCTCCGTAACACTGCACAGAACGCTGCTCAGCAGCTACGATAAGTGACAACTCCCCAGCCCGCCGGCCCAGAGTCCGGCGGACAATTCTATGACCGAATAAGAACATGACTCATAAAATCAGGACGGGTGCCCAGCCCTAAAACAGTAAAAGTTTGATAATTAAAATTATTAACTCTCCAATTTGATGTAAACGACTAATTACCGTGATAATTAACCGTCAATATTACGGTCCCTTCAATAAAAATACGAAATATCCGACTGTACATAGAATATCTCAAACTTTGTAGATAATCAGCGCAAAACTGATTTTGGTAAATTAAAAGGGTTAGAATGTCTACCCTTAGTTTGTCTTTGCGACCTTCTTGGGATGGCACCATCCTGATTCCCTGGAACATTAACATTATCATCTCCGGCTCACCCTGCTACATCCTCCCCTATTGGATCTATACCTTTAGGAACATTAGGAACCAACATATACTCTCCCATGTATTTATCTTGCTGTTTACGAGGACATACTTTATCATGTACATGTACATCAGTGAAATTAGGATCAAACCTAAAATTATCCTCATTTAACTCTACCGCCTGTGTGTCAGAGGGCACTTCTCTTAACAATTTACGATTAATCACCTTTACTTCACCTCCATTAATGGGTCGAACATGATAGACATCTTGGTGGTCATTATGCCAGATAACTAAATATAACTTATCCAAATAGACATCCTCTAACTTATGCCTCTTATCAAATGCACATCTCTTCAAAAATACAGTTGAACCAATACTTGGATTTGAAATATTATCTGAAATTTTTGAAGCAAATTTTCAAGAGTTCACAACAATGCTGCCATATGTTTATTATTTAAATGAATAAAGAGAATTTATGACCAATTCAGTTGTAATAACTCATTCTGCTTTGGGTTTCTTTTTATCAAGACGTAACTTCATATCAGCAGGAGCAGCAGCTGGTGTAGCATCTGCCTTTGGTGCTCCTGTGGGTGGTCTCTTGTTTGCAATGGAAGAAGTCTCATCATTCTGGAGTATGAAGCTATCATGGCAGGTAAGACCTTGAATGCAATACATTGGCCAATCAGGAGCCAGCTTTTGACATTTGATTGCAGATTCAGTGTTTCTGATTGGCGGATGCTATGGCAATTACAATCTAAAGTATGGTGTTCTGGCAAATTAGGTAACTGTGAGAGAAAAACATTGGCCAATCAAGATCCATCTCCTTAATCATGGCTGCAGATATCCTGTTTATTATCCAATGACAGGAACAATATAGAGTATGAAGTTCCAGTTGCATGTTTTTGCGGTTAAATTATATTTTTCATGCCATTAGCAACATTTGCATTATGACAAGTCACAGGAAACACAGTACATGGCTTTAATACTATTTTATATAATGATGCTTGGAAGGTATTATTCATAATTTTTGTTTTAGTATCTTATTGTCTATGCTACAAGCCTTTGCCAGTGTCATAATAAATGTTTGTAATTTCAATTGTACAGGAAAATTGTAATGAATACATGAAAGTCTGTTGTTTACAACTTTTCAAGCATAGATAGAGAGATAGATTGTTTGATTGATTTGAGGATTGGGTGGATAACTGAAAAAGAAAGCGGATGGACGTATAGGTGGCAAGTCTTACATGTTGCACAAAATAATAGAAGGAATATTAAATGAAAATGTGGATGAATTGAAAAAATACTTTAATCAAAATAATTCCATGCGAGTGCACGATTTGATGTTTGATAATTACAGGTGTTCTTCTGTTGCATGGTATCAACAGTGACTACAGACCTCTTCAACTCAGCTTTCTCAGCATTCAGATACCAAGGAAACTTTGGGCTTTTCAAGGCAGAGAAATACATCATGTTTCAGGTAATAATAATAATAATAATCTGGATTTGTATAGTGCTTAATAGGAAATATCATCTCTAAGCGCTTTACAGATTTCATTACTCAGGTCATCAGATTCATTCATACACAATGCGCACCTTCTCCACTCCCTGGGGAGTATTCCTACCCTTTGCTCACCGTGAGGGCATATGGCAATAACTAACACAGATGCTTTTGTTATCCTACCAGGTCTCCATTTCTCTCCTGGGTATGGAGTGGCAAATGTAGATTAATGCCTTGCCAAAGGGCATCAGTGCCGTGTCAGGGATTGAACCAACGACCTTTGCATTTTGAGTTAACCACTCGACTATGACACCTGTAAAGTTTGACCGATACATTTATCCTTTCAGTTCCTTGGGAAGAAGTATGGTATTGTAGAATCTGTCTTGAAATATCACCTCAAGAGACCCTTTGAAAATGGCCATTACAAACTTGGGCATTTTGAAAGAGGTTCTACAGCCACTTTTTTTAATATAGGGAAATGGGTCTTTGTTCTCGCCTGAATATGGGAATCATAACCACGTCATTAAATACTAGTCCTTCTGCAGTCATAACAGTCATAACAGAGTCAATGCTTTAACATTTTGGTATTCATTTACCACCTTCGTTGGACAGGTACATTGCACTAGTCATTGCCCTAAGATTGGACGTACTTAATGGTTACCTTGCACTGGGAAAATCTTGAAATGCATATAGCAGCTTATTAAAATCTATGATCATGATAGTATCATCATGTTTTGTATCACGATAAAGCACCTTCTGAATTTATTTGAATACCAATCAATTAGTATACCTGCCAACTGTCCCGATTTAATTGGAATATTCAGATTTTTCAAAATTCTTAATGACCCAAATTTTGGCTCGTTTTACAATGTGCCGCAATTTGAGAGTTCGCGTGTTGCGTGCGTTGAATGGCTGCACGATTCAGAGCAGCGAATTTGTATTCGATTTCTTGTACAGATTTACCGCGTATTGCCATTTTCACTACAGCTCTATACATGGACATGGTAAGGCAGTGCGATCGCCTGTTACGGGTACAGATTTCTTAATTTCAAATGTTGGTAATTATGAATTAGAAGTAGAATGCTTTTGGTTATAAAAGAACCGTCTATTGAGTCTTCTGACATAATTTATTCCACTAGCACCCCTTGAATGTTGTAAAACATGTTTTCCTTCAATATCCCATCATCCATCATGCATTGATCTTCTGTTTGACCTTATGTTTGATCTCATTTTTATTTTTATCATTATATATGAATGATTTATTAAATAAAGAACAGATTTATATTTTGTGTGTTTATTCTAAGTTTTGGTTGGTAATTTTAAGTCAGACAATGGCGCGCTTAGAAACACCCATATTAAGCGCCTAATAAATATTATTATTATTATTATTATTGCCAGGTCCGGGAGGGCATCGATGTCAACATCATCATGTTCATCCCCACGGTTGTCATCGGGATCATTGGAGGCGTCCTGGGAAGCCTGTTTGTCTTCAGTAACCTCAAGCTGGCCCGACTCAGACGACGCATGATCGCTCTCACGCGGAAGCCATGGCAACAGAAACTGATGCGGCTGACGGAACCCTGCATCATTATAGTAAACTCAATTATATCTAGTGTTAAACTATTATTTTGTATCAAAGTATGCAATAGTTCTTATATACTTAATAATCAATATACCCCATCGGTTCCATACAGTTTCTTTCACAATGTACTTGCATGACCTGGGCCCTGTCTTATAAAGAGTTGCGATTGATCCAAATCAAGCGCAAGCCTTTCAATCAATCGCAAGTTTGCAGTCTCCTATCTCTTACATAGTTCCAATTTGATATCAATTGCAAAAAAGTTGCGATTATACAGTAGGCTTGCGGGTGCACCATGTGAGAGAGAGAGAGAGAGGATTGATGAGTCCTAAAAAGGACTCTCAGTAATCTTTCTTGAGGTTGTGTAGTCCTGAAAAGGACTGTTTGTATAGTCTTGAAAAAGACTGTTGGTTATCTTTCTTAGCTTAAAGTTCTAAGGAGAACTATAGCGCTTGGAGAGGATGAGTAGCGGGAGTGGCTCAATGTTTCGAACAGGTTGACTATCCGTCGTCAATAACAACTCTTTGTGAGACGGGGGCCCTCTGACAAATGATATTCCTAGTTACATGTGAAGCCAAAAAGAATATGAAAGGAATGTTACGATAAAGGCCAAATCTGTTTAATTAAAGCTTTAAAATAAAGACAACTTGTGTGGGCAATTACACAATATCCACAGTATTATGGACATCCAGATCACATTGCAAAATATGCACTGAATGGTTTATTTTCCTCCTCAATGAAATTTCAGTGTAGTTAACTGAAGGAATTTTTTCTTTTCCTACTTTTGGCAAACATTGGAAAAATTTAGACTGTCTAATAAAATAAATATTGACACATTTACAAGGCTTTGAATTTTCCCCAGTTCTAGCCCTTATTTTTAAGCTATGAAGCAAAGTAAATGTGTTTTATGAAGTCTCTTTGTATCTTCTGTTTACAATAATGTGGTACCTTTGTTGTTTGTATGGGTTATAAAGATCAATCTGTAGTCTTAATTTTCACAATTTCTCAAGGTATGTATACTTCTCGGAATAAAATGTATGAAGGATAGGGTGATCATTCTTCAAACAAAATTATTTTTGTTCACAACTTTCCAAAGATACAGCAGTAAAAATGAGGAATTATTATGTTTGTATTTTTGACAATTTTTCCTTCTATGCTTTGTTTTCCAAACCCAGATCTTAGTTGCCACAGGCACCGTGTTTCTACCGGCAGCCTTCAAGTGCTCTCCCTATACATGCTACTATGAGGGCGAGAACAAACCGTAAGTTGGCTAGCGTTATGTCGTAATAAGTCTGTCTGCTCAACTTCAATCTTAGATTTTTTAAAGAACAAATATTAAGCTGGCTATCATTACATCGCAATAATAATTCTGTCGCCTTAACTTCAATCTCAAAACTTTTCAAGTGTTTACTTGGAACTCTCTGAAAGTGTTATTTTCAATCAATGTGAATATAGAGAGTTAAAAAGAAAAACCAAACAAAAAGAAAGAAATCCTGGTAAGTTGTAAGGTTATTTGATTATTGAGACCAGAAAAGAAAGAGATTGCTTCAGTAACACTTACACACACTACAAAATATTAACACAGATGTGCTCATTTATAATCGTATAATATATTTCTGTCCCATTTAGACCTGACTGAACAGCTCAAATTCATTGTCCATCAAACGCAATATGAAAAGCATTTTATTAATAAATTCCAAAATCACAAAAAACTAACTTTACAAATTTTATGTGAATGTGTGCTCGAATTGATTTTGTTGTACCATTTCATGCATTCAGACCAACGGGGTACAGTCCAAGATGCTTAGATGAACAAGCAGGCACTGGTCAATCGGTCAGCATGTATACCTGTGATCCGGGTGTGGTCCAGTACAACCCTAATGGCACCTTGGCCTTCAGTAACAAGACTTTCAATCAAGGTATGTAAATTTGTGGTCATAGGATGGGGTGGGAGGGGTCAAGCAGGCACTGGTCAATCGGTCAGCATGTATACCTGTGATCCAGGCGTGGTCCAGTACAACCCTAATGGCACCTTGGCCTTCAGTAACAAGACCTTCAAACAAGGTAAGTGGATGTGTGGGCATAGGATGGGATGGGAGGGGTCAAGCATGCACTGGTCAATCGGTCAGCATGTATACCTGTGATCCGGGTGTGGTCCAGTACAACCCTAATGGCACCTTGGCCTTCAGTAACAAGACTTTCAATCAAGGTATGTGAATATGTGGTCATTGGATGGGGTGGGAGGGGTCAAGCAGGCACTGGTCAATCGGTCAGCATGTATACCTGTGATCCAGGCGTGGTCCAGTACAACCCTAATGGCACCTTGGCCTTCAGTAACAAGACTTTCAATCAAGGTATGTAAATTTGTGGTCATAGGATGGGGTGGGAGGGGTCAAGCAGGCACTGGTCAATCGGTCAGCATGTATACCTGTGATTCGGGTGTGGTCCAGTACAACCCTAATGGGACCTTGGCCTTCAGTAACAAGACCTTCAATCAAGGTAAGTGGATGTGTGGTCATAGGATGGGGTGGGAGGGGTCAAGCAGGCACTCGTCAGCCTGTATACCTTTGATTCGGGTGTGGTCCAGTACAACCCTAATGACACCTTGGCCTTCAGTAATAAGACCTTCAATCAAGGTATGTGTATGTGTAAGCATAGGATGGGGTGAGGGATGTGGGAGGGGCCATTCAGGATGTCCAGTATAACCCAAAGGTAGTTGAGGAGGGGGGGGGGGTGGCACTCAGTATTTTTCTTGGTTCAATACAACAGCTGTGGCACTAGTGCTTTCAGCAAAAAATATATTGAATAAAGGTCTGTCGATATTGAAGAGAGGGGGGATGATATTAATAATAATCTGGATTTATTTTGCGCGTTATACAAAATACCATCTCTAAGCCCCTTTACAGATATTATAACCCCAGTCATCGGATTCATTCACGCACAATGTGCACCATGTCCACTTCTTGGGGAGTAGTATTACCAAATTGTCACCATGAGGGTATATGGCAATTACTAACACAAAGGCTTTCGATCTTCCTACCAGGTCCCCATTTCTCTTCTGGTTATGTAGTGGCAAATGTAGATTTATGCCTTGTCAAAGGACATTAATGCATTGTCGGGAATCAAACCCATGACTTTTGCATTTCAAGTCAAGTGCTTAAACCACTTGAATGCAACACTTCTACTGATGACCCTACTACATGTTCCCCTGGATGATTCTGACCCGTACACCTTGTTGTTGTTTTTTTTTTTGTAATGGCAATCAGTCAAGAACTGACTATAATCACCAACGCCTATCTTTTTAATATTAATTTCTTTCTTTCTCTTTTTTTCTATCTTTTTTAAGTATATAATATGGATAACCACTTATAAAAATAAAATATAAGCTTCTCTCTCTTTTTCTTTTTTTCCCCCTTCGAATGAAAAGAAAAAAAAGAAGAAAAAACCAACAAAACCAACACCTCTCCTTTCTCTCTGTCTTCTAGTTGCAACCCTCCTGTTTGTGACTGGTGAAGAAGCCATCCACCATCTCTTCTCCCGAGACACCCATTGGGAGTTCACCTATGCTGCTCTCCTCACCGTCCTGGCGTTTTACTTCATCATGGCTTGTTGGTCGTGTGGACCTTCCATCTCGTCCGGTCTCGTTGTTCCTATGCTGTGAGTATAAAAGAATTTGAATAGTAGTTAAAATTGATTGTGGTAGTGGTGGTGGTAGTGATAGTGGTAGGGGTAGTGGTAGTGGTAGTGGTAGTGGTAGTGATAGTGGTAGTGGTAGTGGTAGTGATAGAGGTAGTCGGTTGGTGGATGTAAAGTTGCAAATTGGTAGTAGTGGTGTGGTAGTGATAGTGGCAGTGGTAGTGATAGTGGTAGTGGTGGTGATAGTGGTAGTGGTAGTGGTAGTGGTATTGGTATTGGCTTGTTGGTCGTGTGGACCTTCCATCTCGTCCGGTCTCGTTGTTCCTATGCTGTGAGTCGAAAATATTGTGAAAAGAATTTGAATAGTAGTTAAAATTGATATTTGTGGTGATGGTAGTGGTAGTGATAGTCGGTTGGTGGATGTAAAGTTGCAAATTGGTTGTAGTGGTGTGGTAGTGGCAGTGGCAGTGGTAGTGGTAGTGATAGTGGTAGTGGCTTGTTGGTCATGTGGGCCTTGCATCTAGTCAGGTCTCGTTGTTCCGATGCTGTGAGTCTAAAATGATGTGAAAAAGTATTTGAATAGTAGTTAAAATAGATAGTGATAGTGGTGGTGGTAGTGATAGTGGTAGTCGGTTGGTGGATATAAAGTTGCAAATTGGTTGTAGTGGTGTGGTAGTGATAGTGGTAGTGATAGTGGTAGTGATAGTGGTAGTGGCAGTGGTAGTGGCAGTGGTAGCGGTAGTGGTAGTGGTAGTGGTAGTGGTAGTGGTAGTGGTAGTAATAGTGGTAGTGGCTTGTTGGTCGTGTGGACCTTCCATCTCGTCTGGTCTCGTTGTTCCGATGCTGTGAGTCTAAAATAATGTGAAAAGGATTTGAATAGTAGTTAAAATTGATAGTGGTAGTGGTGGTGGTAGTGGTAGCAATATTAGGGGTTCTTTTGGAATAGGTTGTGGAAATGATAAGTGAAAGAGTAGTTGTGGAGGTAATGGTATATAATAGGTGCAATCATAATAGTAGTGATATAAGTCAAAGTGGTGTTAGCAAAAATAGCAGGAGCTTTACAAGCAGCAGTTGTAATATTAATTTTTAAGTAGTTAACGTGCTGTTCATTCTCAACTTTGTTCTAGCGTATTACGAAAACCTGTCAAATGAACAGTGAAACTAATGTGCACCATCTCCCAAACATATCCAATATTAACCGCACAGGTACATTGGGGGTCTCTATGGCCGCCTGATTGGCCTGACGATGGTGTCCATGTTTGGGGTCCAGACCGATGAATACTGGGCGTGGATGGATCCCGGAGCGTTCGCTCTGATTGGTGCAGCATCCTTCTTTGGGGGCGTGTCTAGGTTGACCATGTCCCTCACTGTGATCATGGTGAGAATGTACTGCTGACGATGTACAGTGTGAAGTTTAGTGATTGGTATAATGTAATTAAGTCAACCTGTAAATGACCTACCATTAAAATTTTGTAGGTTTTTTTTGTCTTTCAAATGAAAATGCTAAAAATGGGAGTGGAGGAATTATGAGCAAATTTCTGTTATAGAGCTTTGAAAATAAAATGTTGCAAAATTTTAGACCAATGATTATGATCAAGGTTTAAAAGAAAACTTGTATTAAGTTTCTTTGTTTCTTTAATCTATAGCAAATGTATGAAAAGAGCAATAGCAACAGTTGTCTCCTTTTTTGGTGGGGGGGGGGGGGGATGAGGACATAGAATCTTGTGTTTGCGTGGTTCCTATAACATTTTGACCATGACATTCAATCACCATTGCCTTCTATTTTTCTTATCCATTATCTCAAACAGATGGAGATCACCAACGACATCCAGTTCCTGCTCCCGATCATGGTAGCCATCATGGTAGCTAAGTGGGTCGGAGACTACTTGACCCATCCCCTCTACCATGCCCTCCTAGAGGTCAAATGTATCCCCTTCTTGGACGAGGAACCGGTCATCATGCATCAAGGGAAAAAGTAAGTCTGCATTCGAGCCCAAACTGATGTACTATTTCTTATAGTTCCAAAATCAAAATTTCCACTTTAGAGTCTGTTTTTTTATACTAGTACAAGAGGAGGCGAGTTTGCTCTGTCAATCAAGCATCTGCCTGCCGAGCCAAAGATTGTGGGTTCAAATCCTACCCAGGCGGGTGACTGAAGCTTGTGTGTGTGTGTTCATGAGCCCCTCCCGTTTCAAAACACTCTGTCCCTTGGATAAGATGTTAAATGGAGGCCCCGTGTAGAGGAGAGTCACCACCTTTGCACGTTAAGAACCAGCTGCACTATTTGTATAAGAGCAGGGGGGAAACCCTGGTGTAGTAGTCCACCCAATCAGTTATCTAAGGAGGAGAGTTCCACAATTTTCTTTATTAGAGATCATAGCAATGTCTTTAGCCCATTGAAATAGATAATGTATTAAACTACTTTAGCACACTTAATGGCAATTTAGCTACAATTATTATCTGGTGTTTTGAAATTTGCTACTGAATTACCAATGCATATATCTTCATTACATTTTATTCAATAGTGTGAATTTAGAGTTATACCAAGCCAAACACGCCATGGCTTCACCTGTCAGAACACTCCATCAAAGAGTCTCCGTAGAGGAGGTTGCAAAGCTCCTCTTAGAGACGGAACACGGAGGGTATCCCGTCGTCGAGGGAGGAGATGATCCGAGCACCAAGAACCAGTTCTGGGGCATCATTACAAGGTAAGGTTTTAATGGAAGATTGATAAGATTTGTCAAGTGAATTAGATTTATCATTTGGTTTAAGCTTCTGTCAACCTTGATATTAACTTGGTTTTGATAGAAGCAGAAAAATGAGAGGAACAGGTCAGTGAAGGTTTGAGCAAAAACCGATTAAAAATGAGAAAGTTATGAAGTTTTGAAGGTGCGATCAATCAAACAAAAATTGGCAACAATGTGATGTATCTTGCGAGGTCCTCTCAAATTCGCTCTGTACAGACATTTTTATAAACTTTTATTTTCTTTGTTATTAATGACATAATAGACTTGTTTTATACAGGGTTTGTATAAAAACGTATTTAAAATAATCTATTTAAGGTGCATGTATGATTAAAAACTTTCTTTTGGGAAAACAGAAATTTCAGAATTCTTTAGGGCAGAGCAAATGGGAGAGAACCTCACATACACCAATTTGTTCATAGACCATAAATGGGTATGAGGGAAATTTATTTTGCTCTTGTGATCAATATTGATTTATCTATCTAAATCTATCAAATGATGTGGCCAAGAGATACCGGTACCCTCTGTGATGATTTAATATCAGAGCTCAAAGTCCATCAATTATTCGTAAGAATATTTGATTAGTGTCAGAAAGATTATTCATTCTCTGTGATGCCAAACTATCCTGTGTTTCCATGCCAGAATTGAGCTGCAAGTCATGCTGTTAAACGAGCATCTCTTCCAAGGACCAAATGAAGCACTAGACCAAGATAACCCGGAAATTAATCCCTTAGATTACCAAAAGGTAAGAAGCATTTAGATCATTTGTAATTATGTTTGACCTGTTAGGTATCATTTTGTAACCTTTGACCTGTCAATTCAATTTGATTCAATTCATTCTTTTATACATCCAAATTCACAAAAGTACATGGCAAATGGTTTTGGTCACACATTGTAAAAATACGTAATATATAATCATAAAAGAACCATCAAAATAAAAGGTAGACAAAACAGAAATATTCTTATACTCTAGTATTATACATTCAAAATGATGAAAAGGATAGAACATCAGTGTGAAGGAAGGAAGGGAGGAAAACCACGCCAAACCGATACTGATACTTGGGCCCACATGCTCCTCACTCCATTTGGTTGTACAAACGAGCGGAGTATTGAACATATGAGCCCAAATATCGGCTTGTACGACATTTCAATGAGCACATTCTCCTTCCTGACCGTACGTCGTTTGCTGGTAGCATACTTTAATTAGAGAGGTCTGATTCTTCCTGTTATGGGTTATCAAGGAGTATTTTTGCCTGATTTCATCTTCTAATTGTTCCTTTTTTACCCTTAAAGTAATATTTTTCTAAACCTCTAACCCTTTATGAATGAAGTTTGAAGTACTAGTGCAATGTTCTTACTGAGATGTAAGTGTCTAGTATATCATTCTCAATGCCGTGTATTTGAGAAAAAAAATTGAATTGTAGTCTTGTTATCTGTCTTTTATCATTTTGACCTCTCAGAAATCTTATTAGAATTGACCTTTGAACTTTGAACCCTTGAGGTATCATGCCATCCCACTGTGTGACATTTTAAGTTAAAGGCATAGATGAACTTGATTTAACTTTGATGTTTGACATTTCTGCATGCTCTCTTCAAATTTCTTCATTCGTACCCCTGTGATTGTGATTTACTATGGTAGCAGTGCATGTTTGACCTTTGACCTTTATTTCTGCCCTTTGACCTCCAGTTGAGGTTAGATCATCTGAAGGATAAAATGTCAGCCGACACCCTGTTCCAGTCATACGTAGAGGATGAAAGATACCAGAACATGTTCATCAGTTTGGTAAGATGAGGACTTGGGAGTGTAATAGTCAAGCTAGTGTAAAGCTCATAATGTGTCATTAACTTTGTTTTGAAAGTAGCATTGATGATTTATGCATGGCTTGGGTTTGTCTTTGAATTTAACAAACTCATGAAATAAAATACAGACTTTCTGATCTTTTGATAAATCAATTTGATATGTTTTACTTCAACATACAATTTACTTTGAAGTTTTTACTATATTGCATTGTGTAAGAGAGCTCCGCTCAATCCAATACAATCAATTTAACTTTTTAGATGCCATCATTAGTAATTGCCCCAATTTTGTTGATGATACACATGCACAATCATAAAAAACATGATACACTACTTTAACCCCAAAAAAGGAAATATACTAGTGTAATTGTAGTTGCCCATGTATTCGATCCACGATGATGACTGATGTCAAAAGAATTCATATTTCATTAACATCTCCTTTATGAACTCATCAGATGCCGTATGTGAACCAGTCTGCCCCCTGCATCCCTGACTACTTCTCCCTCCACCGGACCTACATCATCTTCCGCACCCTCGGTCTCCGGCATCTCACCGTGGTCGACGCCCAAAACCACGTCTTGGGCATCATCACAAGAAAGGACCTGATGGGCTTCCGCATGGAGGAGAAACTGAGTGTCGTTCTTCATCCAGGGTCGGCGTCGCTCAACAACGGTGTACCCTCACAGGAGAGCTCTACCCCTGTAGAGCTTTCAGATGTAAGTCACGTATAGGTTAGGGTTGCTGTGACTAGCAAGACATTTATTTATAGGAGTGGGACTGGTGATTGGATTAAGAATTCCCCAGGGCCCCATCTTACGAAGAGTTGATATCAATCGTAACTTATTTGCGATTGATATCAATCGTTACTGTGTACATAAGAGATAGGAGACTGCAAACTTGCGATTGATTGAAGGACTTACGATTTATTTGGATCGATCGTAACTCTTTGTAAGATGAGGCCCAGGTGTAATTTGTACTTGGTAGTGCTGCAAGTAACATGACATTGTTTTGCATAGATGGGTCTAAAAAATATATATATATTTACAGCTTACATATAACAACTCATTGATGCCATGTGGGTTTATCTGATGCTTAAATGCATCATAAGTCTGTCTAATCAGTCTTTTCTTTGAGAACTTGGAGATTCACTGTGCAAAATTACTGTGGCCGGCACTCAATGATGCTTTAGATATTTTCTTTATGTTTTATATTTTTATACTTTTTGGCTTTGGTATTACCTACAATCAATGTATTTAAACCCAGAGTAAGATCATGTCTATAATTAGCGCTTTTTCCACTTGTACAACTGTGATGAACTTATGACACCTCATCATTGATGTATAAAGTTATTTATTGATTAATTCAATTGGATCAGAGAAAGATTTTGTTTAAATTTTGCTATGTATTTGAGCATCTATTTTTCTTTAGACATTCCACATTCTTTTCACAACTCCAGTTATGGACTCATCTGGGAGCTGTTTCATAAAACTTGTTACCTATAACAAGTTACTAAACTGTTATAAGCTACTGAAATAATGGCATTTGATTGGCTGAGAGCAAATCTGTCAAAATTTCAGCACTAGTTATTGATTACAAGTTTTATGTAACGGGGCCCTGGTTGAAGAGACACATTTTGAATATCTTATATTGGGCAAAAATAGGAATTTCTCTTTTGGCATTTAATTTGTTTTTAGCTTTTCCTTCAGTCGTTTCACTAGCTTTTTCTTCAGTCGGTATTGACTCAAATCACCCATAGCCTCTTAATTACTTCCATAAGGTTCACAAAAATATGTCAAGCATGGAGAATAAAGTAAAGAAAATAGAATTATGTAATCTTTGTTTCGTCAAGATGTACAGACATTTACATAGCTTTTCAAGTACATCTGTCTGTCTGAGCGTTTTCCTCCCCCCCCCCCCCCCCCCACAAAGAACAGCATCTATACGAAATAACTATTCCCAATATTTGAAAATGATATAATGCACTTATATTGCACCATATATTTATGCTTTCATAGGCAAATGAACTATAGATGCATCTGTAGCCTCTCTGCCCTGATAAGGAGCTGGAGCATGCGAAGAACTTTCTTTCTACCGGTAGCCAAAATAACTCTCCTGGGTGGAGAGTGGCAAATGCAGGATAATGTCTTGCCGAGCACATTAGACTGCAAAGGCTGTGTACAGTGGCATTGCAAAGTGAGAGAAATTGACTAGTTATTATTGATCATGTACAAGAAGGTGGTGCAGTAAATGAAATCATCGTACTTTATGGCGTCATTTGAAAACCCAGCCCCCCCCCCCCTCCCTTCCCCCATCCCCCAAAAAACATATTTCCAAACCCCAACCCCTATATATCACATGACACATTCGTTTTGAAAGTGTTTTTGTCAACAGAGCAGTCGCCAAGTGTATGGTTTCACATCACTACTTCCCTCCGTCCCCACCCACCCCCCCCCTTCCTTCTCTTTCTTTTTCTATCCTCTTTTCTCCTCCCCTTCCCCTCCCCCTCCTCCCAACTCCCCTGGCCCTCTTACATCAAATTCCTGTCAATGCACCTATTCACAATGCTCTTGCATGTTTTTCCATGTCTTTCCTAAAAGAATCCTTCTCTTTCTAATTATTTAAAAGTAACTGGATTAATTGTAATATTTCATTAACTGGAATGACTCTAATACTTTACTAAATACAACCATTGTCATCTTGTAATAATACCCAGATAGAGAAACTGAAACAACAAAAAATCTTGGATCATTGATGTCAAATTAACTTATCTTGACCCTGTTAACAATGTTGTTGCAAAAACAAATCACCTAATCCTAACAACTTCATGTTTATTTTGAAAGGTTCTGTACCGCTATGTACCGGTGTGATATATTTCTTTGAAATCTTATCTGGACTGCAATGAAAAAAGGATGTCATCTTTTTCGAAACTCACACCAATCATTTCCTTTAGCTGATAAAAGAAGATTTATTATGACTATCTTTTGTTTGCCATGACAAGGAAATGATGATATTTACAGTCCAGAGAATCGAAAGTGGGGCGGATTCCAAGTAATGCCTGCACAACAAGACTGCAGGCATTTTAACGAAATCAGTCCCAGGGAATGTGGTTAGCCTAGCAAATATTTTAATGGGTATGTGAGTATGTCAGTACTGTATCTCCTTTATGATCAATAACCCGTGGGTAATAGAATAGAGTGTTTAAATTATTCCAGAGTTGATTTCTGAAAGTGTTAGTCCTTGTGACTAAATATTGTTATGGACAATAATTAAAAAGGAGCAACTTTTGCTGATCCTTAAAATGATTTCACAATTTTTATTCTCAATAATGAAGTTACAATTTGAGAGGAAGCCCAGTCGGTTCAGGTTTTGATTTTCCAAATAAAAAGATTTGCAATGTTCATTAGATTAAACTTTGTGGTCCTCTATGATGTCTAACTTCTCTCACACGCCTTTATTGACTGCCTTAGCTTTTTCGTTTGCATGATTCTAATACAAAATTTGCACTACCTTTTGTTCATCATGTTACTATAATAACATCAAATAATGAGAGATATTTTTAAAATCATTTTTGCTGTTATGAAAAATATATTTATATATTTTTTTTTTAAATCAAGGGTAGTTTGATGCAACTCCTAAATCAAACACGAGTCCTGGATACACACTTTGGTTTGGTAGAAAGTTAGTCGAGTTTGATTTGGGAAGTTGCGTTAGGTTTTTGCAACTCTCCATGCAAGAAAATTAATGTTGTTTCATCTTACTTCTCACTCACTTTTGCATGATTCTAATACAACACTTTGTCATTATTAAATAAATGCTGCCCATGTATGTGTCTCACTCGAATGCAAATTGTACTACTGCAATACTGAATGCACCAAAGAGCTAGATATCATGTAGAAATAAACCTGTGTGAGAGAAAAGAAGAGAACAATACGCAATGTTGTTGTGATCTTTAATGCCTGCACTCACTTGCATCAGTTCTATTGAGAAAAATATTGAGAAAATTGAAGAATATAATTTGATTTGATTTGATTTGATTTGATTTATTTATTTCTGTTTGATTTTCTTTTTCTTTTGCATTTTTACAAATATATAACAAACATTGCAAATTTACACACGACAAAAGAATATATGTAGAATAAAGTAAGACTGGCTGTAACTAATCAAAAGCATCAAACAGAAACAAGAGGGTTGACAAAGTATGCAAAGCTTGATAGTATGACAACCCTCACACTTGCACCACAAGTACTGAATAGGGCAGTGTTCTTATGCTAATTCCAATGCTGAACTGAAAGTCAAGTAGGGTTTTAATTTATATTCAGCTACTTTCAAAGCAGTAGTCAATATTCATCTCTTGTCAGTATTATTCTCCTAGCTGTAAAGACTAGAAGTAATATCACTAAAATATGTTACCACAAGTTTTCTAGTACTCAATCTCTCTTCCTTGTAATTTGTACATTCACAAACTCTGTACGAGATGCATGTGACCACAACTCTGTATTTAATATGCTAATAAAGATATATGTGCTATGCAAATAGTAGAAACGGCAAAACACTAATTGTCTCAACATGCCTCATTTCTTCTGTACTGTCATATTTCAAATGCTACTAAAAACTTGTTGTTGTTGTTACTCTCCTGTTTAACATGTTGTTTCATTGCTGTTTTACCCTAGCTTTCCTTTTAACCTCTAGTCCCAGTAATTGAGCACCCCGTCTTCTAACCTTTAACCCCAATAAACATCTACCCCACTCTTAACTCCCACAAAGCTAACACTCACCCCCTCTCCAATACCCCTCCCCTGTACCCCTTCCCTATACCCCACAGCTACCCTCATATCCAGTGATTGGACATTTGCCTCAGCATCATGTACTCTTGGCTTCATTTCGTCAAAGACATAGGGTTAGGACTAGGGTTTATATTAGTACTAGCAAAAAATGAACTGAATCACTATAACCCTTGGGTCTCTCCTCCTGGTATACCGTTAACTAAATTGGGATGTGCAGAGGGACCACTACACTGAGGTTTTCCCCTACTCTATACGAATAGTATAGATGGTAACTCTCTTCTACACAGGGCCTCCATTTAACATTCAAAATAAAGCTATAGGCTAGTTTGTCTCAAAGACTTATTACCTTCAGTGGATAATTTCTAATGAGTCTAGGGCTTCGCATTATTGTTGCGATTCTTGGAGGATATATTGAAATTAATTGCACTGACCACACACAGAAATTATGGTTTTTAATTTCTAATGAGTCTAGGGCTTCGCATTATTGTTGCGATTCTTGGAGGATATATTGAAATTAATTGCACTGACCACACACAGAAATTATGGTTTTTAGTTTTTAAGTCATATTTCATGTATAGTTAAGAAAAGGATAAGCATGACGCATTTGATCAGCGATTATTACTGTAGAGGTGTATGAAAATGGCCTTCAGCTACCAGTCATTCATAGCAAACATATCAATGGAGAATAGACAGTGATAGCAGTGGTAATAATGATGATTATGATGTTGATGATGAACAACATGTGTTCTGGGGGTTCAAGAATGTCCAAATGATTATGATGATGATTATGATAAGTGTGAGGATGGTGATGATGATGATGAGGCTGAAAATGATGAGGAGGAGGAGCGTGATGATAATGAGGAGGATGAGGAGGATGAGGAGGAGCATGATGATGATGATGATGAGGATGATGATGAGGATGGTGATGATGATGAGGATGAGGATGAGGAGGAGAATGATGAGGATGATAAATGATGATGATGACGATGATGAAAAACAACATTGGTCGTGGGTATTCAAGTGAACACCTCCCCCACCCCCATCCTCCAACCAGGAAATAATGTTTTTTATTTCTTTTTTATTGTGTCAAAAACACCCCCTCCAAAAAAGGCACCCCAAAGCATGGGGAGTTCTTGCCATATCAGAAATTATATTTACAAAAATGGTCATTGCCAGTTGCATCATCCACCAAAGCTTGAATAGACCTATAATGATGATAATGATATGAGGACTTGTATTGTATCAGATATATAGTCTCCTTCCAATTCATGACAATATTTTGCATCCTTACAAATTACTTTTGCACTGCCCCTACCATAGACTACTTCGATGGCACCAAATTTACAAGAAAAATATTCTCTGCCTGGTTGATGTAGACTAGTCTCATTGTTTTTGTTTGTTGTGTGGCTGCTGCCAATTTGCCTGCAATAGTGATCAGATTGTTTTTGCGATGTACGTCACTGTCTCGGATGAGATTGGATTCAGGGTCCTTTAGCTATTATGACAGGTGCAAAACAGAGAAGACCTTAATGATTAAGAAGGAAGAAAACAAAACAATGTGCGTCATTGAAAATTTACTTACCAGTAGATTAAAAATATTTGCAAACAACGAAGCACCAAAGGAGGAAATGCAGACTTGGTGACGTGGAATTGACCAGTGATTACTTTTTTATGCTGTAGAGATTCCCTCTTGACGCAAATTAATGACGTAAATCTGATATAAACCAGAATCTATACAATAATATTGTAATATAAATTAATCGTCTTTTTATGCATTGCTGACACGCATGGCTTTCAAGGTAATTTATGAAATAATATTTGCATGATTCTAAGGAGTAATAACAGATGATAATGTGATTTATTCAGATTGGTTTGTTCATTTCTTTTGATTTTGATTTTGATTCATTAATCATTCAAAATTAAATTCTTTTATTTGTTGTTCACAGAATTTTGAAGAGTGGGACTACTTGGATGCTAACACCGGATCGTGACCTCAAGGTGCTAAAGAGGGTGCTAAACACCATCCGTTACCATTCAAATTCGTTATAGAGTGGCGTAGCATCATGGTGCCAAAGTTTGTATGTAATGCTAACACCGCCAACAATCATACCAACCATAGGTAATGTACTGTGTAGCCTGATGAAGACTCGCCATTCAAAATGGATTCTTAACCGTTACTGCTATCTTTTTTCTGAAACATACAACTACAAACTTAGCATACTTCTCTGAGAAAAGTTTTAAAACTCAGTTACTTCTTGACTTAAGGAGATACAGTACTGATTAACTCGTTAAAGTTAAATTATTCTATATTTTGTCCCTCTTAAATGTAATCAAGTACTTTTGTATACAACGCTCTTGATTTAATTGTTTTTTTTTCTCACTATAATGGCTAGACACAGAATGTGCAATCTTTTTTGCTAGTAACTGAAATTTAGTTTTGATGTTGAATATATATATTTTTTAATATATATAACTGGTTTATTGTTAGAAGTGCAGGTCATTTATGGATATGTGTTATATGATTATGTTGACTTTGAGGTAAGATGTATAGTACGTCAGAGTGTCTTGTGAATACAGTAATGGATTTACAATTTTACATCCTGGCTTAATGTCCAAATCATTTCACATGTGCAATTGCAGGTCATTTACTCTTTGTTGAGCCCAAGTACAGTTTAGGTGAGACCCAACAATTTTATTAGGTTTTGAAGGAAAACAATTCATTCATGAAAAGTGTTCTCAGTAAATTAAACAATTCTAATGTCCTGTCAATAGTTGTATAGACCTGTTTGAGTTGAAAACAAAGATATGAGAGTATACTCCACTTAGCAATATAGCCGTAATTTGGAGTTCCTTGTAGATGTTTACATGTTACGATGAATTTATCAGAAATCATGGCTGGAACATCACAATATCTGGCACATTCATCTTTTAAAACAAGTTGATCAATATAAAACATTATAAGCTCAAATCCAATGATCCTGTTTGCAACCAGTACTGAATATCAAATGATTTTAATATTTTATTCTGACTGATGAAATACGTGATATCCAATCTTGTCACTAATACTGCGTTTACACATGTAAACACAGTATAAGAAGATGGGTTAGTTCACATTCCAGAGATAGGCATCCAGATATTTTAGTACATGTGTGAAAATCCCTATATACATGAGACTGTGACTTTCGTGAGCATACTGTTTATGATATAATAGGATATTCATAGTGTATTAATTACTCTCAAATGTACAATATATTGTATTTGTACCGGTAAACAAAAAATATATATATTTCATTTTTGTTTTACATTTTAGAATTTCATGTTCCATTGTTAGGTTTTTCTGAGAAATGTTTTGAATAGCTACATGTTTCACATGTCTTTTTCCCCCTTCTACATTCATGAACTTACTTCAGTGCATTTGAAGCCCATATACGTATAGGTCTTCTAAAGGAGGCTTTTAAAGCTCAGTTCCAGGATGTATCTGTAATTCTGTTTATATCTGAATTCCCACAGTATGTTTCAAGTCAGGCTTTATATCTCCTTACTTTGCATTTTTATGTGAAATTTGTAAAAACAAGTTGTTTTAATGTCCTTCTTGCCCTTAGATCTCAGTGAAGTATTAGTTGTTTGTAGGTAATGAGAAGATATATTTGATTATACCAAAAGTTAGCTGGTAATCAAAATATGTTGACAGGACAAGTAGATGAGAAAAAAAATCATGTCAAGGTTAAAGGTAAAGACCAGTTATGGTCATGCGATTGCATTGTGAAAGAAACGTTGTGGAATCGATCAGAAAAGGTTGATCATCTAGCATCTAGCATCTGCAAGGTTCTGGAATCATCAAAATAAAAAGAAATTTGGCCCATTCTTCATAAAGTTACAAGCACTATACACAGAAAGATGTATATGGGACTACCCTATATCTCTCACAGACCATGAGAGAAACAAATTTACCAAATATATGAATTAGTAGGCGGTTTCCCGGCAATTTTTTTATCATCATGTATTAGTAAAAACATATTCTTTCACATGATTGGTGATGAGAGCTTCCATTTCATTTTTTGAAATTGGGGCGTTTCCAATACTGGTCTTTACCTTTAATATACACCAAATTAGATGTAACACTTGTTCATGATTTCAAGCTATATTGATGACCATTTTTAATGGCCGATTATGATAAGAAAATGCAAAAGATGATAATGTTATGAGGTTCAGATAACATCAAAAAGACATTACTAAACACTGACTACCTTATAATTGAGAAGTGTTTTATTATTTCTATTTAATATTCCATTGTATTTTTCTTAACAGTTGAGCACTGTACATTGTTACATCATTTATGTTGCCGATTTGCCTTTCATGATCTTAACGAGTGCTTCAGTATATTGATGTTGCGCTTAACTTATCTATGATATGGTGAAGAATATGTGAAAACTTAAAAGATATATATGTTTATCACTGCTGATATTAAAGAAAGCCAATTGAAAATTGAAAATTGAAACTGCCGGTGGAGGTTTATGTCTTTTGTATTGTGCTGCCAAACTTTTATGTTGATACCATAAACACCAACAAATTTGAATCAATATGGAACTGACTAAGTCGCAAGCAGGAGATCACGTATTTAAACAATAAAGTCAGCACTATCATTAAGATAATCATTAAGTTTAGTATTACCGGTTTCATCCTCGTCATTGTCATCGTATTCATCAGGATTATTTCAGCAGCATCATCTTAATTCTGATGAAAATGATCATCAAATAGTTTTCTTGAATGAGATTTAGGGGCCTTCTTTAAAAAAATATCCACTCTCACCGTTTCCTATCTTCTACTCTTTTACCTTCTTTTCTCTTTCTCCTCCCAGTTTTTCTTCCATACGTCGCTCCCCTCCTTTTTTAGGGTCGCCCAAAAGGGGGGGGGGGGGTGATTTTGCCCCATCTGGATCCGCCACTGCATCAAAACAATTTAGGAGGATCAAACTTTGGGGTAGTGTAGAAGCAAGATTTTTTGTTACGTTCTCCCCCCCCCCCCTTTTTTTTTCGGGGGGGGGGGGGGGTTGCCCATGAACTGATCTCGTGATCGTATTAATAAACGTGCCTCGATCAAGTGAAAGTAAATTATTTCTTTATAATCAGTAATTCAACAGACCTTGGATGTTTTGTGACAAACAAGTGTTTTATAAAACTATAAAAACACCTAAATATAGGCACAAGTACCTTTTGACTAGCATGGGAATCAACCCGTGATTTTGTTGTTTTTTGCCAAGAATTTTTTCCCCTTTCATCGCGCTTTTGTCTTTCAGTCTTTCGTTTTCACTTGTTGTCCCGTCCAATCGACTCTTTTCGCTGAACTATTAACTGGTTTTGTTTGCACTGCCACTGGGTTTCCTACCGTGATAGAGTTAAACAAAATTCAGATTTAATAAAGCTGGTCATCTCTACATTACTTTGATAATACCGCTATACAAAATATAAAAAATGAAATGAAGTTTGTTTCGTTTGTCCTCTTGAAACTATTTGGAACCTGTAGGTTTCTTCTTATATTTATATTTATTCTATATTGTCTTCTCTTACTTAAAAGTGTCGCCTGATATAGCAAGTATAGTATAGTGATTATGTTAATATAAATCAAAGAAAGACAATATAGAAAATAAGTTACAACAACGAATATGAGACAACCAGGGGCGTTCATTAGGCTCTATCGCTCTAATGTATCTGGGGCATTACAAAGGCAAAAATGATAATTTCCCAACGCACGATCGAAAGTACTTTCGAAGAACTCAACCCAAGGCACTTTCAATAGCCTTGTGTGTTACCTATTGGAATGTGAGAATGTGGCAATGACGTATCACGTAATCTGAACAATATTTTTAGGGTATTTACAGTAGGGTTTTGAAATTGCCCTTGAGTTGAGTTTTCGGAAATAGTCGTTCATTGTTGAAAATAATAGCTTTATCTAATTTTCTAATTCAATACACCAACGCCTTTGTTTTACTTTACTTTTTCTCCTCCGCCGAAATGTTCATCGTATATAACTTGCCAATAAATATCTTGAAACCGATAGCTTGTCAAGCCTCCAACAGGCTATTAATGATGGTTCCCTTTAAAGCCCCACTGTCCTACTTGTAGCTACTTGCTCCCTCTATATAGAAAACTTCCCCAATCGGTGCCTGTTAGTCCTCCATGATCCTCTATTTCTTATGTTATTTGAGAGCTGAGTTGATGAGATAACCACCTGTCAGTGACCTCGCTGTGTGGTCTAATTCATCCTAGCCACACTAGTGCTTTAATCTTTTAATTTTGTATGAATTCATAAATGTAAGTTGTATCGTACCTTTGAAATGCTTGAAATGCTCTTTTTATATACATGTATTTTAATGTTTGCATGTTTTTATAAAAACTGAAGAAGGAATTTAAAAAAAAGAGACTAAACTGAAACTATTTTAATCAGAATATGGCCATGTGAAAGGGCGGATGCCACTTCAGTTTGGCGGAAGGAAAGTGAGGAAGTCCAACTTGTTCAACAACCCTTGTTCAGCCCATGGGATCCCAAGCATCTAGTTTCACTTGATATCCCAAACAGCATCACTTGTTTGTTTTAATTTCCCTTCCTTTTCTTCTCATTTTCAATCGCTAGCTACCACGAGACGAAATTTTGAAGGTGAAATTTGAAAGAAAATGACAGTACTGCCAATATTTTTGCCCTCAAATTGTGTTCGGCAACCATTACCTGTTAGATAATAATGTACGGATGACTGCCTTGGTACAGGTAATGGTTGACAGGGAACTCTCTCTCTCTCTCTCTCTCTCTCTCTAGCTCTCTCTCTCTCTCTCTCTCTCTCTCTCTCTCTCTCTCTCTCTCTCTCTCTCTCTCTCTCTCTCTCTCTCTCCCCCTCCCCCTCTCTCTCTCCTTTTCTCAGGTGTTCTGTCAAAGGCGGTCCAGACACTATAGAGCCTTTTTTTCAGTTCTTTCTCCATCCCTTTCTATCTTTAGCCTTCTTCACGATGTCATAAGTTATGATCTGTCACCTAGCTATACCAAGTCTGACACCGTCCCAATTCTTAATCTTCCTCTTCCCCGTTTACCATTCATCTTCATCTTCCCCAAGCATGTTACCCCCCCCCCCCCCCTCCTTCGTTCACTCACTCTTTTCAGCACTTTTTCATTGGTGATCCTGTCCCTCCAAGTAATAGACCATTTTTTAATGTAGTCAAATTTAATACAAAAAATTAATCTTTGTTAAGTGCCTCGTTACATGTCATTCACCTGAATGCTAATTGCATACATTAATTGTCTCTAGGTGGAGCAAACTTTATGACTTGTCCTACCAAACAACACGGAGTGTATGCAATTCTCATCCTGACTATTGAAAAATAATTATTCGTATAATATAATATTCTAGTAGATACAATTATATAAAACAACCTCTGTCATATGAAGTTAAATTGTCAATTAAGAATAAGGAGAAACCTTTAAATAAGTACAATATATCCTTAATTAGTGTCAATAACAAGAGATAATTTCAATTAAATTTGGCGATTTTAGGTGAGGAGGTAGGGGTGGGGAGGAGGGAGTGATCATCTGTGATGACGCTTTGTCGGGGTGAAACCAGACGAATTCCACAAGCTGGCTGCGGCATGGTAAATGCTGCCATCTCCTTGTTGCGTTAGGTGGCGTATCAGCTGAGGTGAGATTACCCCCTCCCCCCTCCAGCTTGGTTATTCCTCTATGCAGTTTAGAGTTTACTGCAGTTTGAAAGTCAAACACCGAAAACGACTAGGTTTTGAGTAATTTTGGCCTGTGCGCATAACAGAGAGAAGTCATCATTTCCACACACTCTTCCATCTGTCTTTAAAAAAGGCAAGTGAAGGCTGAATTTGACGAAAAGTATATTACAAAAAGTGTTTTAGCAATTCTTTATAAAAAAAAAACAGCAAATGAATTAACACATCAGTTTGCTAATTATTGTGTGTCGGTGATTTTGAAGAAAAGATAACAGAAAAAGAAAACGAGGATGGCCAACTTTTCGAAAACTTTTGTTAGCGAGACATGAACCATCAACATATCAAACTTCTTACTGCCGATTTTCTTTAAAAGGCTGCTTCGTTGTTTACTTACTTTTGTTTTAAACATAATTTCACCATCCCTATACCTCCTCTTCTCGGCAAAATAATACATCACCTTGTTCAATTGAGAGGGGATTTCCTTTCGAACCATCCCGGAAGATGGTCATTAATTTCACTTCATTATGCCCTTCTCGCAGGGCAGGATGTTATCGAACAAAGTTCAACTACCTGTCGACCGGCCGGGGCCCCGTGATACAGGTGCCGGCACACCGTCATGTTATTCCCATGGCCTCTTGTAATATGAAGTGGACCATTTTCAATTATGTTTAGAAAGTAAACATATCAATACTTCGATAGTTTGCATTCCTCCCACAGATGCATCCACTGCACAGGGGCGTGGGTGAATTCTTAAAGAATGGAGGGGGTGGAGGGGCACTTTGATCGGAAACGTACACGGTGTGGGATGCACGAGTTATAACGTAATTGTTGGAGCAGGGGTGAGGGTGGCAGAGCCCCTCTGCCACCCTCACCACCCCCTCCCATAATCTACACCCCTCCGCTGCGTGATTATTTAAGAATTATGTTTGTGCGTACAAGCTATGATGAGAAAGTCGTTAACCTGATTAATGATTTTAATATCGTTTTAGAGCGATATACGTCTAATTACTTTCCTTTTCGAATTTGCCAGTA